TGTTCTATAGGCTCGTACCTCTGTGTCCTTTAGCACTAAGAAGGATTCGCGGATGAAACTTTTCTCCTTTGAAAACCAAGAAACTGACTGTCAGTGCCCTCATCATTGAGGGCATAATTAGATATGCCAGGATTTTGCAGACCACTTGCGCTTTGCAGTTGTTTCTTTGGTTTACTTTTGATTCACAGATTACTTTTATTCGTTTGAGATAGGAAGTCTAGCACCGAGCTAATTGGACTTTGGTCTGGTGTCTGGTAATATAGATAGGGATTCGGATGGTGCTTAGTGTAGGAAGTTGAATTTATCTCCAGTTTGTCAACTTACCTTCAATTAACCAAGTTTATTACGATCTTAGTCCGTTAAGGAAACTTATGCCGGAATCTGTGAAATCCATTCATTTGAAAGATGATCTCTTAGATATGAGTATATCATTGAAGTCTTCTTTTAAGACATTTGAAATTCTCTAAATTTATATGCAGATTGGGACAGGATTCACCATTAGCGTGGGGCAGTTTACCACCCTTTATTTTAGTGGCCAGGAATAACTTATTAACATTTTTGTCCTTGAGCATAAAAGTTCTGGCCCCGCTGTGATTAAGTGAATATCTTCCTTGAAACAGAGAGTTTGCATGCTATTATGTTTGCCCAAAGTTTACGGAATTCTTTGCAAGGGAAGATTGTGGCAATCTTTAATGTGAACTACAACCAAGTCTTGGAAGGCAAAAACCTGTTCCTTGATCCAAGGACTCATATTTTATTAGGTTTAGACATTTCTACAGTACAATGGTTGACTTAATCATATCTTTCCTATTTTTTTTTAAACATACGAGGTAAGCTGCCTCTCATGGGATTTGCTGCTCTTGAATATTCAATCCTGAATATAGTTTAATTGGTGGTTAACTTTAACAGGAATCTGCAGACGAAGCTCTGAAACAGAAGGATTTGTTGGTGAGTCAAGTTGCATCTCTAAGGGGAGAGTTGCAACAGGTGAGAGATGATCGAGATCGACTAACTTTGCAAGTCCAAGCTTTGACAGCTGAAGTCGCTAGTTACCAAGAGCAGTCACAAAAGACAAATGAGTTTGAGGTATAATTTATACACTTCCTTCTCCTAATGTGATCAGCAATTCCATGCCTCTGCTGTTCTACTTAGTGATTAAATGTTTTATGCAGGAGAAATATTTGTTACAAAACCACGAGATAAGGACGTTGCAGTACAAATTGGAGGCCGCTGAGAGTAGGTTAAAGGTACTTATCTCATGCTTACGCACCTGCCTTTTTGTTATTAGTAGTTCTTGTCATGAGTTACTGTCCAGAATCATTTGGAGATGATCAACTTTGCATTCCCTTTCAGGCGTCTGACATGTCTGTGTTCGAAACAAAGACGGAGTTCGAAGCTCAAGAACAACTTGTAAAAACATTACAAACTCGGTTGGAAGATGCTGAACAAAAAGTTGTTGAAGGGGAGAAACTTCGGAAGAAGTTACATAATACAATCTTGGTAAAATTTGAGCTATCTAGTTTTCAGTTTTTTTTTGCAAGATCAATATCTTCATCTTACAGAAATGTATTTTGCTGAAGGAACTGAAAGGGAATATTCGTGTCTTTTGCCGTGTGAGGCCCTCGTTGACTGATGATGGTCTTGGAACTGATGGGAAGATTCTCTCCTATCCCAATTCATTAGAAGCTCTTGGACGTGCCATTGATTTAAATCAAAATGGTACGTCTTTACCTATACTGTTATAAATGTGAAATCAAGTTGGATATTAAAGACTTCAAAACTAATTGCTTTGTATCGTCTTCAGGCCAAAAATATTCATTTTCTTTTGACCAAGTTTTTGCACCTGAGGCATCACAAGAGGATGTATTTGTGGAAATTTCACAGCTCGTTCAAAGTGCTCTTGATGGTTACAAGGTACTTGTTTTGAGTTTGGAGTTGGTGGATGAAACGATGTTATATAATTCAATCTACGAGAATCTCCAGTTTTTTCAACCTGTTAGTGTTGCCTGCCTGTGTTCATTCACTTAATTTGAAATTGTAGGTTTCCATTTTTGCCTACGGGCAAACAGGATCTGGCAAAACTTACACCATGATGGGGAAACCAGGGCAGCCAGAGCAGAAGGGATTGATTCCCCGAACGTTGGAACAAATCTTCCAAACAAGGGAATCCCTTAAATTACAGGGCTGGAAATATGAAATGCAGGTGAGGGCAATGCCATATTTTACTCTTGGATTGTACTGCATGTAGCTAGAGATTCAAATACTCATATGAGCATGAGCAACAGCAGTGAGATATTTTCCCTTTTTGCAACTAACGACAGGTGTCAATGTTGGAGATTTACAATGAAACGATCCGGGACTTGCTATCAACTAATCGAGATTCATTTCGAGAGGGTACTCCTAACGGAAAGCAATATACAATCAAGCATGACCTGAACGGGAACACAACTGTCTCTGACCTTACTGTTGTAGATGTTCGGAGTTCTAGGGAGGTCTCATACCTCTTGGATCGGGCATCTCATAGTAGGTAAATAGTCTTGAGATGAACTCCCATTCTTCTGTTTGCTACTTGGCTTGTGGTTTGATTCTACGCGAAAAGGAGAAAGTAATCGTTAAGAGTAGAATGCTCTTTTCTTTGCCCAGACAGATTAATTAATGTATGAGCTTTGTTCAAGTTCTTACAATCATCTTGTTTGCGAAATGTTTTTATTGAAAAACTTTTTTCCATGTTTTTCAACGTTGCAGGTCAGTGGGCAAGACACAGATGAACGAGCAATCATCTAGAAGTCATTTTGTTTTCACCCTACGAATATCTGGCGTTAATGAGGTAAATGCTGCCATGACTATGTGCATGTTTCTTCTCTCCTTTATTTATTTCTGTTAACATTGGAACTGAATAATGTCTGTTTTTTTGCTCTCCTCTAGAGCACTGAGCAACAAGTAGAAAGTGTTCTGAATCTGATTGATCTTGCTGGAAGTGAGCGTCTTTCCAAGAGTGGTTCTACTGGTGACCGATTGAAAGAAACCCAAGTATTTTGACTCAACAAACCTTATTTATCCTTCCGTGTTTCTGATCACTCCATTTTGTATCCTTGTTTCATCCTACTAATTTTGCAACACCCTCCTCTTTTCACATTATTGTCAGGCAATCAACAAAAGCTTGTCGTCACTGAGCGACGTCATATTTGCCTTGGCAAAGAAGGAAGATTTTGTACCATATAGGAACTCAAAGCTCACATATCTGCTTCAGGTAATCATAATGGCTCAGAAGTTGTTTCTTTGACAATGTTTTTGCCCAATGAATCTAAGTAATGATAGGCTGGGTTGTCTTCGTTAACTTGGTGGTGGTTCAAAATTTATGCAGCCATGTTTGGGTGGAGACTCGAAGACGTTGATGTTTGTAAATATATCGCCAGAGGCATCATCAGCTGGCGAGTCGCTATGCTCGCTCCGATTCGCGTCCAGGGTGAACGCCTGCGAGATTGGTGTTCCTCGCCGCCAGACCAACTTGCGATCTCCAGACTTTCGCCTCAGCTTGGGTTGAGCTTCGAGATATATGGTCTGCCAACGCACCACCCTCTGCACCCGCGATTGCATTGCATTTTGCTCTGCCACTATCATGGACGGTTGATGGAATTTGTTTTAGAGGAGGGGAGCAGAGTTTGTAGTATGAAACATTAGCTAACCAAACCATATCATTATTAGCCTGTATAGTAGTTATTAGTAGTAGTAATAGTAGAAGAAACTACTTTTGCTGCACCTTGTGATGTCATTTTAGACAGGGTAATTCTTTATTGTCACTATTGTATAATGATTGCTTACTTTTCTCTCTTGTGACTTCTGAATCTGATATAAAAGAATCCACCTGCAGGTTGGTTCATTCATTCATTCATTCATTCATCTGATACTATACTGTAAATCATCAATGTGATTATGTGAATGCTTCCCCAGAAATGGGTAGTTACAAAAGACATAAGAAAGAAGCCCATGAATGGCTCATGACTTATTACCATATGCGTAAGAAGCCCAAAAGCGAAGCCCAAAAGTGAAGCCCATTCAAATCCCAATTAGTACGCTCTTGAGTCTTTGCTCTAGGATGGCAACAAAACCCGAACCCACGGGTACCCACCCGACCCAACCCGATCAACGCGGGTAAAATTCGTGTTGACGGGTTTTGGGACGGGTACGGGTTTAAACCCGCTATACTATTTACCGGGTTGGGTTTGGGTTTAGGTAAACCCGACCCATGGGTACCCGCCCACACACATATAATTACTTTTTCGGTATATTTAATATATACTAAATAATATATTTTCCTTAAAAATTTAATATTCTTTATGTTTGTGGAGACATGTATAATTTGTTCTTTCTAATTGTTTAGAATGAAGTTGATATTATGAAGTGGAGAGTGAATAAACTTAGTTGACGAGGAAGAAGCTTTCAATTAATCTTTTGTTTATAGATGTTTATCTTTAATTTTGAACAATTTGTATTGATCATTTGCGGTTTGCTTGTATGCTCTAGATTGGTGTTTTTTCGTATGATTAATTTGTATGAGAAAATTGATGTTAAAACTTTTATTTTGAAATAAACTTGTTATTGTAAATTTTTTACCACAAAAACCCACGGGTACCCATGAACCCGCAGATACCCAACAGGTTGGATTGAGTTTAAATTTTTCAAACCCAACGTGTTTTACCCGTATTTTTTGACGGATAAACCCATGAGTTTGAGTTTAACAAAACCGGTCCCAACCCGCCCAATTGCCATTCTGTATAGCAACAACGCACAGATTCAACGAATCTAAAAAACGTGTTTCCGCATTTTCCATTATTTCAATCGCCTAGCCCACGCGCCCCCAATTATCTTTCCATTCTGTCTCTCATCCACCGCTCCGCTTCTCTTTCTCCCTTCACCGTCCCCGGGAAACGCCCGCTCCACCGCCAAATCTCCGGCCATTGCAGTTCCTGCTGTGGAACGGTATTTTACTGAGACGGGAAATGGTCTCCCCGGAGAACACGAATTGGATCATGGAGTACGGCCTGATCGACGACATCTCCGTTCCCGATGCCAATTTCTCAGTCCCGGTCAACGGCTTTTCCTGGCCCGTCCAAACCCTAAACGCCCCTCCTCCTTCTAATGCCGCCGGGTATTCAATTCTCTCGCTCGCTCCCTTTGTTCTTCTTTCGTTTTCTTCCCTCCTCTGTTCATCTCAATTAGGGAAGAATTGCATGGTTAGGTTAGGGTTCTTTCTTTTGATATAAAGTTTATGTCTTTGCAACTACCCATTTCTGGAAAGCAGCAGCTGAAGCTTTATGCTTGCTAGTTGCTACCACCTGGGCTTTGTGTACTGCCCAGTACAGGACCAGTTGAGAATGGTTGGGAAAAAGCTATAGTTTGTCAGTACATCACCCTTAGCGAATGCCGTGCTGCTGGGTTCAAGAATTTTTGTTTCTATTTCTTCTGGTTCCGAATTAGTATGCCGTGTCTAGCTCGGACTTTTCCCTAGGTTGATGATGCATGCGTTTCCACGGTTTGGTTTTTGTTGTCACCGTGTCGTGTTCTGCCTCCTGCGGTTTATGTTTTCTCTTGGGTTCTTTTGATGCTCACCAACTTATCCTTGTCAATTTCCGACTTCTTTACTAGTCAAATTGATGCATCCTTTGGAGATTCCGAAGGCCAGAAAGAATCCAGTTCCAAGAAAAGGTAAGCAGAGTTTATCTTTCTTCTTTCTACGGTCGAGTAAAGACCATTTCATATTGTTGTTTAGGCATAGGTACTTGTTCATTTTTTCAGAAAAGATAACTAGAGTAACCGAGTAAGAATAGGTTGTTTGCTCGACAAAGTACATTGAGCTGTAGGTTCCGTGCGGCCGTGCCTGTAGATGGACGTTGAAGCGCAAATTGTGTGCTTGATTGAACTGTAGTTGAAATGCCTCTTGTTTGTAGCCACTGCTTCATGATGTTGCTAGTACATTTATGATCATAAAAATTAAAAATAGTAACTCTGGATCAGCAGCCACTGGAATTGAAAATTTCATAGGGTTTCTTGAGTACAATCTCTCAGTGGTTGCATATTACTAGTATTAATAAGTGAATATAATAGGCTGATAGAACTTTTATGCATGCATCTAGTATACTTTAGGCTAAATTCACTCTCCAAATCTGAATATTTGGATTGGATTTGTTATGTAGAATTAAGGAAGGATGTCGTGGTTATGCTTGATGCTGTCCTCTTTCTATGCAGGGGTAGATCCGAGTCATGTAGTGGAACGAGCTCGAAAGCATGTAGGGAGAAGTTGCGTAGGGATAGGCTCAATGACAAGTATTTGCCTCTCCCTCCCCCTTTTTATTCTCTTTCAATTCTCTCTTCCCTTACAACGCGATAATATATTCTTTTCGTGTTAGGTTTCTGGAGTTAGGCTCCATATTGGAACCTGGAAAACCTCCCAAAACCGACAAGGCAGCTATTTTAGTTGATGCTGTCCGGATGGTGAATCAATTACGCGGTGAAGCACAGAAGCTGAAGGATTCAAATTCAAGTCTTCAAGAGAAAATTAAAGAATTGAAGGTGAAGGCCTCCTACTACACTATCATGCCTTTCATTTGCTGATAAGTGCAGCAGAATGAGTGATGAAATGTACACTGGTTGGCTAAATGAAATCCCCCGTTTTTCTTGCATAGGTGGAGAAGAATGAACTTCGTGATGAGAAGCAGCGTCTTAAAGCAGAGAAAGAGAAGCTGGAACAGCAAATGAAAACCATTCACGCTCAACCTAGCTTTTTGCCTGCTCCCCCTGCTATTCCAGCTGCTGCCTTTGCTGCAGCTCAAGCCCAAGCTCCTGGCAACAAGTTGGTACCTTTCATTGGTTATCCAGGAGTTGCTATGTGGCAGTTTATGCCGCCGGCTTCGGTTGATACCTCACAGGATCATGTGCTTCGACCGCCTGTTGCTTAAGTTGCTTCAACCGGTGGTGGCTGAGGGCTGGATTTTGCAACCCAAGTTGTAATTCGTTCTCCTCTTATTGTTCTTGGTCATGTATGAGCTTTTGATGAAGTGTTCTAACTCAGAATTGGTGGGTGACTCCGTGGCCCCTGCAATGTCCCAATCTGGAGTGATGATCTATGAATTATTGCTGGTATACTCGTGTAAATTTCAATAAGTTTCTCTAGCCGTATCATCTCTCTGAACTATATGTTCATACTTCTCGCACAAAATATCTGATCGTTGACATTTTCGGTAATAACCTCTGGTACGATTTTACAATCGCTGGCTAAAACAGGAATGATTTGCTTTAGGAAATCGGAATCGACTCTGAGAGGACGTATCTTGGATTGGGATGTCCTAAAGGCAGAATTGTAGCTTGTGGGGCAACTCCATTTGAAATGATTATGCGGCTGTGAAGCTGCCATACATCATGAATCATATCTTATCTCCTTCGAATTTCGCAGCAGTACCAGTACAGGACCATCATCTTCAGTTATTCTCTCGCAAGTCTCAACCAACACTCAATGTATAAGTATCTCTGCATCATCATCTTTTTCTCCACCACCAAAACTATCCACTTTCCTCCATGGGTTACAGTAGTCTTCTCAAGCTCCATTCTCAAATCTTCAACCCCACACAGCTTTCACCACCTCCACTGCTTTACCGCCATCCAGTTCTCAGCCAGTCCCTTCCATTTACCCTGACCCATCGCAACAATGACCTCCATCATCTTTCCATCACCCACTCTGTTCTTCCCAAGAAAAGATCCAAACTTTGCTGTCTTCAAGTCCACTCTTCACTTCCTTCATCCTCCAACCCACCAGCCTCCAGAGAAGAAGCAATCCTCCAAGCCCAAACCTGCCTCTCCAAAACCTTAGAGAAGCCCCTCAACAACCCCAAGCTCGTTGGCAGGATCAAGAAGCTCAAGCAGCCAAGGTTCCAAGTTGAAATCCCCGTGGTTGATGATTCCCCAGCTTCCCTCTCTCAGCTAGCTCTTGAAATCTTCAAGGACTTGCCCATCAAAAGAAAAGGCTCCCCAGTCAAGACTCTGATCCTCTGGCCCAACCCTGCACTCAGAGATGCTGCAATTGAAGCATTCCAGTTGTATGCTTCACCATCATCGTCAGCCAATGTGGAACACGTCGACATGTCTTCCTATGACAACATCAGGAGATCAATATCTGGTGCTGACGTGGCAGTGTTTCTTTCTCCAGAGAGTTCCCAGCTAGTGGATGTGAAAAGGGTTGCAGACGGTATGTATCCAAACCCAGTTGTGATTCTGAACCCAAGATGGGGACTTGAAGAAGAAGGGGGTGAGCGTGATGGTGATTTTGGAGAAGAGCTGAGTGGCTTTGTGGGTTCCTTTGAGGTCATCTATTCTTTCATGGGGCTGGAGGTTCAAGGAGTTTTGAGCAAGAGGAAAGGAGTGATCTTTAAGTGTGTGAGGGATGGAATTGTGAGTGGGGAGAAGTGGAGTGTTCTTGTTGAAGAAGAAGGAGGTGAGATGAAGGTTATTTCTCAATTCAAGGCGAGGCCTTCCATAGGTGAAGTTGAGATTGTTTTGTACAACTTGATGGCTATCAATTCTCCCATCACCAAGTCTGCCAAGTTTCTCAAAGATTTGGTCTCCAATGTAACTGGAAGAAAGTGAATGGACCGAATCAATGGATTCCTTCCCTTCATTTGATAACTGAAAATAAACAGACTGCAGGAAGAAGTGGCGAAATAACAAGAAGTTTCTCTTTTGTATGATTGATTCTCTGTTAAATTCCTTTCCTTTCTTGAATCCAAAAAAACTTATTTCTGTTTACTAATCTCCTAAGTGGCATGAATTACAAAGGAAGGAAAGAACAAATTTTGCGGGAGAAGACCATAAGAAAGGAAATGAAAGAAAAAGTATGGGGGAAAGATGGGAAAATATATTACAATATGAACTTGTGAAGGCCTTCTTGTTCTGGAACTGCGATATGAACCTCTTTTTTTGCTCCTCTTCATCATCCACTTGTAGTCTTCTCCTTCATATACAAAGCAGAAAGAGCGATCGTCATCTTTCCTTGTAGGCGTGTGAGCTGTGATTGGCCTTTTCCATTTGGCCAAGTTCTTAAGCTGCTCTAATGTGACAACTCTTGACGAATTTATCAGAGAAGTCAACGTACTTGGCCCATAATGGCCTGAGCTGAGGGAAAGCTATGTCTAGCCATGGTTTTGCTCTTCCATTGAAATGGATAACACCAGCACTCTCAGCATCCTCATAACTGGTATTCTCTTGGTACCCTAACCCTAGCATGTGCCAGAATGGATCGATGGCTTGGACATGGCCATGGAATGCGATTAGCCCTGGTGGTAGTGTTCCCAGCTGCCACAGGCTGAGGTCTGATTTCAGGTTCTGCAACACAACAGAACAAAAGAGGAAAAGCTTCATTTAGCCATGTTTTTTTTTTTTTTTGCTTGATCTTTCTGTGGATAGAGATGATAGTTACCTGTTCAAGCCATTGATGGTAGGTGTTACTGATGTTGGTCTTTCTCCAAGCCTCTAGATCGAAGATGTTCATTCCATATGCCCAAGCACACTCTTCAGGGTTGAAATGCTGAGCTATCAAAGGATGTGAGAAGTTCAAGTAGTTCTTCAACTTCTTAGACATTACATACTTGTCTTCCCCTCTGCATGTCTCCACAGCTCCATTCACTTTCCCATTCAGATCGATGTCCCAAAGTGGCGAAAGATCGGTCTGTACCACAATGTCATCGTCTAGGAACACCAACTTGTTCAAGCTTGGGAAAAGCTGGAGGTTGATAAAAACAAATCAACACTAGGACATTTGTCAACATGGACTTGAAAGGGAAAAAAACCAAACACACTTGAAAGGTAAGGAACCAAGTCTTGCAAATTTTCAGGGGGTTACCTCGGGCAGATGAATCCTGATATGATTCATCATGGAGTTGTACTTGGGGCTAAGAGCTTGGAGCTTGGCAGCGATCACCTTAGGTTTATCGGTGTTATTCGCAATGATTGCAGAAGACCCACCTCTGAACTGTGACCTCACCTTCTGATCTTTCTCCATTGCCTCAAGGACAGGAACTTTGCCCTTTGAGAACCAATCGAAATGGTGCAGCGCCTTGACCTCAACTATCGCAGGAGATAGAGGGTGCAAGGAGAACCAGGCTTGCATTGGGTAGTAAGTTTTTCTGTCTGTTATGATGTGGATCACAAACTTGTGTGGCCTCAATGAGTTATGGACTATGGATGTGGCAACCACAGCTGCTGCAAGGACATTGTCTGAAGCAAGTACAAAATGGTAGTAAGAGTTATCAACAAGAGCAGGCACTAGCTCAGCTGAAGGGAGTTGAAGCCTGGCGGCTGCATTCGTGGAGTGCTCATTCGCCAGCCTCAAGGCTAGGCAATGGAGCTGTTTCGGTATGCTACTTGATGCCACATGCCTGTACAGATACTCTTGGATCTTCGCTGTTCTCGTCCTTTCTTCCATTAGTGAAACCTGTGAAGAGGAAAGAAAGAGTGATCAGAGGTTTTGAACTGGGTTTAGGACATTTCTGGGTTTTTTTTTGTGTGCAATTCAGATGTGTATATATAGAGGAAGGAACAATACCATTTCTCTGAGCTTGAGAGCAAAAGTTCTGGCATCAAATCCGGAATCTTTGACTTCAGCCATGAACTCTTCCAGTGTTTGAGGAATATCTGTTCTTCCTTGTAGTTCATCCTTGTCAATGGGTTGTTCTAGTACTCTGTACATTACTTCAGGAACCTAATTGTGAACAATATAAGTCATAGCCAATTCCATAATCAGTACAGATTGCATCATCTAATGGAAGGGGAAGCAGGACAAATAGCAAGTTCCCATTAAAAGGCTGAGGAGATTACAGATTGGTCCATCCTTCTTCCTAGTAACCTTGGCCCTATTCTTTTCCCCAAGCAACCTGCAGTTCAGAAAGATAACCAACATTAAGGCCAACCAGATAGATCAGGTAACTAATTAATAAATCCTATGCAGTTAGCCATGACAACATCATTATCGTTATGCAGCAGCATCTCAATCACGGGGGAGATTAAGAAACAATTTTTTAGTATAATTTGGTCATGTGGTAGTGGTTGATTAAGTTTATAAAGTGTTTGTTGGCTTGTAAACTGTCAGCCTTTATTATATTACTAACCCTTTTCTTGCATACCAATTACGCAACCCCTACCAGAAAATTAACAGCACCCATGAAGGGGCTTAAGAAGTGCATATTTGTCAATGTCAGCCCCTTTTCTGCATTTTCAGATGGTTGAACAATGAAAATCACTGACTTGAATTCTCAGACCAGGAAAATCCCATGCAGCTTAAGAAGTTCATATGCAATGTGAACAAGTCATGGCCTAGTAATAATAGTACAAAACATGAGGGTAAAATGCAGGGAGATAGTAAGAGTAACATGTTGTGTTCATGTGGTGTAGGATAAGTTACTTACCAAGAGAGGAGCACCTGGTTTCGCCATCAATGGAGTCGACGGTGGAGAGGACAAACACGAACCGCAGGAGGAAGGTGAAGAAGAGAAGCGAATACAAGATCATTCGATACGAAACCTTCTTGCCTCCAACTTTGACTTGGATGAGCTCTCTAACACCTTTCCCTTGAAGCACTGTGACATGCCTCAAGCTCGGAGATATGTGGAGTTGCATTTTGAATGAAATGAGACCGCGATGTACGTTGCTGCAGCCAGACCAGGTAGCTAGCTGCTCTTTCCTTTTTTCTTCTTAAATTTCCTCTTCTTCTGCTGCTTTCCACTCTGAGATGATCAGCAGCTGGGGAATGGGAATGGGCAGCAGAATAAGGGAAGTTAGAGATGGAAGAGGGGAAATGGTTTTGGGATATAAGAGTTGAATGTACCTATCAGTTACCTAAACTTGCTTAGTAAATGAGCTATAATTGAGTAATGATGCATACATGTAATGTTTGAACTGCTGTGTGTATATATTAGGAATTTGCAGGAGAGGAATGGGAGGAAGGGGGTTGTTAAACTGAAAGAGACTTGAGACTTAGAAGCTGCCTTGGCTTAGGACTGAAGGTGGGGGAGGGAAGTTGTGACATTCAAACCTATACCATCCATCAACATACACATATTATGAAGAATAGAGACAGCAAAATGTCACAAAGAAAAAAGAGAAAAAAGATTGGAACTTTCCTCATGGGTTTTCTGTTTTTAGTTTGATTTTCTGGTCTTTGTTATTTGTATATGTGTCTAGAGGGTTTGGTGTTACATAGCTTTGCCTACACATGAAGAGGTTCTTGTGACACAAACAGGGCTTCTACATTGGAAAATGACCCTTTTCCTTCCTCCTCTTTTTGAGGGTTTGGTTTGTAGGAGTTGGTCTTTGGAGTAGCAACACAGCAAGATCTTTATTTATTTTCTCCTTTCTCTTATAATAACAGAATCGAAAAGGTGGGGAGATTTTGAGTTTGTCAATGTGTTATGTCATGAGTCATGACACAACATTGTAAAAGGGAAGTGCTAAATTTGAAGTCATTTAGAAGAAGCCAATGCTTTGTTTGTTTTCTTCTATTATATATGTTTTAAGAGTTAACCAACAAAGAAATGTAAGCATAGGTGAGCTTGTTAATATTGGGTAGACATATAAAATTGGCAACTTTTGTTCAAGAATAAATAATAAGATTTGTAGGAAGTTGGGAGAGGATTAGCTCAATCTATTGTATCAATATGGATATTCCGACTATGTTTTTCAAAACTAATCCCCTAAATCCTAACGAGTTACGAGGGAAATGTTTGGTATTAACATTTGCAAAATTATCGATATCATATCAGAAGATGTATCGACTTTTTTTTCTTAGGTATGTAAAAAAAAAAAAAAACTAGAATACATGTTTCAAGAATAAATTTATGTATAATTTGGATGAGCCAATTTGGAAATCAATTCAACATAATCCTAGATCAAACTGATATTAAACTAGGTTACCATTATAGGATTAGAAAGAAAATTAAGGAGCAAGAAAGATAAAATCAAATAAGAAAATGTTGTAGACTCAATCATGTTCATTCTAATCTTAATTGGGTATATTTGGTATTTGTGTTGAAAGAGATAAAGTTATTCAATTATGAGTTAGTAAAATTAAGAAGAAAATTTCGTGTGAATATCATTAGAAGGAATGAATTGTACACTTATCGGAACTTGTTGTACAAACCTTTTGAAATGACAATTTTAACACGAAATTTTGATTTTGCTAGATAGAAATGGAACAAGTAATAATCTTATAGTCAAAGGTTAATTGACAAGAGGTCATAATTTTACCTACGATAAGAGAACATCAATAACTTCAGGTCATTGAATTCTTTGCTCCTTTTTTCCCCTCGTCGTTTCGTTCACCGTCTCTCTTCCTCCCTTACCTCCTCCACCACCTCCCATTACAAGTGACTACTTTGTACAAATTCAAATCTTCCAGTAATATTAACCGTTCAACCCAACTAGATTATCCTCCAATATTATCGCAATAAATACCAATAAGAACAATTATCATTTTGAAAATGTACAATCAATATGAATAAACATTTTGAAATTTACGAGGATTACTAGATCAGTCGTAGGAATTGACGAACCAGGTACACAGGTTGTTGCTTTAACGTTGTTTGAGTTGGGTTCCTCCGGCCGGCGGTGGATGTCGTGACAACGTCACGCCGGCGCCTTCCTGCCGGCGTCTCCCACTCTCTTCTCTTCCCCAAGGCAATTTGAAGAATGTGTCTGAAATAACCTTTCTTTTGGTTTCCTTTGTCAATCTCCGGCCAAGGAGAAGGTGATTATGATGATTGTTTTTCATCTCGTTGGATTTGTGATGGCAAACTTTTAATTGAGGTGTTTTTTCTTACTGTTTCTCGCCCTTTTTATTTTGAATAGAAAATTGATTGGTGAGGTTGTTTTGAGGTTTACCTTTCCCGCTTGGAAATAAATGTGAATGGACGTAATAGGGTTGTGCAACGGTTCGGTCCGAATAGCTCAGCTCAGTGATTTGGTAGGCGTAATAAAGAAAAGATAATAAAGAAATAGAACGAAATGAATCCATTATATCATATATTCAAGCTCGATTTTAGGGAAATAGGGAAGGTTCCGTTTGGACCAGATCATCATTGCATTCAGTCCATTTGGTCCGGTTCATTACGGTTCAAATACCAGTTCAATCCATCATTTCTTCAGTAATTATAAAACTAATGGGGACCAAGGACCGGACCGTATTATACTTGGTCCGGTGAAATTATCACTATTCTATACAGCGACAAACTGATAAAAAGAAACAACTATTTGGTCGCGTCCTGGTGATGGATAAAGTGCCTAGGTTGCATACAAAAGCCTATATACATTGACCAAGATGATCCCTAAGAAGACCTCCTGTTACTGACCGAACCATCAGTTTGGACCTGGATCCAACATTTTGTTGAGGGATTTCACATAATGTGTGTGTTCACATATATCCGGTTTTCTGGAGCGACTATTTTTCGCAAAGCGGAACTGTGTTTGTCGTGTGATGCGTAATCGGTCTTTGGCCTTGATCCAGAATAAATTTCACGAGCTTCTTCATTTCAATGCTTCCACATAGCCAACAAATGACGGCAAACTCAATTCCATTGTTAAGATCATTAAGACTAGTGGTCAACCAGCTCTGGAAATCAGTGGCCCCTTCTAATGTCACCAATTTGTTTTGGAAGAAATCCCAGATTCCTTTTGTCTTCATGGAAGCGTGAAGAATATTTTCTGTTGTCTCGTCTAAGTCACTACAACCAAAGAGAGAACAATCGAAGGCCGATTAAGTCGTTGCCAATCCCATTCCCCCAAGAATTGATCAAGAACTCAACAAGCGCACTTCACGTTATGTTAAGGTGTTTTTAGGTAATACCCATACCTTGATATGCCTCAAAGCTCCCAACTTATATCTCACACAGCTCATGACGCTCGAGACTTCAAGAATCACCAAGTGTTCCACACTAAACTTAGGCATCCATCCACCATCTATCGTCTTCAGTCGAAGCCATCTTAAATTTGGAATGTAATTATCGAAGTCGTCAATGAGCATCCTAGCATTTATGTCCAAGTATCTCAACTGTGATAACATAATGAAACATTCTTTTGAAACTCCAGGCTATTCCATTTTCATATAAGAGTCACTGTGTATTCTAATGCCCTCAACTCGGTCTGTTCCCTAAGGAAAAAAAAAAGAACACAGGATATCGAATGACCAAAGGAGGGGGGAAATCCAAACCAAAAATGTTCATACATGCTTGTATTGCTCATTTCTTGAACTTCATATAACGTGGATTCTTCAGTCACTTTACGCAGGACATTTTTGTCTCTAGAAGTGACGATGAATCTAGTTCCGGAAATGAAGTCCTCAATCTTCCCAATATGTTTTCAACCTTAAACCCCTCATCCACATCATCAAGAACTACAAGAGCTTTGACCTGAGAAATTCTATCTTTTATAATTCTGACTCCTTGACTAACGTCAGAAAAGCATTCGACAATGTCCACTCTCAAAATGTCAGAAATGAGCTTTCTTCTGCAAACTAATTATACCACCATTTTCTTTCATTTTTTTTTCTCGTGCATCAACCAAGAAGCTGCATCGTCTAAATCAGTAAGAAAAGGGTTGAAGAAGATCAAAGGAATTAAGCAACAAACAAAATGGGATCAAACGAATCAGTGAGTGAGAGTGAAGATCTACAACAAAATGCGAGGATGAGTTAACATACTCGTTTTTGCTTTTGACTTGCCATCCTGCTAAAGCTCCAACCTTTTTTTAGAGCCCTCTTTCCAGATTCCTACGGTCTCTTTGTCAACATTCTTCTGCTCGTGTTGTTGAAATGCCATTTGGTAAGGTCCACTTCGATGGCGGACATCACTGGGATCCATTTTTCTCTTGGTGTTTAACAATCTTGGCAAGCTCTTTGAGACATCACAGTGATCTCATCACGAGTGTCAGGTTCTCTGAAATTCAAAAACACCTCGTAGTTTCCGATTGGCAGGGACCATGATTACTTTGTAGGAGCCATTCATGGAAGTTGATCCTTTACTGGGTTTCTTGAAAGAGCATAAAAAAGACCAAAAACAATGACAGGTCTATCAGAAGTGCCATCCAATTAGAAATAAATGGTTGCGGGATTCCATAAAAATCCTGTATTTCCTTGTGTGCTTCCCACATGCAACCAGATGAAAGGAATGGCTTTGATCGATCAAAGATCCAACATAAGCTTTCATGGCCACATCACCAGTGAATTCTGACGAACCAGATGAAAGGAACCTGCTCTGATGTTTATAATATGACAGTGAACCATAGTTTATGTATTAGACAAATCCACAACTCGTGTATCTTAAAGTCGTCGGAATTATGGTTCACGAAGCAAATAAATCGTAGATTCTGAATCCTTTTACCCACAAAACTGGTTTCAACAATATCAAAGGGAATTTTTCTCAAGCGACAAAATGGGCCTTCGCAAAATCTGGATAAGCATATGCATAGAAGAGCAAAGACAATGAGCAATAAGACGAACAGTATAACGATTCCCTCATTAGCTGGCTAATTTTTCTCAAACATTATTACTCAAACATGGCCACCAATCCAAGTATTTTATCAGTCAATATTTAATCATTCCAAAGTTGCCATCTAGGACTAGTTAAGGCATTCACTGAATAGGATGGAGCAGAAGGGCATTTGGAATGGTTAGGGACAACTTGAATCTAGGAACAATGGAACACAACTTTTGGACCAACTTTCTTTCTCAAACACGACCACCACTTCATGCTTGTACTTGGTTTCTATTAGTCATGCCAAAGCTCCCTACTAGGACTCCATTCGAAAAGGATGGCAGAACTTGAATGAAGCAATTTAATATGTGCAGGAAAGTAGGGCAACCAGGTGGCTACGAAAACAACCGAACATGCATAATCAAGCATTATAAACCAACAACAATATCAAGTATTAGTCTAGTACAACAAAACATACTCATCCACAACTTATGGCAAGTGGCAACTAGTGCGCCGATAAGCAAATTAAGGCGCAACTCTGAGATTTTCCATCCGGATTAAAAAAGTCTAGGCAACAGAGAAAGGACTTTAGGAATTATACCATATAAAGGATTTCAGCTCCAAGAGACGAAACGACAGCATGGACATGTAATTTATCACAGTCATGAAACATTTGGCTGCCTTCTAGCCTTCTCTACGTAAACATATACCCAAAAGACTTGCAAGGTTATATCATCAACGAGCGCACGAACATGGTTGCACTCAAACCCTAACTGGCCTGATCAATAGAAAAACCCTAACCACCGACTTTGTTACTGTCGAAGAAACCAACAAACAGACCGTATATGAAAATCACACCACCAATTACCCCTGTTCCCATAACTTTAGCAGATTTCTTGAATGGATCACCCACAATTTCTGTATCAGGAGGAAAAAGATGCAGCCAGAACTCGTGTATCTTAAAGCCGTCATAATTAGAGCCCACGAAGCAAATAAATCGCAGATTCTGAATCCTTTTAGCCAAACAAATGGTTTCAATGATATCGAACAAAATTTTGCATCAAGCGACAGAACGGGTCTCCGCAAAATCTAGGTAAGCATATGCGTAGAAGAGCAAAGACAAGGAGCAATTAGAAGAAGAGTATAACGATTCCCTCACCGATAAACACCATGAAACCCTACCGTCAGACATCCACTGCAAAATACCAACACTGATCGAGCAGAGACACTGTCTCAGAGTCAAATTGGCACCACTACTCTCTACTTGCCACTAAAAATGATTCCAAGGAAGCAACCCGTCGGGTACCCCTTTGGTGGCAAGATCTCATTTCGGACTTGCTGGAACTCATATTATCGCTACTGTGGTCCATAGATAAATAAATAAAAGATCGTGTACGTCAGTTTTTGGCTAACTGGACTGCATCCAATTTAACAAAGTTGCTAAAGATTATAACCTGGAATCTTCATCGGTACCTCCCTGTATAATGCTTGTGCACACACTACGAAAGTTCAATCCCGCAGTAAATAGACGCACAGGTGGATAATCAACCAGCATTCATTATTGGCACAAGAAACCAAGAACAGAATGCACACCTCAGAATAAGATCAAGCTTATCAAGGACCTGATGCAACCTTAGAGTCAAAAGTATTGAAAGCACAAGCCCGAATCTGGTTGGAAGATGCATTGTCCACCTGATATCCAGAGCGATGATAGAGATATATCAGTAGACCAAGTAGTATTTAGTAACTACAGACGAATGGAGTTTAACAGTTCCATACATCTAAGCAATCATGAAATCACCAACAAGAGGACTAGGAGGTCGCTTCTTATGAAAATTGCAAAAGGAACCAATAGACAGGAATGTTACATCTTATTGAATTTTTTAATATACGCATAACATAATTAACCTTATAGATCTAACAAATCATCATAATTCCATAAAGTAAAAATCTTGCATTGCCACAACTCTTCCAAACTGAAGTATGCTTACATAAAAGGATGACTAGTTGAAACAAAATCACATATGCAGATGATCAGCTGGACAAACCAAAGGAGCCATTTCGCATAGCAAAACACAAACACGCTCATTAGAAGAAGCATTTTACCTTCGAAACTAATTCTTGAACCTCATCAAACAACTTAAAACAGGAATCCCAGCAAACAGGAAGGAGATCCTGAAATTCATGCTCAGAGAAGTTGGCATCTTCGATATGCGATCAGAGACCGACAAGCTGCTAGCTAAATCCATGAATGAAGAAATCAGTATCAAACAACATCCAAGCAATACAAGAAATCTGGAAAGAACTTTTTGAACATTCAGGTACAGGGGTGTAGAGTAGATGGATATCACAGAGATCTGAAGAACCATACTTTGGCCGACAGGTGCTTGGCTTGCAGCAATCTCTGATTAATCCACAATACACAGGTCTTTTTGTGTCATCCTTAATCTGCAAGTAAGTGGGAATACATTAGTGCATCCAAGTATAACACGAATTCATCAACGATTCCAAATTCCCAAACTATACGAGTTTCCCAACATGTTGGCACAAACTTTGTAGCATAAGGTGGTAAATTCCTCCAATGCTAACCAGAAACGTATCTATACATTATTGATTTCAAAAGTATCAACTTGTCCCTTCAGTTCAACTGCTGTAACAAGGTAGCATGTCATAATGTCACAGGTGATTATGGTCAGGCCAAAAATCCACATGGTACACGGGATGCACCATATGAATAAGATAAGAGATGCATCACTGTTTGATGTTTCTAAGGAGAGAACAACTACAGATGTGTAGTTGAACAGTAGCTACCTCAGAAACCCATTGTCCCAATACCAGGGCAATCTTGCGGTGGATGATAAGCATAATATGATGATCATTAGACAGTTCAAGAGATAAGGTAACATTAAACCTGTGATCATCGATTTCAGGATAGAGAATAGAATTTCTTTCAACTTTCAAAAGAAGAAGTGCACTCAAACATGTATAGCGATAAGAATAGTTGAAAACTGGACAAGCAATCTCATGGCTTCAAAAAAGGGAACTAAAATGCTCCACTTCACTTGGGTTTGGACATTTTCTAATAGTAGCAACATCAAAGTACTCTCCATGGACTCTCTGCAGCATAATGCTTGAAGATTCTAAAGACTTCTTCGCTTCAAATGCATGTAAAACAAATGCACACATTCCCAACTTTGAAAGGGAAGGTAGTCTCCTTATTAAGGCCAAGTCAAACAAATGCAGTCGAGCCAATTATTCCATAGATTTGAGCACATTCTAGCTGTAATGTGTCAGACTTGGAAACATTAACAGTTGAATAATCCAGCAGAAGATATGTAGCACAATAACACGCAACCTGACATAATGGACAGTATTTCCATAGTAATAATTGAAAAAGTTCACCCCTCTAGGATTTCTACTAGTTCTTTTCAGTTAACAAACAATCATGATTATTTCAAAATAACACGCAGAGGGACACAAAATTCAGAGCAACAACATGACCACCAGTCCATGTATATCTTGGTTAGTATCACTTGCTCCAAAGTACCCTTTCTAGGACCCTATTTATGACCTTTTTCTTCACAAGATTGAGCAGAGGGACACAATATTTAGAGCAACAACATGGTCACCAGTCCATGTATATTCAGTTGGAATCACTAAATCCAAAGTAACTTCTAGGACTATATAAGACTTGGTTTCACAGGATAGAGCAGAAGGGCAATTGGAGTGATTAGATAATTGCTGGCAATTCGGACATACAACATTGTTACTCAAACATGGCCACCAATTCATGTATTTTCTCAGTCAATATTTAATCATTCCAAAGTTCCCATCTAGGACTCTAGTTAAGGCATTCACTGGATAGGATGGAGCAGAAAGGCAGTTGGAATGGTTAGGGGCAACTTCAATTATAGGAAGAATGGGACACAACTAGAGCAGAAGGGCAACTGGAATGATTAAATAATTGCTGGCATTTCGGACATACAACATTGTTACTCAAACATGGCCACCAATCAATGTACTTTCTCAACTAATATTTAATCATCCCGAAGTTCACATCTATGACTAGTTAAGGCATTCACTGCGTAGGATAGAGCAGAAGGGCAGCTGGAATGGTTAGGGACAACTTCAATTATAGGAAAAATGGGGCACAGCTTTTGGAACAACTTTCTTTTTCAAACATGGCCTCCAATCCATGCATGTACTTAGTTTCTATTAACCATTCCAAAGCTCCCATCTAGGACTCCATTCATAAAAAGATAGAGCAGAAAGGTAACTATAGTCGCTTAACCATCGCTTCAACTTAGACCAAGACGGTAACAAATATTTGTGGGTCACCAGACTACAACGTAACACGAGGAGGCAACTGATTGAATGAACATTGCAGAGTTCAGATTCACTCTATCTATTACAATTGGTAGAACTTGAATGAAACAATTTAATATGAGCAGAAATATAGGGCAACCATGTGGCAACGGAAACAACCGAACATGCATAATCAAGCATTATAAACCAACAACAATATCAGGTATTAATCTAGTACATCAAAAGATACTCATCCACAAGTTATGGCAACTAGTGTGTCGCTAAGCAAATTAAGGTGCAACTATGAGATTTTCCATTCGGATTATAAGAGTCTAGGCAACAGAGAAGAGTCTTTAGGGATTATACCATATAAAGGATTTCACCTCCAAGAGGCGAAACGACAACATGGACATGTAATTTATAATAGTCAATAAACATTTGACTGCCTTCTAACTTTCTCTACGTAAATGTATACCCAAAAGACTTGCAAGGTTATATTATATCATCAACGAGCGCACAAACATGGCTGCACTCTAATCCTAACTGGCTTGATCAATAGAAAAATCCTAACCACCAACTTTTGTTACTGTCAAAGAACTCAACAAACAGACCGTACATGAAAATCGCACAACCAATTACCCGTGTTCCCATAACTTTTAGAGATTCCCTAAATAGAACACCCACAATTTCTGTATCCGAAGAAAAAAGACGGAGCCACAACTCGTGCATCTTAAAGACATCAGAATTAGAGCTCACAAAGCAAGCAAATTGCAGATTCTGAATCCTTTTAGCCAAACAAGTGGTTCCAACGATATCAAACATAAATTTGCATCAAGGGACAGAACAGGTCTCCGTAATATCTCTATAATGCACACGTTCCCCCAGCTTTGACATGGTAGGTAGTCTCCTTAATAAGGCCAAGTCAAACAAATGCAGTCGAGCCAATTCCTCCATAGATTCGACCACATTCCAGCCATAATTCCGTGTCAGACTTGGAAACATTAACAGTTGAATAACCCAGCAGAAGATATGCAACAGAATAACACGCAACCCGACATAATGGACAGTAATTTCATAGTAATCATTGAAAAGTTCCCCCCTCTAGGATTCATACTAGTTATTTTTAGTTAACAAACATTATCTCAAAATAACACACAAAGGGACACAAGATTCAGAGCAACAACATGACTACCAATCCATGTATGACCTTTTTCTTCACAAGATAGAGCAGAGGGACACAACATTTAGAGCAACAACATGGTCACCAGTCCATGTATATTCAGTTGGAATCACTAACTCCAAAGTTACCTTCTAGGACTTTGTATTCACGGGATAGAGCAGAAGGGAAACTGGAATGATTAAATAATTGCTGGCATTTCGGACATACAACATTGTTACTTAAACATGGCCACCAATTCATGTATTTTCACAGTCAATATTTGATCATTCCAAAGTTCCCATCTAGGACTCTTGTTAAAGCATTTACTGAATAGGATGGAGTAGAAAGGCAGTTGGAATAGTTAGGGACAACTTCAATTATAGGAACAATGGGACACAACTAGAGCAGAAGGGCAACTGGAATGATTAAATAAAGGCTGGCATTTCGGACACACAACATTGTTACTCAAACATGGCCACCAATCCATGTACTTTCCCAGTCAGTATTTAATCATTCCAAAGTTCCCATCTAGGACTCTAGTTAAGACATTCACTGAATATGATAGAGCAGAAGGGCAGCTGGAATGGTTAGGGACAATTTCAATTATAGGAAAAATGGGACACAACTTTCGGAATAGCTTTCTTTCTCAAACATGGTCTCCAACCCATGCTTGTACTTAGTTTCTATTAACCATTCCAAAGCTCCCATCTAGGACTCCATTCAGAAAAAGATAGAGCAGAAAGGTAACTATAGTTGCTAAACCATCGCTTCAACTTAGACCAAGATGGCAACATATACGGGTCACCAGACTACAACGTAACACGAGGAGGCAACTGATTGAATGAACATTGCAGAGTTCAGATTCACTTTATCTATTACAACTGGCAGAACTTGAATGAAACAATTTAATATGTGCGGAAATATAGGGCAACCAGATGACAACGGAAACAACCGAATAGGCACAACCAGGCACATCAACCAACAACAATATTAGGTATTAGGCTAGTACAGCAAAAGATAGTTATCGCAGCTAGTGCACTCATAAGCAAATTAAGGCGCAACTCTGAGATTTTCCATCCAGATAAAAAATTTCTAGGCAATAGAGAAGGGACATAAGGAGTTATACTAGAGAAATGATTTCACCTCCAAGCGACAAAAACACAAAATGGACCGCCCCACTCATGTAATATATATCATAGTCAGGAAAACACTCGACCTTCTCTACTTAAATGTATACCCCAAGGACTTGCAAGGTTATATCATCAACGAGCACACGAACATGGCTGCACTCAAACCCTAACTGGCCTGATCATTAGAAAAACCCTAACCATCCACCGACTCTTGTTACTGTCAAAGAACCCAACAAACAGATCGTATATAAAAATCGCACCACAATTACCCACGTTCCCATAACTTCTACAGATTTCTTGAATGGATCACCCACAATTCCTATATAAGAAGAACAAAAGACGTAACCACAACTCGTGTATCTTAAAGCCGTCAGAATTAGGGCTCACGAAACAAATAAATTGCAGATTCTTAGGTTTCGATGATATCGATCAAAATATTGCAGCAAGCGACAGAACGGGTCTCCGCAAAATCTAGATAAGCGTAGAAGAGCAAAGACAATGAGCGATTAGAAGAAGAGTATAACGATTCCCTCACCGATAAACACCATGAAACCCTACCGTCGGACATCCGCTGCAAATTACCGACATTGATCGAGCGGACACTACGGTCTCAGAGTCAGAGAGGCAACACTACTCTCTACTCGCCACCAGAAACGATTCCAAGGAAGCAACCCGCCGGCGACCACTTTTGCGGCAAGACCTCACTTCGGACGCGCCTCTAAACAGGAGAAGCTCAGCAAGCTGCAGAGCAACGTTGGACAGTCAGTTATATTTGCCGCTTTACCCATGTAGCGTAATGCGCAAGTAATACGCGTTTAAATTGGACGCGTCTCGTCAAACCGACATTGACCAAGTCAACCCACTTGCATCACACGGAATTGGGTAATTAATTGCTAGTTGGGCTTTTCAGGTCCACGAAATTGGGCTTTTGATTCCCTTTAAATTTAAAAGGAGAATAATTGGGCCCAATGTTCTCTTTTGCTTCTCAGTTCTCACACTCGCTCTACCCAATGTTCCTCCGCATTAGCTTTTGTTGTTCCAGCTCTTCATATCGACGCCACCGGACAGTGAATTTAGCTCAGTGAATCTGCCGGCGACCATGGCCAGGATTCCTTTAGGGTGCGAGCCAGTTATCGGGTCTCTCGTTCCCTCGAAGAAAAGAGACTACAGGGTCACCAACCGTCTCCAAGAAGGCAAACGTCCTCTTTACGCCGTCGTCTTCAACTTCATCGACTCTCGTTACTTCAACGTCTTCGCCACCGTCGGCGGCAATCGGGTGCGTCACGATTTCCACGCAGCTTCTGAAAGTTATTTTCTTTACCGAACCCAACTTGCATTACTCCTCTGTCTTTTAATTGACTAGGGTTTATCACCATTTTGTCAACGAATCACAGTCAAATCTACGTAATGTGTGCTAGAAAGGCTCGAACTTTATGTGAATTTAGCTCTCTGCTGGGTTTTTCATATATAGTCTTCCGGCGCCTGTCTTTTTGAGGGTTTAATAAGATTGATGTTTCAGGTCACTGTCTACCAATGCCTTGAAGGAGGAGTTATAGCTGTGTTACAGTCTTATGTCGATGAGGATGTAAGAACTGTCTGCATACTAGTTTTCATATTTTGTATTTAGTGTTGCGGGCTGGATGGTATCATTGAAGCACTTTTGGAATTTTCCATTTGCTTTGTAGATCAGAAGGATGAATCCTTCTACACGGTGACCTGGGCGTGCAATCGCGATGGATCCCCATTTGTTGTTGCTGGCGGAATCAATGGGATTATCCGTGTTATAGATGCTGGCCACGAGAAGATAGACAAGGTATGCAATGGGGGGTTGTTTATGTTGAATTCAACTGGTAGCTAGTGGCCTTTCTTTAAGAACTCACTGCTATGGAACTGCTAGCAAGGAAATCTCAACATATATTTGCTGGTTCGTCAAGTTTTGCTCATTCTCAGAACTCTTAGACCATGAGCACTAGGGGGTTGTTTATGTTGAATTCAACTGGTAGCTAGTGGCCTTTCTTTAAGAACTCACTGCTACGGAACTGCTAGCAAGGAAATCTCAACATATATTTGCTGGTTCGTCAAGTTTTGCTCATTCTCAGAACTCTTAGACCATGAGCACTAGGTGGAATCGCTTGTAAATGACTAAATGTATAAATGATTTTCCGATTGCATTTATATTTATAGCTGGAAGTTTGTAGAAACTATTGTATGTCAAGTCTTAGTAACTATGTGCTATCTTTTGTGCACTTGCATTCTTTCACTTGTATGAGCAGAGCTTTGTAGGTCATGGGGACTCAGTAAATGAAATAAGGACTCAGCCACTAAAACCTTCACTTGTGGTATCAGCAAGTAAAGTGAGTATTACTACCATCGAGTTTTCTTTTTGTTTTCTTTTCTGGACTTCTTGACAAAACAACTGAGGTTGGAGCAGGACGAGTCAGTTCGCCTGTGGAATGTTCATACCGGAGTTTGCATTCTCATATTTGCTGGAGCTGGGGGTCATCGGAACGAAGTTTTAAGTGTCGTAAGTATATTTCTCTGTGGAATTTTCATTTCATGGATAACCTGATTGGGATAACTAAATTTGTGGCTATCTCTACAGGACTTCCATCCTTCAGATATGTATCGCATAGCAAGTTGTGGAATGGATAACACTGTGAAGATTTGGTCAATGAAAGGTAGACATGTTTCACGGAGCAAGTTGTGGAATGGATAATGCTGTGAAAATTTGATTGCCTGTTTGCAATTTAGTTCCTGTTAATGTGTAGTATTGGTTTAACACTTTTCCAGAGTTTTGGCCGTCTGTCGAAAAATCATTCACGTGGACAGACCTTCCTTCGAAGTTCCCCACCAAATATGTGCAGTTTCCGGTGAGAGACTACTACTTGCTGTTTTTATTTTAGTCTCTATATACAAGATGCAGCCTCCTTGATTTTGTCCTTCAGTGTAGAAGATCAAGAGTGCTCGCGTACTAATGAAGCTACTTTCCGATTTTCAGGTCTTCATAGCTTCAGTTCACTCAAACTATGTTGATTGTAACCGGTGGCTTGGAGATTTTGTCCTTTCAAAGGTAAGAATGTTGCTTGATCCCACGTTGTATTTCTATGAACCAAAATTGAGAGCGGGTAGAATTAGCACTTGCAGTATGAAGCATCAAGCCCCATCCAATGCAATTAACAAGTCAAAAGTGATGGGGTGGTGTGTCAGTTTAGAATTCCAATTGGTGTGAAATGTCTCATGTGGTTGTCACCAGATATGCATAGAACACTGCGACGACATTTACAATTGTTGGTAAATAGAAATACACTCCATGTATGTCCTCACTTGGAGTAATTTACCCGTCCAATGCAGAGTGTTGACAATGAGATTGTGTTGTGGGAACCGAGAACGAAGGATCAGTCTCCCGGAGAGGTGAGATTGATAAACATCTATTTAGAAGTTTCAACATTATCAGATTTCAGATCCATGAACCGCATACTAGAGCACTTCATGAGTTATTCCTGATGACGAATGTTGAATGTTCAGTATTTGCTATTTTCTTATAACTCGGAATTTTTGTACAGGGGACGGTGGACATCCTTCAAAAATACCCTGTTCCAGAATGTGACATTTGGTTCATCAAGTTCTCGTGCGACTTCCACTATAATGCTGCTGCCATAGGTATACATACATGACAACTTTCTTCTTCCCTTGTATTTCACCAAGGTAAGCATATATTCCACGGCTGATCAATGACTCACACGCTCCGCTGGCTGTTTACAGGGAACAGAGAGGGGAAGATCTTTGTCTGGGAGCTGCAAACCAGTCCCCCCAGTCTTATAGCAAGGTTTGTAAGATTACAGCAACAAAATGCCAACTTCTACGTTATAGAACTAAATCGCAGCAGGCAAATATGACTTCGAAATTTTGTGTTTCTTGATCAGACTCTCTCATGCTCAGTCCAAATCTCCAATTAGACAGACCGCAATGTCTTTTGATGGCAGGTACGTCATGATGATTTTATCAAGTGTTTGGCATAATATTATTTGAATCTTGCAGCTCGAAGAGTTTCGTTTGATCTTGCATGCTTGCCTGAATGCAGCACCATTCTTAGCTGCTGCGAGGATGGAACAATATGGCGCTGGGATGCAGTATCCTCATCATCTTCGTCGTCATCTTCCCAAGTTTAGTGTAGGAATTCGAACGCGTCACTGTTTGCATCTTTCAATTAAAACAGAAGGGTGCGGGGGATATGAACTAGGATAGTTTCCGCAATCGAGGTTACCATTTTCTCTGTTGTAAAATAGCTATTAGTAATCACTATTGTAGTATTGTTCCAGTTGGTCATTTTCACTACTTTTCCTTGTCATGTCATCCTTTTGCTCTTCATCTTTTACTTTGGTTGGAAGATGCAGCACTCCACTCGACATATTCATTCCAAAAATTGGAAGTTAAGATCAGGATATGGAGCACACCAAATCTACACAATAACTTGCAAACGACAGCAACACTAGATTGCGTTGAAACTAATGAATCTCTCCAACTACTTCGATCTCAATCAGATCAAAGTCAGTTTCATTCAAATGCAGATTCAAGTGAGTTTCATTTGATTAGGTTCGCAGTTTTGCATACTAGGCTTAAGAATGCATACAACAAGGCTCTGAGTGTTTAAGGCTCAGAAAGCAGCATGTGAGGAACACCAATCTACTGCCGATTCTCTATATGTACAAACAAAAAATTGAAGAATCAAGTGTGTATGCCGAGCTCTGTTCTATTGAATCCGTTTTTATCACAAAACTGTACAGTACTGGGAAATGCCCCCGGTGTGACTAAATCTGAGTCCGTAATTGCATCAGCAAATTCTTCATGCTTTCAAGGTTCTGACATACCTGAATAATATCTGAAATATTCTGCACTGACGACTCGGGGCTTGACAAGTTGTTCATAATGGCTGCGCATTTAGCTTGTGAATCTTCCACTGCTTCCTCCAGCAAACAAACTGTAGATTCTGCTTTCCTCTCATCCATGGTGCCATTGCTCAGATTCAATGGTGGCATGGTTGCAAAGCTATGAGGGCTACCAACTCTGCTTAGCCTTTCTGGAGTGAAAATCCTTTCAAAGCCCTCACTTCCTATAATTAGCACAAAGGTACGTTAGGAATAAGTGAGAATTTAGGCTTTCAGAGGCTGATTGAAGATACAAAATACACAGTTCCTAGTCTCTTACCAAGATTGCTAAGCTGGTCGATGGCAGCCAGACCGATGGAGCGCTCCAGCTTCAGGAGCCTCAGGATGCCAGCAGTAATCCTGCCCATGGCATCCAACTCTGATTTACACAAGAATGCAAGATGCTGGAGCTCATCTTTGGTAACAACAGCCTGAATCTGCAATACAGTATAAAACCACGATAGTAGTGGGTATATTCTTAGGAACGATAATAGCAATGATGAGAAGAGAGATAAAAGTCAATGAAAAAGTAAGTACCGGTTGCTTGACAGAGAACTTGACGTTTTCTGCTTCCCAGTTGTCCATATGATAATCGGCATCATCATCATCTTCCTCTGGCATCACCAAACTAACCTCAAAATCTATCCCTCCAGGTGACTGGACAACTTCTTCAACTCCATTTTCAGAAACTCTAAATTGTTTTTGAGAATGTGGCTTCAGTATCTGTAACCCTTCCACGCCAACCTACAAGAGAGGCAAAATGATAATATAGTGAACGAGCATACAAGAGCAAGATGGATGAATTTTCTTTGAAGGTAACAAGGAAAAGGTTATGCACGACATAAATTAGCATAGCAGGCTTCAATCCGTACCCCCACCCCCATAGCTCAAAGACAATTAACTGTACACATTAATGGCTTCAGTTCCGTGCTCATTTAACCGTTGTATAATATAACTATGATCGAAGCAGTTCCAATCAACCAAAAGCACATTGACGTCCACAGCTAGTTAGGGCATGTATTGGTGAGCGGAGTACAAAACAAGGACATCTTAGAGCAAATGCTTATTTAACTTTTAAGACATTTTTTATTGAACATCGGCAAATCCTGCAATAGTGCTTCTGCTTCACGGAGCATCCTAGCTAAATCTACAGGACCAAATCTACAGAATATTTCGGCGCATGTGAAAGCTCCCTGTGAAAGAGAAGACATGTTATAATAGAGACAAAGAGTACTTACTGTGACCAAATCTACAGGATATTTCCGCACATGTGAATTTCCTTTACCATCTAGCTCGTTCTTCAGACTACTTTTTGCTTTAACCAGAAAACTCTGGAAAGTAGTGTGCCAACTCCTCTGCTCTCTGCCTAGATTGTCTAGGTCAACAAATGACGATCCCCCTGCTAATTCTCTTTCACCTTCAAGAGCAAACAACCAGTCTTTGAATTCTACACGTACATCAACATCATCTGGCATTCCAAGCTGCAGTAGACCACCTTCATTATCACACCCCAAACTTCCATCTGCAGAGGACAGAAATGTTTGATCATTGAAGCTTAGATTTCACAGGGAAAAGCTACCAGTAGGGCATATAAAACAAATGAAAACTTTAATGCCCGCACCTTCATCAACATCCTCAGCACTAAGAGGAGATGATTTGAAAAGTTTTGATAGTGGGCCCGTTGATAAATTCTTTAATCCTTTAGACAGTCCCACCCCAGGACCACCATCAGGTCCAAGTATCCCAAACCGATGCAGCAGGGACTCGGCATAATTCATTCCTCCACCAAGACGGAGACCATAAATGCAGGCTGATACTCCTAAACTATGGCACTCTCTGTCCTCTTCACTGAAAGGAATCATATGTTCCACGCTTACATCTAGAAAAGGAACCACATAATTTTTACCATTGGATTTCGGCATGGTCTCCTTATTTACCCAAAGGACAGCTCTGAGATCAGGGTATCCATTAACACTTATCAAATGGTAATTCTCAACGGTGCTTATCATTGACTCATCTTCAGTCTCTACACAGTCTATCTCAACACTCTGCCACTGTATAGCAGACGAAACAGCGACAGCACCACCAAGGGTTCTATGAATAACTTTAATGAAAAGATCATCCCCGACGAACAGAACAAGAGGCTTTCCCTCAACTTTTATAGTAGAGGATTCCAAAAATTTGAGTTCAAGTTTGCTCAGTGTCAAGCTAACAGCAGTATCAGCTGGAGCCTTATCTATTAGCCTTTGGCTTATCGATTCACTCAGACCTCTCTTTGCTTTACTTTCTTTGCCAGCTAAGGCAATCTTTTCACTAAATCTTCCGAAGTATGTATAAAGATCCAGGACGAAAAATAACTGCTCAACTGAAGTGTTTGATATATACTGCTGACAAGCTATCCCTATCCTAACAATACCACCAGGAGGAGGAATGTTCGTCAGTGGGCTCCCATCGGGAGATACCATAGCCACCTCAACTGATCCACCTTTCAGTTCAACACATCTCCACAGTTCTGAAGTCAGTTCGTCAGGTTTTGGTAGCTCGGATAAGGTAGCAGTTGTTTCAAGATATAAACTAAGACATGAGGCACCAGCAGTCCATTTTTTCTGGCTAGCATCAATAGGCTGACCTGGCCAAAGAGAAAAGCATGCAGGATCCTTCTCAAGGTTCAGGAGCCTGAGTTTTAGAGAAGGAGACTCGGAGAAGAACATGTTTTCTATGTGAAGCCTTGCTCCAGTAAATGAACTTTGGCCACCATAGCTCCTATCTTTTTCGGGAGTACTTGAATCACTCATTTCTAAGGGAACTGTAAAATCTAATTCCTTCAGCGAGAAGTTCATTGAATTCACTGATATATCGGGCAAAACATCCCCAGGGTTGACAACAATACCATCAGCCAGGAATGAAGATATCCTCAAACATGATTCCTCTTGAAGATAAATCTATTCAAATAACAAAATAATTAAAACCAGTACCAAGAATAAAGAGTGTCAACTATGAGATTGAGAAATCATACTGTAAGAGGCTGGCAGATAATATGAGTCTGACAAGCAAAAGAAGGAGGGACTGGGGAGGGCTGGACTTGAAGAGAATGTAGGGAAATCAATGGAGTGCCTGCACTCAATTGCCATTGCTGCTCTTCAAGAGGATATATCGGTGGGCAGAAGTTCGTTGCTGTCAACAAATTTCAACATTAAGTGTCATGCCTAAAGCTAAAAATAACTGACCCGGCAAAATTTTGAGAGTGAGTAGCAATTATTAGTAATATACCAAATGCAGGAATCTGCGTAACATTTTCAGCAGCAGCCAGCATGGATGGTTGTACTAAAGTACAAGGAGGTCGGCAAAATGTATCTCTGCGTTCCACCAACTCAAATAATGTTAGATGCTGGAATAATGAAGAAGATAATGCAAGAATTGACCATGGCGTCATCAAAGGGTGGAACACTATTGCATGACCTTCAAAATTCAGAACACAGTTTTCCTTGCATCGTTATTACTTTAAACGTAGAAAATTTCATGATTTTTGAACCACAGCTCAAATGATCGTCAGAAGAATATCGACGCCATCTTGGTAGTGTATCCACCAGGTATGGAAATCTAGGAGCAAAGCCACTCATTCTTTTAATTTCAATGTAAATTCCCCTAGTTCTGGTTTTATGCCTCAAAATTCTTTGATAGATACAAGGCCTAATCTTCAAGACAGAGCCTCAGGAGGTCATAAAAGGAGGCTGGGTGCTTGGGGTTTCCATGTAACTTTATCAGGAAACAGATAGGTTCAGAAAGTTCTTTACACAAGGATTCTCAGTAGAAAGGCAAGACTATATCAGATAACCAAAATTTCCTTTCACCCTTAATGAGAATCCTCAAATATATCAATAGAACATACAAAGAGCTCGCTCAACAATCACCAGCAACTATTTGTTGCCAGCAAGTGATCGAGAAGTAGTTCAACTGCGCTTACCTCAAGAAGAGTCCTCCTATCATGACCTTGGTCAAGTTTTTGGCAAGTTCACCATCAGAAACTGTTGCCTGCAAAAGAAACTTCCAGTGAGATTTTGGAATAATGCACACAAACCAATTTTAACAGATCATAACTAAGAACACTTTCACTCCAAAAAGAAAAACACCTTATTCGATGAGTTAATAACACCTTATTCTGAATAGGAAGCTCTTTGAAGCTTTTCTCAAGATTCATTTCAGTAATTCTAATTCACACATAGTGTGAAACCAATATCCAAGCCACAGCAGCAATATCATCATACCACTCAAAATTGAAGCACCAACAATGCTATTTAAGCCTAAGAACCTACTAGTGTATCTTAAGACAAACATCAATGGCTGATTATTGAGTTGTGGTGAGCAAAAAGAGTGTTTAATTGACAGTTCCACAATGCGATTATGCATCAAATTAACAAACTGGTTGAAACCTACCCGCGAAAATAAGAGTGACTGCATCAGAAGTTCAAGCCGGAACTCTGCAAGAAAATTAAACAAGTGAATGGTTATTCAGTGATACAGAACACTTTATTCTTTCAAAGCATGTATTTTCCATTCTCTACAACTACATACCATCTGGGCTAAGTAAGCAGGAAACATGCATGTATAGAAGAAAGACACCAGTAGAAAACTCTAGGTTGATTATGCACAGTGAAACGGATAGACAACCAATTATAAGCAAATGACGAACCAGCATCTTTAATGCAAAGAAATATGTGGTCCACGACAATAGATACAAGAGAACGTCCTGCTGCTTCTGTAGATGACTGCAATGGTGACATTAGAAACTGTAGTTAGTGGAGATTCCTTCCATAGACGATGAAAGCACTGTGAAAGAACAGGAGAAACTTGAACCTGCTGGGCTTTAAGATCCACGTCCCCTCTGTTAAGACACACATACAACCCTGTGAAGAAGCGGAGGAGGGCACGAAGTCCTAACGAAAACAACAGAATATAAAGCATCTCAGGCATTTCGGCTTAGATGTTACAAGGTTCCGATGAAAGAATGAGCAACTACCAAATGCCTCATGTACCCGGTTCACTCAGTGCAGGGCAGACAGCTTCTGTAACATGCAGTTGAACCTCCAGACCAAGAGGACAATTTTGATTAGTCCGTTGCAGTGTGATCTGATGCAAGTATTATTGTCAGGAAAAGAATATGATCACAGTTTGACATGGATAATGTTCACTGCAAGAAGTACAGAACAAAGTAAAATTCATGTAAATTTTACGTAGGAGGAAAACATCTTACATAAGCCTCGCCTGATATCCCTTCAAGGAATCGTTCTCCACCAAAGAAAACTCGCTTTGCACCATCATTATCTCTCTGGTTCTTTCGCTCCTGATAGCGTTCTATATTCGCTTCGGTGAACATATCAGGATGAGGCAAGAGATCGATAGATAAAGATCCCCATTCCAGTTTCTGTTGAGCAGAGATAACTGGCAAAATTAGATATTTCACATGGACACTCTTCAAAGACACACAAAACTTCGCCCCCAAAGAATACTAGAAATATCTTAAAACAGAAAACCAACCACAACTACTAGAATCTCCCTACATTAAACAGGGAACGATATGTTTGCATGCTTCAGCAGCTTTCAAACTACCTTGAAGACATATATGAATGTTTTATCATTGGAGAAGTCGCGTGCGTCCTTTAGATTTACAACCTGTCACACACGACTGTCTGGTCAAGCGGTTTATTGAGGAAAGATTACATAAAAAGGCATGAAAATAAAGTTGGTTAAGTACCTCCCAGTTTTCATTAGTGGTATAAAGCACAAGGTTCCGTATGGTAATAGATGCCATCGGTGGAGCCCTGAAAAGCAAGTCAGAAAAGAAAGTTGGGAGTTTAAGTCAATAGTCATATTCAAATTTTAGTTATGGTTGATAGGAGTATACAAAATGAGCACAAGGACGAATTTGTTCAAGCAATTATAAAAAGGAAACTACAGCTCCAAGTTTGGATTACATAAAGTATTCCCGTTACGACAAAAGAACAAATCCATAAGCAATTAAGATCTTACCAGGCAGCTCCTCCCCCTCGACGAGCACCCCCATGCGTCTCAAGTAGAAGGTTCACAGTGCTAACCTTGATTGTCATTCCATCTGCAATCTGGCATTGAAGAAGATGATTCAACATTGTGAAAAGGAAAACCATGTCACATCCATCCAGCATAACTGAAATTCCAAATCTTATAAAACCCTACACGTTGCCATCTATTTAAGTGGATACCATCTGTGCACAAACATCAGAAGAGGGATCATAGATGAACGGGTGGATATCCAGCCTACTTATACAAACAATTCCTAGGGAATCCAAGTTTCAGGACTTATTCAAGCATCTTCCAACTTTTGAAATATTAAGACCATAGATCCTTCGAGGAAAGTCAAGGCTTTGATATCAGTTGTGGCATCTGTAACCTGTAATACAAGCCTTCAGTCTCTTCTTTAGCAATTATATCATTACACATATACACCATAGCGAGGCCAATCGATACTGGAAATACATTTCTAACATATTCACTTCACCTTATCGGCAAAACCATAGCCACTACTTTTGCTGGTGCTAGACGAAGATGTTGAACTGAAAGATGGAGAGAGAGAGAGAGAGAGAATCAGAGATGTCACACTGAGTAGTAAAAAGCAGATTTTATATCAACCGTAGGGACATTACCTTTGAGTAGGGCTAGAACTATCCCAATCCCGGTTCTCCTCGAAAACCAAATCAAGCTTATCTATTTGCACGACGATTGGTTCCGTTTGCACATTGCTCACATAGGGCAGCTGAGGGGGAACAGGAATTGCCAAGCCATACACAGATTAGTTCAATAAACATACATACGATAGATCAAGACACGAAATAATCATACAGATCAGAATATACAACATGTATGTTGCTAAACAACAAGCAGACGTATTCCCGCCACTAGCTAAAGTTCAGTTGGAATTTCCAGAACCAATTAAGCAAATCAGAGATCAGGAAAGAAAGAGGAGAACGAGAAAGGAAGGGAAATACTGACAATAATTTCGAACTTCCCGACTTTTGCCTTGGTCACATTAATCGCTGGTGGCAGCCCCATACTAGCGTGCAAGGCATCTCCGTTGATATCTAAACCACAAGAGTTCACAAAGAAGAAGAAAAAACATCAAGAAAACGCAGAATTCCAGGGACGGGGGATTCCAACGAGAACAGCAATTTCTCACCAATCCATAAACAGTGGAAACACGAGAAAAAGAAAGAAACAGTAGAAAGCTTGAATCTCCATTCACTAATAAGAACGCGCACAAATGTCGAAGCCCAACCTAAATTGGAGAGCTGGACGGTCCGCCCCTGAAGCTTCAACTGGTCTCTGGAGAAGGATTTCAGCCAGTACTTGAGAGTGTACTCCAGCGCCCGAGCAAGTATTGCCTCCATCGTCGTCGGCTGTTTCAGTTCGCTCAAGTTGATGAACTCTCTTCCGAAGAATTCAAGAGAATTCCGGCAGCAAGTTGGCCGATCGGGAGGTGAAGGGATCGGAGGAAAACTTTCACATGGAGAAGAGGCGTCGATGGCTGTGACAGAATAGAGGAAAGGAAACGAAGGAAAGCTGGTCTCTGTTAGACTGTTAGCGTGGTGTGGACTGGAGGAAAGACGGTGCGGCGCACGAGGACGGCACGTGCGAGGCGCGGAGGAAGGGTAGTTTGGTACGTGCGAGCGGGAGATTTTGGATTTTGCTTTTTCAGTTATTTACGGTGGGCGCAGCAGCGCGCAGGTTGCATTGGATCGCGGGGTGGAGGGCTCTTTTGTCATAAGCAGTTTTGTCGGACACTTTCAGCTCCTTTGAATTAAACATTGTTTGGATGAGGAATTCTAATGGATCGATCTAACACAATTGTCTCGTTTTGAGTCAATTGTGCTAGATTGATCCATTTAACAGCAGAAAATTTGGATGAAGCAATTTGGCCTGAGGAATTCTGAATTGACTCATTTTGAGCCAATTACAATTGTCTGGGGTGGGGGCAGGTAATCTGAATTGACTCGTTTTAAATGACTCGTTTTGTAAAATGAAACAATTGGTCAAATTGTCTCGTTTTACAATTGATCCATCCAAACGACCCCTAATAATTAAATCTTATTCAATTAGCGAGTCTTGTGAGTAGCTCGAATAAATAAGATTTTGGCTATGTGATCGAATATATCTTATTTATAATTTTTACTATTGAAGTAGATGATAATTACCATTGAATAACATTGAGCCACGATGGGGTGTGCCGGAAGGCCCTCCGACACAAGATATCGGAATATTAGGAGGCCTTTTTTTATCGTAGGTTTGTTAGTTTAGTTCAATCCTATATTAAATGATGAACTTGTGGCGTATGATTGATTGATTATGGTTATAACGATACATTTTAATCTGCTACTCGACTAGAAGTCTAGAACATGTGACCTCATTACTGAGCTAGTCGAGTTGGAGTCAAACGCGAGTCAAAATTTCAATAAACACGCCGAACTCGAGTTAGGCCAAACTTAGCTCATCCGCCACATTAATTAACGTCCTACGATTCACATTATCTGTTCGCAGACAGTTATAATTGGCCAAAATATATCAATTCAAAATTCTCCAATTCAAATTGATTCATCCAAATTTTATGCGGGTAAACTTAGTCAAGTTTCCATTACCACTACACTTAAACTGTTCTGTTTGTGGTAAATTGTGAGACCAAATGATAAAATGTAAAAGCAGGGATTTACTAAAAATGAACAACACAACAAAAAGAAAGAACCATTTATTGTAGCTCATGATATACTTTTGTTGCCGGTACAAGATGGATACTCCTTGTAACTCGAGTTATTAGAATCAATTCATTCTCAACCTAGTACAAAGCTTTACACAGAGCTCTTGTGTTTAAGTCCTCGTAAATCACTATATTATCAATTAAATTATTCATAACAATATCTTAGATATTTGCAAGCCGTAAGCCCATGAATTGGCTTTCATATGACAAAACATGTACGACAATCGTATAAGATCGATACGATACTAACATTTCCTAATGAAGTGGTCATCAGCACTTGTGTTTGAATTACATAATGTGACTTGTCTAGGGGCTATCCACACTTCAAGTCTCCCTAAAATAAGAGAAGAAAGGAAGTCAATTTATCTGTTCTATACCTGTCTTGGGCACCAGTTGGCTTACTGCTTCCATCACTGTTTCTCCTAAAGGAATTGCCATCTCATCTCTCAGTGCTCTATTTCTACGGGCACGACGAACTAACCCTATTGTCTTCTAAGTTCTAACTACTGGGTTTTGATTCTATCCGATGTTCCAGAATGGACTTTCTGGGTTTAGATTTGAAAGTTACCTGACATGCTTCAACAACCATACGGACATGAGGGTCGTCTTTTGGTATTTTAGTAAGCAACCTTTTGGCAGCGGTGTGGCTTCCACAAGCCAGAAGAACTTGGTACATCCTGCACCAAGCACACGCAAAAATGAAGGTTCAGAGACATTGTAGGCAGAGATCTGAGCCTTTCCAACTAACGGTTCGAAAATCGTGCAACGTACCTCAAATGGCTCATGACATTGTAAGGAAGTCCAGCTATTTCATACTCTTTCCAGACGGAGCGTGCATGGGCTAAGTCCTTGGCCTTGCCGCATGTATGCAAAAGAAAATCAAGACTTTTACGGGAAGGGCTGAGACCGAGTTCAGATTTGATTATTCGTAGCAACTTCAATGCCATCTCTAAGTCTGGTTGTTCCGTATCAGCAATAATTGCAAAAAACTGCATGATTTTGATATGAAAAAACCAGAAGATTGTGGTTTCGTCAACGATGTTGCAACATTTAGAGAAATCGACAATAAGTTGATGAAATGCAATTGAGAAAGAAAAGGCTGGAGACAACCAAACACAATACAGCAGTAGACGGATAACTGGAAAGACCATCATTTTCAAACTAAGTACATTCTGAACAGATGACAAGTTAGCAATGGCAAGCAAATCAAACCTCATCAAATATCAATTCCATTGCGACTTCATCTTCGGAAAATATCTCCACGAGTTGTTTCAGCAAATCAATAAGACAGCTAGTACATGGAATTATGAAGAATATTATTAGACCGAAGCTTTAACCAGCAAAAGAAGGATAATAGAGAAAACAGTCCCAAGCAAGTAGATTACTATTTACCTAGAATGCTTGTTACGAATACAATGTAACACAACCCTGTAACATGCATCCACCCGGTACTCAGATTCATGTACTTCTTCCAACAATTTAAGTAACTCACTTGTCTCTCCATCAGATGGAAATTGCTCCTATTAGTAAACAGATTATATATGACAGAGGTCATGAGTTGTGGACACATGTGGCAATATTTTCCAAAAACAAAATTGGTTTCCCTTGATAGCTAAACTTACAATTAGATTTATAGTAGCTTTTGACGTTATATTGTTTCCAGCGTCCTTAATTTCCTTGTATATGCCAAAGGCATCAAAAAATTGTCCATGGCATGCCAAAGCAGATACGAGAGCGCTCTTAACTTCATCCAGGGCCTCATCTACAATGGTTTTGTCCAAGAGTACCTACCGTACATGATATCAATGTGTACCAAGTATATATGAATTTCCTTTTTTCTGAACATAACATGATTGATGTAAAGCATTTATGAATACCTGTTTTGCTTTCTCAAAATGTCCCAAGGCTGTATATGCATTGACAAGCGCCATCGAAACATGCTTTGTAGCTTTAATACCATCAAGCTGCATCTTTTCGTAATACTACCCAAAACAATAAACATGGAGTTCCACATGAATCGTTTTCATGCATCGTACCCAGTGCTATAAGCATATACTAATTTTATCATTCCTGCAGATTTGAGAAACCAATGCTACCTTTATGATTTGATCCTCATTCCAACAGTTGCTTATCAAATAGCTGTAGGTTTGAGAATCAAGTTTCACATCCGCAAGTTCCATTTCCTTCAGAACCTTCAGAGCACTATTAGCATTTTTCTGCAAAACATTTTGTCAGAAGTTAATTGGATATAGAGACCATAAACACTGACAATCGGAACGGATTTTGGCAGGCCAGGCATCAACGAAGCCACATGAGCAAACTACCAATTACAACACTGGCTGCAAGGTCAACAGGCAAAATTAGAAGTTCTTATTAGCATTTGCATGTTGACATGTATCTTTGCAACTAAAAGAACAAAGTTGATTTTCTTCAATGAACTATCACTTGAGCCTCCGACATCCCATCTTGAAACTTGACCAGGCTAGCACAGCTAAAAAGTTCCGTAAGGTAATAGTTTGTAAAAGTTAACCAATAATTGTCATTTGTCAACTAGTAGTAAAGGGCACCTGCATAGGTAGGAAGAATCACCTGCCGAAAGAACCCTCCCATTATAACGTTAAACATGTTTACTGTAGGTTTTAATCCCCTGTTCTTCAGATCTTCAAGTATGTCATATGCCAGGTCAAACTGCATTATTGAAAAATGATTGCAAAAGACCAATAAAGAAAATATAGTCCCAATGAAAAGAGAAGGATAATTAAAGAGTAAAAGACTAGGATAACAGAAGTACACATATACAGACAAAAAAGGTAGGAACTTACGTCTTTTATCCTCACACTCAAGGTTATCATTTTCCTGAATGTATCAGTAGTTGGTTGCAAATCATGATTACTCAACAATGAGTACATCCTCCGAACCTAAGGTGAACAAGAAAAAAATAAAGCTACATAGATAAGCGCCAATAGTTACAAACACTAGGGACTTGGTCAAATTAATCACTGAAAGGGTGACATGTCAAATTTTTCTATACAAGTAAAAGAGGTAGAAGCGGCATGCCAAATTGCCCCATTACAACTAAAAAACGCAACTAAATGGAATCTAGGTTAAAATACCAGGAAAAGATTTGAAATCACATGGTCAACTATCCACTTAAAACAGTTATCCAAGCAACAAATTCCACCCCAGTTTCTGACTCATTGATGCATAAAAGTTTCTCACTGGTAATGAAACAATGAATATCAATGATCAAAAACTGTCGTCACTAGGCAAATACCAGAATATAGTCCCTGCTTTCATCTATGGCATCCAGTAGTTTACAAAATGTGTCCATGGATAAGGATAATTGATCTTCATTTATTTGGTTGACCAAGTCAAGAGCAACGTAAACCTGTAAAATGATAATAGAGAATCAGCAAAAGGTAAAATTCTGGAAAAGAAGGTAAGTTCGAAAGATAAGTTGATTCATAGAGTATTAGAGTCCAAGTATCGGGAAGCAAACTGGAGTCCAAGTATCCCTTTCTTGAATAGCTGAGAATCAAAAACGAGAATAGCATTGGGCTAAACATATAATCATACCTTGAGTTCATCACAGCAGTAAGCTATGAGCTGCTCATAAGAACCAATAGAAGGTTTTATGTCCAGCTCTGAGTGCAGCTCTTTGAACTTTAAACTGACATCCTCAACCTTCAATAACCCATCAAAATTAGCAGCACCTTCTAAATGTACAACAAATGAAGTCATAATAAAGACAGAGTAAGTTTATTTCAGTGCGTCCATAAGATGTTACACATATTTTAGTTAAGAAATGAAAACTGAGCTTCCCCGGTAAAAAAGGGTTTTAAAAGAGAACTGTGACCAACCGAAGTTCTTCTACATAACAGTGTAAATGAAGAGCTTCTTGGTGATGAAACAAATAGACGATAGACTTTAGATGCAATCAGCGATCAAGTGACATCTAAATAAACAGAGAACGAACTATAGAAAGAGAACTGCTTTTAGATGCACCTCGTAGCATTATGGCCAGAAGGACATTATAAGCAGCATTCATGAGAAGTCCCCACCTCTAAATGTGGAATTCCAGTAGCATAACTACAGACGAGAGTTGATATGTTCTCTGCAGCATAATCTGCATTCAACCCGGAATAGAGAATTAATTTGCATACAAGGCTCAAAACTCTGACAAACTTAAGGGAAACATTTTCTTCTTAATGTCTCTGTTTGTCAATAGTCAACTATCACTACCTGCTTTTGTCTATTCCTATTCCAAAGCAATCAAATATGGTCTGTAAACTTTTCCTCATTGAGATAGTATGTGGAGATCTTATATAAAATTCAATTCCAAAAGAACCGGTATAGGTTACAATACTGACATAGTCAAGACTCAAGATGCCGGAACTTAAAATCAACCAAGTTGGAAATCACATCATTCGAAAGGCAAGATTTCGCTATAAAGCTTGCAAACAAATGCACTCCAACAGTTTAACCTAGATGTAAAGAGAGATGAAAAACATCCAACCCCTTTACGTTAAATACTTGGTATCATCACTGGCTATAAATGAAAACACAAATGCTTTAGGTCCTTGATAGCTCTAAACCACTGCCACTATTTTAAGAAATTTCCCTTCCTACTACACAATGTTTTCTGAGGGACTTGCATTTTGAAGCTTTTTTTTTTTTTTTTATAATAAAAGCAAATAAGATCATGCCCAAATTGCAGTTCAAACAACAGTTGAAGTTCACAAATGACCTAGTCAAGAATATTACCCCACAAAATTCTTACCGTAAAAGTTCTCATACTTCTCAGAAATTAGGGTAACATTCTTTTCGTTTTGGTAGTTAGCAGTTACTACGTGGCGCCACTGGTAGATGCATGACAATAAGGGGGCAAGAACGAGATAACTGAACTTACCACAACTTTTGCATGCTAAAAGGAACTTCATCGTGAAGGACTCCAGGGACAACCTTCCAAAGCTATTAAAGATAGTGGAAATGTGCTCCATTGACTCAAATTTTGTTACATCAATAACGTCCAGCAGTGGCAAAATTTCGTTCTTCCGGTTACTTTCACAAAGTGCTATAAAATAATTCTCTGCAACCATAAAATGACGTATATAAACTCTTACAGTAATTGAGGAAAAGCCTTTAGAAAATTGGACTAGTTCTCTGAAACTGCTAAAGAATAAGCCACTTACCATGTACCTTGAGATTCTTTGTTTCGCAACCAAGAGAAATCATATTGCAGAGTTCTTGAATCTTTTGCTCATCACCAACTCTGATATATCGCAACATCTCATAGTAGCCTAATCTTGCAAGAGAGCTAGGTTTCCCAGTTTTAATGGCTTGATGAAGAGAATCGAATTCTTGAACCATCCTCATATCAATAAAATACATAAGCACAGGTCCATAAGAATTTTCTTCGATCTGGAAACCTTGCTCCATCATTATGGTGAGGATATGAGAGCACATAGACATTTGTTTGGAAATAATCTCATCATCTTTAGTTTCCCTGGCTATCTTTAAACAGCTCTTTATCAATGCATCATATTCTTTTGCGCCTGTTGCTCGTCCCAATTTTCCAAATACATCCAGGGTCTTCTCCGACCCAAACTTCTGAGCAATCCTTCTGGTTATCTTCGCAACATGGTGTTCCTGGCTAGAGCTGAAGATGAATTTGTCTTTCCTAAAACGACTCTCTTCTTTCCGTTGCGAAGGGTCTGTACTTGTCAAATCCCGCAAAAAAGGGATACCCAATACATTTCCTGAAGATAACTCGTCACTGGCTCCCTCGGCATCACGCGGGAGACCTGAAACGAGATTAACAAAAAGACTAGTAAAGCTATTCCGTAGAACCCAAGTCACGATGAGTTCATTGATTCGGAATGATGATATAGTCCCCAGTTAGCTATTGAAGATTGTTAGTAGCTAGTCAATTCTCCAGCTATAGTATTCATAGCTTTCCCTGTCATTTTATTCTCTTTTAGTTTTGTTCAATTAAAATCCAATGACAGGCAAGCAGACCAGTGCTACCATAATGCTACCTGCTACCCCTCACGATCCTCTATATCAAAATGGCTCTCTGCATCGCGCAGGCCGAATAGCAAGTATAATTAGAATCCCCTATAACAAATTTGACGAGGAAATTAAACACATACCGAGCATTATACTCTCCAGCTCCCGTGTCAGCTCAAGTGGGGGAACATCTACATGAGGCAGAACACAGTCCATCAGAATCGTTCATACGATTTTAGCACCGAGCAAAAACCAACCTGTACCTGAGTTGGAAGCTTCCAATTTGATATTGGGCAACGTTGAACTAGCTGAAGGACGACGCTGCTTTGTTTTGCGGGAGGGCTTCTTTCGGGTTTTCGTGGAGCCTTTGATGGTCGAGGATGACGATGATGGTATGGGAATTCGTACGGAGCGGGCTGCAGCGGTGGAGGCTGTCTCAAGGGCAGGAGTAGTGCATTTCTTCAAGGATTTAGCCGAGAGTTTGGTGGCAGAGCCGGCGGTGGTTTTGGAAGCGCAAAGTTCCAGAACTTTGGCCGTGGTGGTCGGCGGAACGGCAACGGGGACAGCGGAGGGAGTTTTGGAAGCGCACAGTCTTAGAACTTTAGCCGTAGTGGTCGGAGGAACGGCAACGGGGACAGCGGAGGGAGTTTTAGAAACGCACAGTCTTAGAACTTTAGCCGTAGTGGTCGGAGGAACGGCAACGGGGACAGCGGAGGGAGTTTTGGATCGTTGTAGCGCGGCACGGAAGAAGGAGCTTAGGGCTTGACCTTTGCCCATTTAGGAAGAATGTGATGGCAGTGCTGTTGGACCGGGAAAGAAGAGGCTGGCAACCAGCCGTCGTGGTTGCTGTCCTTCGCTTGCGTTTTTCTTTTCTGTTTCCCCGGCGAGACGAAGGGTTTTATCTCCCACAGCGGCGGTGTACAGCCGCTGGCGCCGGTGAACCAGTTTGTTTCTTTCCATAAGATTTGACGGTCACGTAATAGATTTTTCTCGGATTTGGGGGGAGGCGGGGAGCTGAGAAACGCGACCTGAGGCCCGTTTTTGGGCCCGCATTCGTAACTTCAAAATTCAGTTAGGCCCAGCCCATAATTAGATCATGCCATATTGTCCAAATTGGTTACGGCTGCGCAATAGGCGCGGGTTGGGTGCGTTTTGATTTTAAATTGATCCCTTCACGAGCGCTTATAATTGTGACTCACTATTCGCTCGTATTCTTTTTCGAGTTAGATTGGGATTGGGTGGATGGCGCATGACGTTGGATTGTGGGTCAATTCGCTAAAGTAATTTTCACAACTACCCATTTTAATAAGTAGGCTAACATTTATAATAAGTTCCTCGCAAATTCGTAAGATAGCATCAATTTTAGACACTTCAAACTTTGTCTCCTGTGTCACTGTATGTATTATTTGCATCAAATTTTCATTACTCTATCAACCAAGTACCAACCGTGCAGAGAAAATTTACACATTTTTTGAAAATTTGAACAATTAATATTTTATAATTTGCATTACAATATCTAATAAAAAAATTAGAAAACATAGTAACCAATAATAGTAGTCTAAAATATTATTTGTTCTTGTCTTAGAAGTCAATGGTTAGTGCATAGTGCAGTCAGGTCAAAATACACCGACTATTCAATGCAATCCACCCACGAGGCCACGACCCACCCGCAAATAAGTGCGCGCGGGCAGGAAACTTATCAAAACCCGCAGTCCACTCGCCCCACTATCATTCGAGTCATTTATGAGTGTTTCGATGTCAACCCACAGATTAACCACCCAAGTGCCCGTCGCAATACCGGTGAAACCAGTTTAGCCAGGAATTAGTTTCCAGAACGTAATCCCTACCGAAATTGTTAATCCATTTACCTTTAGTTTATGTCGATAATCCCCCGAGTGTCCATTTTCGCTACGATTTTCGGAGACAAGACAGCAGAAGAGTTGATAATCCAATAAGACGGACAGCCTCACGGGTTAATTATATGCGCCGGCCAAAATTTCCATCACATTGCGTGGAATGATTGACCGAAGACCAAGCAATGGCAATGGTCACAATCATATATATATAAAAAAGCATGTATTTGTGTGAAAAAAAATTATACCGTTGCAGAAGCAATTGCAGCTGGTCTCGAGTTTCACCGGCGCTACCGAAATGTCTCGTCGCCGTATGGCAGTTGCAGTTCTGTTGACGATCAGCTGGGCAATGATGATGATGATACTGAGTTGCAGAGCTGATGAGGTGGACACGACTTTAGGGTTCACAGATCTACCATTCAACACTTCCTACTACCACCTCCACAAGCCATACGACCTGCCGGAGAGCCAACGCTACAGCTTCACCGGCGGAGTCCACCGGCTCTGGGTCTACGCCACCGACCAGCCGTACCGCAGAGGCAGCCCTACCAAGCCCAGAACCGAGCTCATGATCAATGTACGTAAACGTAACATCTCTATCCCGTATTAGTAAATGGTATGTATAAGATTTCGTAATTATGTTGAACCTCTATCAACGAGTTATTAGGGATCAACTAGTTTATGACGTAGTATCGGAACCTGGTTTGACCAAGTGGTCGTGCATACTCGAATCTCTACAAATACAGTTGATTCAAACACAAGTTATATATGGTGTGAGATCCATGTATGAACTTAATTATTTACTTGCATAATGAATCTCCCCTGAAAACAAATATATGGAGTGGTGGTTTATGTGTTATCATGGAGCGACAGACAATGGCGAAGTCAGGAATCTGAATGAGGGAGGGGGGCCTGAGTTGAATCATGATAATCGGAGGAGGCTGGGTGCTATAGGGATCTTAATGACTACTCTATTTTTGAAATTTGTTGCGAATTTTACATGTAAATTTATCTACATTTTTTTTTATTTGAGGAGGGGCTATAGCTCCTACTCGCTTCAACCTAACTCCTCCACTGGTGACGAATCTAGAAGGCCTCTTCCACGAGCCACGATCCAGCCCTCCTATGAGTACACAACTAATATATTCAATTGTAGATATTCAGCCTAAAAGAACATATATCCAAACCACTACTCTATTATTATTGATGATAATATCTAATTTTCTATTCAAATTCGGGGCCGCGGATTACGGATCAAACTACTGCAGGGCTACATCTACGATTCCGGGATATGGCAGATCGAAGGGCAGGCGTTCGTGCCCAACGGAACCAACGGGGCGTGCATCTTGCAGGTGTTCGGAGGTAGCGGCGAGGTGGGACGTCGGACGACGCTGATGCTGAGAGTGTACAACGGTTCGCTGACGTATTACAGATCGCCGGTGCTAGTTCCGAACAATATTTTCGACCGGTGGTTTCGGGTGAACGTGATCCACCACGTGGCGGCGGCGGTGCTGGAAGTGTACGTCGACGGGGTGCTCCTCTACCAGGCGCCTGGCCGCGGCGGGACGAAGCATTTCTTCAAGCTTGGGGTTTACGGGCAGGACGACATGTCGTATTACATGGAGGCTCGATGGAAGGACGTCCGGATTCTCTACAAAAACGCAACGGCTTCGATTTAATAATTAGTGCTTCTCTTTCCATGTTCACTCCTTATCAGAGTCGTATAAGTTAAGTTATTTTCGTATTAGTGTTAGAGTTATACAATATTACTCATACTACCCGTACTCTAATAAGAAGTAGCTAGAGAAATGTTTAGTATCTAGAAGCCGTTTAGTAGTTTTCCACTAACGAAGCACCTAAATTCAAGACCAGTGGTTGTGTATACTTGTATTTGCCATTGTCGTAATAGGAATCAAACAGAATCAACCGTCGGGCCAGTAGAGTCACTAAATCAGTGACCATATACAGAGGTTCGGTCATTTGATTGGATATTATTGAGAAATGGAACGAACGGTTTTACATAAAATAATGAAAATTTACGGAGATAATTATATGAGTAATAGTGTGGGTTCATATTAAATAGTGAAAAATCATGCCTATCATTACAACGTAATGTTCTATTTGAGTTTTTATCATTGTTCATTTAGATTAGATTTTACCTACTTCGATTATGTTGGATTCAGACGGATATTGCATAATATATGGTAGATATTTTTGCCATGGATTATGTGAAAGGTTAGGAAAAGGAAGGGGAGCAGCTGTAGGAAATGCAATGAGGACTACAACAATGCCCCTATATGCTAAGTCCTAGGGATGAGTTAGTGTGGTTACTAAATTTTTAGTAATTACGGTGGCTACCTTAATCTACACCATTCATTATTTCTTTTTCATCCTATTTTTAGATTAATGATGAAGATTATATTAGGGTAATTTTGGAAATAAAAAATATACCACACTTGATTATTCTATAAATTATATCCAAACCCTAACCCTACTGCAACCGGCAGCCTATCACCAAGCTCCCTCTCGCCATCCCTCCTCCCTCCCCGGAACACCCTCCACCGCCCTCTCTCCCCAAAACCCCCCACCACCGTCGGCCACCCTCCTTCCCCTCCCACCACTCTCGCATGATCCATGATCTCCCATCCCTCCTCATTCCCTCCCCCTTCACAGATGGCAACAACGTGGAGGTAGCTTGGTAGGCCGGCCAACCTCTCTCTCATTCCCTCCCTATCTCTCTAAGACGCAAGATCCGCAACTCCCCACCACGGCGCTCCTCAATTCTACCCTTCCCCGACCTGCATTACCCTCTCTCTCTCGTTCGCTCTGAAAATCTCTCTCTCTTTTTCTTATGTGCAGTGGTATAGATTTAAAAACCTAGATCTAGTAATTTTTGTTCATTGATTCAATGTGCAGTGGTATAGATTGTTTATATTGGTAGTTTTCGTGTAATGGTATAGATTTATTTCTGCAATGGTATTGACTGTTTATGGTATAGATTGTTTATATTGGTAGTTTTCGTGTAATGGTATAGATTTATTTCTACAATGGTATTGATTGTTTATGGTATAGATTGTTTATATTGGTAGTTTTCGTGTAATGGTATAGATTTATTTCTGCAATGGTAGTTTTCGTGTAATGGTATAGATTTATTTATGCAATGGTATTGATGTTTTTCAAAGTGGTAGTGTTTGTCTAACGGATTGGTACTGATTCCGTTTTTTTTTTTTTCCAGAAAGATTGAGAAAAATATGGAAAGGAAATCTGGCTGGAGATTACAGAAGTGAGAGAAAGAGAGAATTTTAATTAATAGATTTTTGAAACTACCTAAAATGTAATTTATTAAAAAATTAATTAATATAATTTATTTTTCCATACCCAATTTACCCTTGTAACCATGGTGATTACTACTTTTGTAGTAATCACCGTAACCTGTCCCCTAAGTCCTAAGATCAAGACTCCTTACAGCTTGCAAGCAAGATAAACTTGATGCAATTTTCAATGTTTTTGTTGGTTCAACGATAGAACTTTAGGGACAATGTTGTTTAAAGGTGGAAATAGTTGATGTATGAAATATGGGATGAGATAGTATGGCTATCTCTAAAGTCGTTGGAAAAATGACACTCTTATTAATTATAAGCTTTTAAGGTAATTATTTTGTGTTGCATTTAATAATCTGTCTGAATTAAAAACTCATATTAATTATTTTTCTTTGTATATATAGTGGAATAATGTATGTTGTGATAATTTGGTTTGTGATTAAAAAAAAGTACTTTGCACAGTTTCTTATTTTGGTTTGTATACTATATATGTGTCGTTAGTGTATTTACTTGTCTGATGTCTTATTTTGGTTTGTATACTATATATGGTTAGAAGACATTGTTATATGATTTGCGTATTATGTATTTATAGTTCATATGACATATATTATTGGTTTGTGTACTTTTATAAAAAAAAAATCCAAATATTTTTATGATCCAATTTGAATATCTTCGTTTCATTGGATTATATGCTTTTAAAATTCGGTTTGTATTATGGTATATTATTAGTTTCTACAGGGGCGGAGCTAGGTGGAGCTTCAGGGGGCCCCGGCCCCCCCGAGAATTTCGAAACTGTGTACAAAATCTCTTCGGATTGTGAAAAAATTACGTATAAAATAGATGTTATTGTAATACTAACTTTGTGCGCAATAATGTGACAAGAAATGAAGAGGTGGACGAGTGGTTGAAGATTCGATCTTCTAAAATGAGTGCATGGGTTTGAATCTCGCCAATAGCAAATTAGCTCTTGTTTTTGCCATTCTCAAGTTGTAAGCCCCGTTCTCACCTAAACTATAACAAATTAAGTATTATTTTGCCCTTTTCATATTGAAATAAGCCAATAAATTGTTTGAAATTGATAAAAATGAGCTACATATTGAAATGCATGATTAATTTTTTTCGTAATTTAATCATTTGTTGCCCTTTCCATATTGAAATAAGCCAATAAATTGTTTGAAATGATAAAAATGAGCTACATATTGAAATGCATGATTAATTTTTTTCCGTAATTTAATCATTTGTTTTCCTTTGAAATATATCAAAATGGATGTCATTGTGTAGATTATGATTAACGCAACATATTTTTAAAGATTAATTGAGAATCCAATTCCATAAAATACAGCCAATACAAACTATTAGGAGAAAAAGACCCGTTTTCCCATTTACGTGAACAACCTACACCCTTACGTGAATAACCACAGTATTATGACGTGAGTAACCACCACATAGCATAAAATGAACACAAAATTACGTGAATAAATTGTCATTAGGTGTTCTGCCACCTAACGTGGCGAGAGATCTTTTCCTTACTATTTGTAATAACTTAAAAAGACACGTGTCCCGAATAGAAATAAGCAGCCGATCCACAGATTCCATACATCCAGCAAAACACACAAATAGATTCTATCCAATCCAAACCAAGACTATACATAGTACAAAACCCCGGCCAATGCACAATAACGAAGGTCCAGCCAGCCGGCCGGCGGGCGGGCAACATTTTATCGCATTGACCGGACGTGAATCAATGGCCGACCTAATTAAGACCAGCCGTCGAATGTTTGCTTCATTATTCCACCACGCATCCAAACTCTATATATACACACATACATACATGCATCAGCCTGATCAATATTCCGACAGTTCAACACAGTCAATTATCGGCGACGACCCGATCGATCATGTCTTTTCCGGCGATGCAAGCAGTCGTGATACCATTACTTTTCATGGTTGTTGTTATAATTAACTGGGGTTCATCAGTCAACTGCGAGGTGATGATGGATGTTCTGGATCCAACCTGTGGCTTCACGGAGCTGCCGTTCAACACCTCTCTTTACCAAATTCACAAGCCGTATGACTTGCCGGTAGCTCAACGGTACAGCTTCGTCGACGGGATCCATGACCTTTGGGTGTACTCGACGGACAAGCCGCTCTACAACGGCAGCACCACCCACCCGAGATCGGAGATCAAGATAGTAATTACTAATTAATGCTCCGTTTCATATGCAGTCCCATTACGTCGTCTCTGCGTTCCCTTTTATGTTCTTTCTTCTGGTATAGTAGATCGATCAGATCGGTTTAAGTTGTTGAACCGGTCGTACGCAAGTGGTTTTTGACGTTCAATATTTGATCTGTTTAAGGTCCAACATGCTTTTAAGTCGTTTATATGTTTTTATATATATATATATATAAGTTTATATTTTTAATTAAACATTTATTTACTAGAAATGACATTTACCTGTTTGGAGAACATGATTTGAGTTATGGATTCATTGTATCTATAGGTTCAACAAATATATATATATATATATATATATGTTTTTCTGTTGCTTTTTTATCGTGGATTTTATTTTCAGGAGATTTTGAATTACTAAAAAATTAGAGATGTCAAATCTCTCATAATTAGAGAGAATATATATAATGATTTTGAGATTTTTCTCCTCCTACTTAATCTCCTCTTTTTTTTATCCCAATATATACCCTGATATATTAATTCCCGATATTTTTTCAATCGGCTCTTCTTCTTTTTGTTAAGGATAAACATGTCATTGGTAAAAAGAATTATATTTAATATTTTCCATTAAACTTTGAATATTTCAATTACCAAACAATAAATATTTTAATTTTTTCCAACAATCGAGAGTGTTGAAATCTTTGGATTATTTATAATCTGGAGATTTCAACTCCAATTTTCCAAACGAAGCCTGAAATCCTAGTCTCATGTCATTCGGTCATTCCATTCCAAACCAACAACATTTTTTCGTCGAGCCGGAAAAAAAATTTGTAGTTCATCCACCAGTTTTCCAGATGTTGACTAGCTACCAACTAGCACTCAAAATGACTTGTTGGAGACCACGTTCATGACCAATTTCGTTCGAATCTGATCCAACTGGTCAGTCTGATAGTGGTTTGACAACCTTGATAGTGACTCTTTTATGGGTATATATGGCAGGGTTATACCTACAGTTCCGGCATCTGGCAGTTCGAGGGGCAGGGCTACGTGCCCAAGGGCACGAACGGGGTGTGCATAATGCAAGTGTTCGGAGCTAGCAGACGTGCAACCAGCTTGATGCTCAGGGTCTACAATGGCTCCTTGACGTACTACCAATCGGCGGCGATCGTGCCGGAGATCTTCGACAGGTGGTTCCGGCTGAACGTGATCCACGACGTGGAGGCGGCGATGTTGAAAGTGTACGTCGACGGGGTTCTGCTCCTCGTTGTTGCGGATCATGGAGGGAAGTCTCATTACTTCAAGTTCGGCGTTTACGGGCAGAACGACATGTCGTCTTGCATGGAGTCACGCTGGAAGGGGATTCGAGTTCTGTACAAAAATGTGACTTCTAGGGTTTGAACAAGGCAGGGGCGGAGCTATATAGGGTCTAAGGGGGCCCCAGCCCCTGAGAATTTCGAAAATCACGAAAGAATGTACGAGTATTCTGAAAATTACGAAGTAAATACAGGTTTAATAATAATGGCCACGGGTTAAAAGGTATCTAAAGAAGCTGATTAGTGATTACCGTAGTGGAGTTGTAGTGGTTCTGTATCCAACAGGTAAGGGTTTCAATCCCCACTTATGTTAGTTTTTCGGTTGCAGTTTTTTACAATTTTATAGCTTTAATGGAAAAATTTCCCCCGATAAGTTTAACAACAATGTCAATCTAATTATTTGACAAAACATGTCGTACATTTTGATAATTCACACAATTAATTTATTTATATAGTTATATAATTATTTTGATTTTTGTCTAGTTACGATAGTACACGAAACATTTCCGGCCCCCCAAACCCAAAATCCTAGCTCCACCCCTGGAACAAGGTCACTGATTTTGTTTGCTTTGGCGGAGTAGCAAAGTTTAAGGGATCCCATCTGTCTAATAAATAGCTCGACAAATTATCAAAACTAATTAAACTTACTACCTGGTGTGAAGATAGTTTTCCTAATCTAATCTCGGGAATATATGTTGTTTTATTAGACCTTGTCAAATGTAGATGGAGTGTTTGAAGAAACAAGATATACTTAAAGAGATCAATGATAGGAGCCAATTCCAAGAACTAATCTTGTTCAAGAGATTTAAAAAAAAAATGAATCTAGCTTTATCTCAATAACTCCTTAAAAAATTATTGAAGTTTCTTTCGTGCCAAACATATATACTTCAACCACAACCCTATTCTTTCATGTAATCCGAAGTTACTATTTAGTACTCTTCCTCACCACCACGGCACCACATTGATTACAAGAGACATGATAGTCTACTCAACTCGCAAAATAATATAAAATTACATGTAAATTTATAACAATTTTAAAAATCTAGTTGTTGATAAGCTTTTTAACTCCTCGGATCAAATTCTCTGAACGTAGTTATTATCTCCCGGTTTAAGAGAAGACCAACAACCCTACCAAGAATGCATAACCATATGTAATTTCTTTGATTTTAAGTGGGGTCAGATCTAAGAAGTGAGATGGGATGAGGAAGGAGTTTGGGTTGATTGCCCACCTTATTTTCTTGTACCTGATCTCCTTAGAGAGGATTTTTTCCGAAAACTCTTATGCTAGTTGAATAATATGAATACAGTTTTTCTTAAAAAAAAAGATCTAAGAAGTGAGATTAAAGGCCTTTTATTTTTTCTATCTTTTTAAATTAGATTTTATTTTCTTTGTTTTAAATTGGATTTCAAATTTTTATTGCACATATTGAATGAGTTCGTTGTGATCTACAAAATGATATATATTTTAAATATATTTTGAGAAGAAAAAATTCCATATCACTCGTCACTAGCTGGTACCACCTCTTTTTTTTAACTCGAATTAAGAAAAACTTTGCCCAAAAGAAACGCGTTCATTGTGAATGATCGATTGAGTCTACAAAATTTTTGGGAAACAAAATTTCTGACCATATACACTTTGGTATAGGATGATAACTGGTTATATAAGTTGATGAAAGATGATAAATGGATATTTAGTTTATTCGTATCATCATGTATGCAACCATTAATTCTACATACTCCTATGTTCATACCACTATAATATACTTTTATACCACGTGGTATAATCTTATGTACTACCAAACATTACCACACAGTATACACTAGTAATAAATTAATCCAAAATATGTCAAAGTATATGTCGTTTTGAATATCACAATTAATCTGATTTATGCGTGGAAAAAAATTTGAAAATACAATTTAAAACAAAATAGATTTAACCCATTAATTAAATATAAATGGAGAAAATCCTGTAATAATAATAATAAAGTTTAGAATTATGCATGATCTTCCTTACACATTCACCCCACAAACAATTACTACCATACGTACGCTAGAAATAGAATTCTTAGTAATATAATCCAAATTCTTTCATGAAAAAAAAAAAAAATCAGCAGAGACTTGGTCAACACCACCACCACATGAGCCAGAGGCCGATTGAATGAATACAAAGAAGAATCCATCCATCCTATGCGACAAACCCACAATTTGGTGGGAACAGGATTCTCCTTTTCTCGACAAACATACAACCGAATAATCCTTCATTCTTTCATATTAAATGGAGCTTAATTACTCATTCATTTCTCAAGCAGTGGATTGTCAAAGTTGCAGAAGGCCATGGCTTCTCTACTTTCCCACGACGTCAAAGCTGTCGCAATGATGGTGTTTGTTCATCAGCTGCTGTCTTTCTCGCTGTTGGTAATGGCCGATCCCACGGAAGGGTTCGTCGCGCTCCCACTCGCGGCATCAGATATGAAGGTCCAGTGGCCGTACGATTTGAAGAAGGAGGAGCGTTACAGCTTCGAAAATGGCGTTCACACGCTCAGGGTTTACTCGACGGACAAGCCGCTCAAAATTGGCAGCCCCACCAGGCCGCGCACCGAAATTCGCATACTTGTAAGTCAAAAAAACAGAGCATGTATCTGATAACTTCTTCTTCTTCTTTTGCTGATATCTGATCGTAGAGAATGATTTTATGCTGAATAATTTGGGTTGTTGGGAAGATGTTCAGTTATGAATTATATATAGAGTTGTCTCAATTAGTATCAAATCCAACAATACAATCCAGTCCAATTAGATATGTGGATTCATGGATCGGATTGGTGGATTTGATAACAAATTATAGTTTAGTAGCTATATTTTACACTATGATATCTCTGAACATTTTCATCGTGACATTTTAGTACCTAAACTTTTCAAAATTTACATAATGGTCCAGGACCTGAGTTTCATTTCGATTCATGCGGATCAATCCACCGATCCATGGAACCTATAAATTTGTCACCTCTAATCATATACCATTTACCAATACAACCTTCAAACAAAAGACCGACTCATATATATATATATGGGTCTGAACTCTGAAGTTTAACACGGGTCGGGATACCATGTGTTTAACAAAGCATATGAGATGTGAGATTCTAGTACAAAACCTCTCGATAACCAATAACTTTAGTTGTTGAGACGGAGATTCAGTCATAAATCGTCATATACCATTTACTAACACGTTCCAGCATCGTCATATTGCAGGGACACGATTACTCATCGGGAGTGTGGCAGTTCGAAGGTCAGGCATACGTGCCGAGCGGCACATCCGGCGTCTGCATAACGCAAGTCTTCGGAGCTAGCAATCAGTCGACGACGCTGGCCGTTCGAGTTCACGGCGGTAACCTCACCGCCTACAGCACCGTCATCGTTCCCGGCATCTACGACAGATGGTTTAGGCTGAACGTGATTCACGACGTCGGAGCCGGAAAAGTTTTCGTTCACGTCGACGGAGCTCTTGTTTATGAAGGAGCGGATCATGGAGGGAGCTCTCATTACTTCAAGTGTGGAGTTTACGCTCAGAAGGATATGTCCAGCTACATGGAGTCGCGGTGGAAAGAAATCAAGATATTCAACAAAAATTAGGTATATAAAAGAAGCGACGATAGATATTTTTGTTTATCATGAAATTACCGGAATCCCTATATTTTGATATAGAGATTGCAAGTACCACTTTTTCAGACGACAGTGTACTCTAAAATTGCTAACATACCGTTTGGTATAAATGAATTCCATAAATTTTAAGGAATTCATTTTCAAATGAATTATTTTTGTGTTTGGTATTAAAAAGAATTCATTTTCAATTCTAAATTATGAATTCTATGGAATTGAAACTAGTTATAGCAATTCCGAGGAATTGAGATGGAATTTCCAAATGAATTTCACAAGTATTTACTAATTATAATAGAATGACATGATTATCCTCTTTTATTAGCTAAATTACATAATACATATGACACACCAAACACAGGAATTCATTTGACAATGAATTCTACATGACAATTCACTTTATTTCTAAAGATTTGAATATGACATACCAAACATAAGATTTCATTTGACAATGAATTCTACACTGTAATTCATTTTACAATGAAATGAATTCTCGATTCATTTTGTACCAAATGGTCTGTAAATAATGATAAATTAAAAACAAAGAGAGTTCTAGGAAAATGCTATCTCAAATTTTCATCCAGTAAAATACATATGTTACATCCATTCCATCTTCCGTCTATCTAAAACGACTACGTCGATAACCAATGAAATTGTCTTTGTTTCATTTTATTCCATCCAAGCGGAAACTCACATCTCCATTATCATGTCGCGCTGACAATGGTCATAGTTTGTTCACATTTTTCTCCACGAGATTGAAATCTCAACTCTGATTATCATTTTCCGTTTCATACTTTGCCGTTACACAGAAAATTTAGTAGTCGCGACGATTTGTAGAAGTTGTCTTTGAGGAAGAAAAAAAATGATCTTCTTTTCAACTCCTACTTAAAATTTTCATGATAAAAAGGAACTAGTCAATATTTTAGTTAAGATGAAGGATGGAGTCACTGGCTACAATTTATTTACCTTATATATAAGGTTCAAAAGTTTATGCACATGTACCGTCAAAAATATTATAGCCGTTGTCATTCGCCACTCTTTACAATAGTTTCTTTTCCCCAAATCAATCGCAATTTCAGAAACTATATTTCTCGAACTACCACAATTCCACAAACTTTTTACACGTCCTAAGCAGTGATATTAGGTCGAATCTTTCATTAAAAAAAAACATTAACCCATGAAAATATAGGAAGAAGTCATTGAACAAATTCTTACATGCTGACCCAATATGATATGTAGCTGCTACATAGTGTTGGAACTATTATGGCTATTGTCAAAGTTTTGCTATAAGAGACTTCCAATTTACTTGGAAGATACTTAGAAGAAGAATAGGTAGAGAAGTCAAGAAATCTCTAGCAAGAATCAATAATGAGGTGCATATGAAGTCAAATAAATTTTTGTGTGCTTCATTTTGAAAAGTCGTCCAACATTCATATAAAAAAACTATCCAAATTAGTTTTTAGCTAAGGAGGAATGTTCTTATTATTAAAACCCATTCATAAAAGTCCACAAGCTAGCTAAAGTGGAATGCACTAACCAAGAAATCATCACCAAAAGATTATGAATGTCAAAGTTTGTACATTGTCTTCAACTAAAAACTTTATCCGAGAGTCTGAAACCATATGAACATTAATAATTTTTGTAGCGTGTGAGTATAATAACTAAATGAAACCCTACGATGTAAATTTGTATGTTATATTAAGAGTCCTCAAATAAGGCCTACTTTAGGAGCTAAATGATTTTTGGTGAATAATTATGTTGAAGAAAGTAGAAACTAGCAATGATAAGCCTAGAGAACTTTTATATTTTGATTCTTAATTCTCAACAAATAACATAATCTTTGATAACATTAAGATCATGTGGAAAAGATATAATTAAAATGTTAGCAATTTGTGTAGGTCCTCACTTGATCTCTATAAAGCATATGGAAAAATTTATATCTATGAATTAATCAAGTGGAATTGTCAACCTCATACTCAAACTACGATAAAAAATCACCTGGCCAACCGGTCGGGCCCCATTCTAGAATGAAATAAAAGTGGAGAGAAAGAAGTTGGATATTTGGATGTGAAATGAAAGGAACAAAAACCTCAGTTTAGATGGAGGAGGGCAATGGGTGGGTTGAGTTGATTTTGTTTTAAAAATGATCAACTTGCTTATTAGTGAGTTAGTAGAATTGTGATTCGCTATCCATTTACATTCTTTTTCGAATTGAACGCAGGTGGCAAATGGGTGCGTTAGATTGTCGGGTGAGGAATTATTGGATACACAAGGAGTACCGCGTAGGATTTGTGATGTGGTACACACGGCCAATCTTATAAATGCCACCTGTTTATTTATTAAAAAATTAATTAGTCAATTATTGTCCTGGAAAGAGCTAGTGGGTTGTCGTCGACGCTTTTGGTAAGACTTGCAGTTGGCCGATGATTAGTGTATAGTATGATTAAGAAATATAATGAATATTTGATAGTGTAAACAAGAAACAATTTTTCGTCATGTAAAAATATACTGCAGGTAATTCATGTGACCCGCAATCTATAAACCCGAGGAAGTGCGGATAGGAAAATTTATAATCTACAATCCACCCACATCAATCAACCACCTACTGTAATTTTGATTATTTGCAAATGGGGTCGATATATTCATGGACCACCTGAACTGGGCTTAGAAGCCCATAGACCAGACTTTAGACCTTTGCCTTTGAGCTCTGAGATTTCACTCATTGTTTTGTATGTGGGATGTGAGTGTTTATTGTTGCTCCAACTCTCTAGCTTGATTTATGAATTTGCTTTTTCTTTCTAGCGACTTAAGAAAAAGAAATAAAATAAATTCAGTAAGTGAGAGGGCGGGGTAGGGTTTTTTTTTTGGGGCAGGTGGTAAAAGAAAGTAAAATGTCTTTGCAAAAGGAAATCATAATTTATAATAATTTTAGCTAACGAGATTGGGGATGGCAATAGGGTGAGTTTGTCTAAATCATTCCCATCTTCAAATATCTAAACTCATATCCGCCGCATACTCATACGGGGGAATGTTTTGCAAATCCATCCCCATAGCCGTGGGTTTCGGGTACCCATAGGTAATACCCGTACCCGTACATCCAACATTAATATACCTAAAACTTACAAGAATTTTTTTAATTATAACTCTAAATGAACCTATTATATCATGAAGTCAACAAAACACAATCATTTTCTTAATAAGGTTCAAGTATATGATCCTAAAACATCCATTAATACATAATATAGAGTATAATATTTTTCAAATTATTATCTTCTAACTCTAATACATCTACTAAGTAATAATCAACTAACATAATCTTGTTGACAATGGGGAAAGTGAAAGAGTGAAAGGAGAATTGAGAAAAATAAATGAGATTTTGATTAAAGTGGTCACTCAATTGCATTTCTACTATTTATTTACTCGAGTTATCCTCGTCACCATTGATAGATTACTATTAATCCACATATTTTTTTCATATGTGATGAAATTCTCTTGGTGGGGCGAGTATGGGTATGAGTATGGGGTGGGGGAGGCCAAAACCATACCGCCCCATACCCATCAAACTTTTTGCGGGTTTTACCCATACCCGCCCCATACCCGGTCAAAGCGGGGATTCCCCGCGTTGACTGGGTCGGGGGCGGTCGGGTACCCACGACCATGGTTTTGATTGTCATCCCTCAACGAGACAATTACCAGCAATTGACATAATGATATGGGAACGCTACCTGGCCAATGGGCCGGGTTTTACAGTAGTTCAAATGAAAGCAAAAATCTCACCGGTTTCAAGGGCTTTGAGCAGTGTGCGGAGTGGGACTTTTCACGTTGACAGAGCTCTTGTTTATGAGGAAGCGGATCATGGAGGGAGCTCTCATTACTTCAAGTGTGGAGTTTACGCTTAGAAGGATATGTCCAACTACATGGAGTCGCGGTGGAAAGAAATCAAGATATTCAACAAAAATTAGGTATATAGAAGAAAGTGATAGATATTTTTGTTTATCATGAAATTATCGGAATCCCTACTTTGATTAGGGGTGGGCATCCAGTTCGGTAAACCCAAACCGAACCAAACCGAAACCAAACTCAACCGAACCGAAACCAAAATACTACTATTCGGTTCGGAAATCGGAAGGGAAATCTGGATAGTTCGGAAAACAGGGACTTTTTGACCGAACCGAGATTCCAAAATTCCGACCGAAAAACCAAAATATACTAAATAAGCCCAACATCCATCCATATTCCCCAACACCCTAAGCCCAAATGAAACCCACTTAGCCCAAAAGAAACCTAACCCACTAAGCCCTACCAAAACCCTAACTCCTACAGCCCACAACCCTCTCCCCTCTCCCCTCTAGTCTCTGACTCAACCCTCGCCTCTCACCTTCTCAGCAACTGCCGTCCGCCTGCCAACCTTCTCCAACCACCACAAAACTTTGCTTCATCAAATCCAGTGACCAGTGGCGGCCTGAGCGGCCATCTTCGACTTGCCTCCCTTCAATCGCTTTGCCAACAACAAGTGAAGAAGACACTCTGAGTCTTGGTTTTGCATGCGGCGGGACTTGTGCAGGCCTGGAGTGTTCTGGGTCTGATAGGTAGAGGATGATGGTCGAGATTGGGGGAATCGGGGAGTCGGGGAGAAGAGACTATGGTTGCCGGTCGAGTTGGGGGAATGGCGGAGTCGAGGAGTCGGGTAGAAGAGACGATGGTCGTCGGTCGAGTTGGGGGATTCTGGGAGAGAGGGAGAGGAGAGGATGATCGAGTTGAGAGGGAGATGTGACGCTTGTAGAGTAAGAGTTGGGGGGAGTCGGAGAAAACGACGGAGAGATCGAGGGAGAGACTGGAGATGGAAGTCAGAGATCGAGGGTTTGAGGAAGAGAGCGGAGATAAGGTTGTGAAAGGAGGGGAAGGATAATGTGTGGTGGAGATTTTCTTTGGGGAGATAAGGTTGGTTGGTTCTAGAATTTCGGGTTTGGCCCTTGAAACCGGACCGAACCGATCTATAATTCGGTTCGGGTGAACCGAACCGAATTATAGCTCGGTTCGAATTCGATTGGGATGTATGTAATTTCGGAAATTCGGCATGTACTAGTTCGGTTCGGTTCAAACCGAACGAACGCCCACCCCTAACTTTGATATAGAGATTGCAAGTACCACTTTTTCAGACGAAAATGTACTCTAAAATTGCTAAATAATGGTAAATTAAAAAACAAGAGAGTTCTAGGAAAATGCTATCTCAATTTTTCATCGCGTAAAATACATATGTTACATCCATTCCATCTTCCATCCATCTAAAACAACTACGTCGATAACCAATGAAATTGTCTTTTTTTTCCAAGCCGAAACTCGCATCTCCATTTACCATGTCGCGCTGACAATCGGGATAGTTTGTTCACATTTTCCCCCACAGGACTGAAATCTCAACTCTAATTATCATTTTTCGTTTCATACTTTGCGGTTTCACAGAAAATTTAGTAGTCGCGACGAATTGTAGAAGTTGCCTTTGAGGGGAAAAATGATCTTCTTTTCAACTCCTACTTAAAATTTTCATGATAAAAAGGAACCAACCAATATTTTAGTTAAAGTGAAAGATGGAGTCACTGGCTATAATTTATTTACCTTATATATAAGGTTCAAAAGTTTATGCACATGTATCGTCAAAAATACTATAGTCGTTGCCATTCGCCACTCTTTACAATAGTTTTTTTCTCCCAAATCAATCACAATTTCGGAAACTATGTTTCTCGAACCACCATAATTCCACAAACTTTTTACGCATCCTAAGCAGTGGTAGATCGAATCTTTCATTAAAAATTAAAAAACATTAACCCATGAAGATATAGGAAGAAGTCATTGAACAAAATTCTTACATACTAACCAAATATGGTATGTAGTGTTGGAACTATTATGGCTATTGTCAAAGTTTTGCTATAAGAGACTTCCAATTTACTTGGAAGATACTTAGGAGAAGAATAGGTAGAGAAGTCAAGAAATCTCTAGCAAGAATCAATAATGAGGTGCATATGAAGTCAAATAAATTTTTGTGTGCTTCATTTTGAAAAATGTCCAACATTCATATAAAAAAATATCAATTAATGTCAGGGCCGTCCCATGATATTTGGAGGCCCTGTTCGAAAATTTAAAATGTGGCCCTAATTTCCCCCCCAAATTTATCAAAATTAAAAATTAGTAAATAAAAAATACTTAAGTTCAGAAAAAGATTACATCAGGAATAAACGATCTCGTTTCCAGTTTGACCAAGAAACCAAGACCGAATTCCCAGCTCTAGTAGGGAGGAAAGTAAATCTGGAAGGAAGAGAAAATGGATATAGGAAAAAATTGAATGGAGAAATGAAAATAGTCTAAATTGATCGAGTGGTGGGTGCAGGGTTGTCTACTAGATCGTGGAGGCCCTATTTCAAAATCTAGACGTGGTGCAAATCGACCTTTAACTATAATAAAACTAAAATGATTATAATAACATTATTCAAAATGCAATATCTTTCTATATTGTTTAAATTAAAATTATCTATTATTTTTCAGATTTTCGTATCCTCCATGAGATCCTTTTCAATTGTTATTATAGCTAAAATTATCTATTAAACACATCATCATACTCATAATCAATCAATCAATCATACACTAAAAATACAACCTACAATATACGATCGGTAACTAACGAATCTAAGTAGAGGTCCCTAATATTCTGAGGCTCTGTGCCGGAGGGCGGGCCATCACACCCTCTTGGCCGGCCCTGATTAATGTTCAAACCAAGTGGAATTGTCAACCTCATACTCAAACTATGATAAAAAAATCACCTGGCCAACCGGCCGGGCCCATTCTAGTATGAAATAAAGGTGGAGAGAAAGAAGTTAGATGTGAAATAAAAGGGGAAAATCCTCAGTTTAGATGGAGGAGGGCAATGGGTGGGTTGGGTTGATTTTGGTTTGAAAATGATCAACTTCCTTACTAGTGAGTTAGTAAAATTGTGATTCGCTATCCATTTACATTCTTTTTCGAATTGGACGTAGGTGGTAGATGGGTGCGTTAGATTCGGGTGAGGAATTATTGGATACACAAGGAGTACCACGTAGGATTTGTGAAGTACCCGACCAATCTTATAATGCCACCTGTTTATTTGTTAAAAAATTAATTAGTCAATTATTGTCCTGGAAAGAGCCCGTGGGTTGTGTCACGGACATAGACTTCCGAAATCCGTGCGGCGTCTTGAGGTGCACTCATTCCTCAAGACCAGCCTCTCTGCATACGCATGCCAACTGGTTTCGCCCTGCCTTAGGCTCATCAGGGAGACGGCAATAGCATCCGACCAGTTGTGCCTTCTCTTGCAACGATCCCTTTCATAGCCACATCATGACTCGGCCAGATGCGATGCACAGGCAGACAACGCCTTATCGCTAATGTCGCCCCCTTTACCCTTCTCACGGCAAGACAACCAGATGGCAGCGTTTTTCAGACGATCAACACGGTCACGACATTTCGGGTCGTGACATTCTCCACCACTCATAATGCAGCACGTCCTCGTGCTGGTGAAGAATGCTTCTCTCCGCAGCATGCATTGCAACTCTCTCGAACCAATTGTGGGCATCCGCATACGATACCATCCTCTGATGGACAGGCTCCGGTCGCGTTCTCGCGCTAGCCTGTTGTGCCCCGCGCACATACCGCTTCGCCCCTCGACATCAACCTTACTCTTTGCTTCTGTTGGGCTAGTACCTCAGTCGACCTTCACCCTATGCTACTCCCAGCGTTTGTACCTCAATCGACCTTCACCCTACGCTCTCGCTAGCGTTAGTTCCTCGTTTGAACGGCATTCTCGGCCGCTGCATCTTCAGCCTGTCGAGGTCCCCCACAACGGCGCAACACATGTGAATCTGCGTCCGGACCGCCTGATATGCTCACCTAGGACCGCCTCTCATTCGGGCATAGGGTCGGCCCATACACGACCTATGCCATACTGAGAGAGGAACTAGGCTCTTCAGCCTAACCAGGCTCTGATACCACTTGTCACGGAGATAGACTTCCGAAGTCCGTGCGGCATCTTGAGGTGCACTCATTCCTCAAGACCAGCCTCTCTGCATACGCATGCCAACTGGTTTCGCCCTGCCTTGGGCTCATCAGGGAGACGGCAATAGCCTCCGACCAGTTGTGCCTTCTCTTGCAACGATCCCTTTCATAGCCACATCCTGACTCGGCCAGATGCGATGCACAGGCAAACAACGCCTTATCCCTAATGTCGCCTCCTTTACCCTTCTCACGGCAAGACAACCAGATGGCAGCGTTCTTCAGACGATCAACACGGTCACGACATTTCGGGTCGTGACAGTTGTCGTCGCGCTTGGTTTGGTAAGACTTGCAGTTGGCCGATGATTAGAATGTAGTGTGATTAGGAAATATAATGAATATTCGATAGTATAAAATATAATCCAAGTAATTCATGTGACCCGCAGTCTACATACCCGAGTAAGTGTGGTAAGAAATTTATAATCAGCAATTCACCCACTGTAATTTGGTTATTTGCAATTGGAGTCGATATTTAATCATGGACCACCTAGACTGGGCTTAAAAGCTCATAGACCAGACTTTAGACCTTTGCCTTGAGCTATGAGATTTCACTCATTGTTTTCAATATATTTTGTATGTGGGATGTGAAGAAAATTGTTGATGTGATTCTTTATTGTTGCTCCAACTCTCTAATTTGACCATTGAATATGCTTGTTCTTTCTAGCGGCTTAAGAAAATGAAATAAAATAGATTCAGTAAGTGAGAGGACGGGGTAGGGTTGGGGGAGGGGGGGTTGGTAAAAGAGACAACTACCAGCAATTGACGTAATGATGTGGGAACGCTACTCGACCAACGTGTCGGGCTCTACACTAGTTCAAATGAAAGCAAAAATCTCGCCGGTTTCAAGGGCCTTGAGCAGTGTGAGGAGTGGGACTTTTCGAAAATGGTATTTTCTCACCGGGTCTCAAGGCAACTAGAAGGTTTCAAAATAATTATTAATAATTATTATATAATTTAATTCCACCGATCGCACATTGAAGATTGGGTTGGGTGGTGGAGTTGTTGGTTTCCCAATAGTAGTGGTGAACACAACATAAGAATGTATATCATTATTTATTGTGAATTAATAATCATATTTAATACTGTTACCTATTCGATTTTCAATTAAAAAGGAGAGGCGTAACTCCGCCCGTCTTCTCCTGTTATAAAGGGAAAGGATTTAGCCCTATTTTCATTCTCCTCTCTCTCCCTCTCTTTCTCCATCCTCACAATTTTTTTTCAATCCCCCGATGGTCTTGGTTCAATCTCTTTGGAAAAAATAATTCAATCCCTCGATACTGCATCAAGGTTTGTGTTCTACGGTCTTTGGCAATTTTTCATTAGCAATTGGTGTCTTTCTGGCAGGCTGTGTTTTGAGGATTTTTCGTTTATGCTTTGTAGTTTGTATATTTTTTCTTTTTGTGGCAGGAACTTCTCAAAGGATTAAACATCAAGACAGACGGTTGTACCGATGAGAGTTGTTCGTCGACACCCAACCCTAACCCTTGGGAATGTTGAAAGCCCACCTACAACTATTGGGTTGGGTTGGGCTGCAGCCGGCGGCCTTCAGTTTCCACCTTTCCAGATCCAGACCTAACCCTAAGGAAAGGCCCAAGCCCACCTACAATTGTTTTGGCCAGGCCTTCAATTTCTTCTTATCCAGGAGTGAGCTCAATAAATGCCAAAACCCTAAATTATGCCGCCTATAAAAAGAGGGTGTTAGCATTTTTCCTTCCGAATACCCCTACCATCAAGCATGCAGCCCCATTTTTTGTTTGAGCTCCCTTACTCATAGTAAGACTCGCCGCCCCTTTTTCTTCTCTTTCTTTTCGATTTCCGATCGTTCTAATTCCATCTTTTCGGATTTTCAGGAAATTCAAGCGATGGCGTTCGTTCCGCTGGTATTGCTTCTTGTCCCCCGAGCATTTTGCCGCGCTGAGGCTTCTGTTGAGAACCTCCGGCAGAGGATCATTCCGGCGCCCTTCAAGCTTGATCAGGTGATGAACGAGATCGAAGTACACGGCAATGTCTACACCCTAGCACTCCTCGAAATTTATGCACGTTTAGCTGGTGCCGAGAAGGCTTACAATGATTTGGTCGTTGAGGAGAAATTCTCCAGTCATGTAATTGATGTCATTGTTGCTCAGCACAACGCGACAATAGCAGCTACCGTTGGTGAGCCATTAATAGTTTAAGCATAGCGTGTTTGGTGTTTTCCTTAATCGATATATGTATTCATCGATGTTTTGCACTTCAATCTATTGTTCTCGTTTCTGATTATCTCTCAGTTTATCTTCTTGCAGCTGCCCTCCCTTCTCCACTGCACGAGTCTGTTGCAGACGTCCAGCAGGTCCAGCCCCACGCCGTCCTCGGCCTGCATCTGCTGGTCCTCGGCGTGGGTCAAGACCATCTTCTGGTCCTCGGCGTCGTCGGCCTGAATCTGGTGGTCCTCGGCGTCCTCGGCCTGAATCTGGTGGTCCTCGGCCTACATCTGGTCCTCGATGCAGGCCGAGGACCACCAGATTTAGGCCGACGACGCCGAGGACCACCAGATGCTGATCCTCAGTGTGGGGCTTGACCAACTAGTTACTGACAATCCACCGCCTCTGACAATCCACCGCCTGATCTTGAATCTGCTGGTCCTTGGCGTGGGGCTGGACCTGCTGAACGCCTGCAGTAGACTCGTGCACTGGATTATATAACACTCTCTTAAAAACCTGCTTACAACCCACATGATAATCACATATGAAGCTACAAATTCTTATTTCATAGAATTGGCCTGTGTTGCTAAAGTCTATTTTCAAGACAACACAAAAATTCATAGTAAACATGTTTTTCTTTCTCGATTTTTACTTTTTAAGTTGGCAATAGAAAACTGAAACAAAATTATACTAAATAGGATCTTAGACCATAAGCAAACAAAAACGAGAAAAATCAATTGCCTGAGCATGAAAGAAATGCAAAAACCCCAACTACTAGAAAAGAAGGAAATATTACCAAAAGACGTTGAAGAACTGAAAACTCTAACCACTATAACGAGAAGGAGAATCAATTGGCCGACTAAGAAAGAAATGCAAAAACCCTAACTATCACAAAGAGAAAATATCAAGGAGAAGAACAAAAATGAAGAACACTTGTGCGGAGTGGTTCTTTTCGATAATAGTGTTTTCCCACCGGTTTTCAAGGCAATTAAAAGTTTTTAAAAATATTTATAATTATTATATAATTTATTTCCACCGACCGCTTATTACAAGGCATTGGAGATTGGGTAGTGTGATGGATGAGTATCATTTATAATCTTATTTTTGCCTCACACTCGTGAATAGTCATTCATTTCCCGATACTAATGTTGAACAGTAAAGCTAATAGGAACGTAACGTGTGTATTTATTATGAATTAATAAATGTATTTATTATGTTTTTATCTTTTTTATTTTTAATTAAAAAAGGGGAGATGCTACTCGCCACGTCTTCCTCTGCTATAGAGGAAAATGATGAACGTCTTGCAAACCCTCTTTCCATTCGTCCCCCTCTCTCTACTCACAATTTTTTCATTCTTTTCATTCTCCCCTCCCTCGACTTGCTCCACCTTCATATATAGCTGATATCGCTCATTCAAAGTCTTCTCAAATATAGAATGTTTAGTGGGGAAACCTGGTACATACAGTGCCTCCATTTCTCGGTTGGGTTTGGAGGCAAAAAAGGAAATAGGGTTGGTAGAGTATGATTTGAAAGGGACGTAATGGTGATGAAATGAATTGGAGGAGTAAGTATGTAAGTATTACGAAGACAAAAAAAATCCCTTCATTAGACCATATGGAGCGGGGGTGGGGGGGGGGGGGGGGGGGTGGAGTAAATAATTCACAATAGGAGAATAGAGAAAGGACAAAAATTGTTTTGCATCATATTAATTACGTGTGGAATTTGTAAGTTCATTTAAATAATTTATTCATTATTTATACTCAATTGACTAAGCATGAAAGAAACGCAAAAACCCCAACTACTACAAAAGAACGAAATAGTACCAAAAGTCATTAGAGAGCTAAAAACTTTGGCCACTATAATGAGAAGGAGAATCAATTGGTCGACTAAAAAAGAAATCCAAAAACCCTAAGTATCTCAAATAGAAAATAGCAAGGAAGAGAAGAACCAAAACGAAGAACACTTATGCAGGTTGTAAAAAAAATAGTAAAAATGTAAAATATTATGTTAAAATGAAATCAGGCCCTTAGGCACCGAGAAACTCACGCACAATACATGAATAGTGTCATAAACTACAAATTGTTGTTTCCTAGATTGAGCTGTTTTGCTAAAGCCATTTTTCCAAAACAACAAAAAGAACCATAATGAACATGTTTGTCTTTAGTGGTTTTTACATTTTTTAAGTTGACAAAAAAAAAAACATAAACACTCATTGATACTAAACAAGGATTAGCATTACGAGCAAAAAAAAAAAAAAGAGAAGAGAATCAATTGACCGGGCATGAAAAATACGCAAAACCCCCCAACTACAACAATATAAGGAAATAGTACCAAAAACCGTCTGAGAGTTGAAAACCCTGTCACTATAACGAGAAGGAGAATCAATTGGACAGCCAGGGAAGAAACCCGAAAACCCTAATTATCTCAAAATGGAAATACCAAGGAGGAGAAGAATTAAGAAGATGTGCATCGTAAAGAAATCATTTCTTGTTGTTTGCTATGACTTCCACAAAATCATTGTCAGTGACTGATACAGGAGGAAAAGATAGAAGATAAGAGATCGTTGTTGCAATCCAAAATTCGTACGTAAGAGATTAGAGGTGGCAAATAGATTGGATTCATGGTTTGGTTGATTAGATTGTAAGATCCATGGATCATATTCATTTTATCCATTGGATTGGTGGATTCATTGATTGGATCAAATGAATTGGTGGATTGATCTCTGAATTCAAATGACATCCAAACCTTAGATCATTATTTAAATTTTGAAAAGTTTAGGTACTAAAATATAATAGTGAAAAGTTGTAGGTATCAAAACGTAAATTTTCATTTATATTTTTCATATAAAAATAAATTTTAGGTACCAAAATGTAAAATATAAAGTATAGGTACTAAACCATAATTTGTCATTTGGATTCATGGATTGAATTAAATGGATAATTTAGTAAATGGACTGGATTGGATTCATGGATATGGATCCTAATTGCTATCTCTAGTCCTGTTCCGTCTAGTCCATAAGAAACATTTGACGATTTGATTAGAGAAAGTTGGATCGCGAGTACAACACATAGAGGAGGAGAGAAAATGTTTATCAAAGTGACTGAGTCGGGTCGGGTCAGTTCATGAGTTGGGTTGGTTAATGACATGGCAGGTCGGGTTTTCACTTTTCCAGGTTAAATTAGGCTGACTAGATGAATCTATTAGCCACATCAATAAAACTAGTGACCAAACTTGGACTATTAAACTAATCTTAGTGACCACGAATGAAATAAAATATTTTTAGTGGCAAACATGAAATAATTTGGTAATCTCAGTGACCAAATTTACAATTTACCACACTATTCTTAGAGTAGAAGTAAAAATGTTTACAAAAGTTCTAACGTGTGATATCAATCACGCGTCACATGAGAGGCTGAACAAGAGAAATTTTTAGGTGCTCCAGGAGCACCACATCAGCATATTAATCATGCATCACATGAGAGGCTGAACAAGAGAAATTTTTAGGTGCTCCGGGAGCACCACGTTGGAATGCTGATGTGGTGCTTCCGGCCAATGAAATTGTGCCATGTTGCCTTAATTAATTAAACAAAACATTTTTTTTATAATATTTTAGAGGAAACCCTCCCTCTTAGTTTCCCCCCGCTTGGCTGAAAAAATCGAGAAATTCTTAGGTGCTCCGGGAGCACCACGTTGGAATGCTGATGTGGTGCTCCCGGCCAAGCCTCATAATCTTCTTCATGGGATTTAGAATCAACAGAAGATTCTGAGGACGAAGACGAAATTCTGAATCGATAAAGATTTTGACGTTGACGAAGATCTTGACACCGATGGATGTTCCACAACCAGGAAATGACAGTGATTATTCCTTTTACTGGTTCACTTCTTCTTCCAACGGTTTCTTTCTTTTTTCCAATTTCATAGAGATGGGGAGGTGCACTGGTAGATTGATGTTAGTCATTCGGCTTGGAGAATTCCATGGATGATTAAAGAAGAAAGAAAATAATTCACCGTAAATCACGCACAGAAACATAAGACTAACTCCAACCATGGATAGCATATATACTTTTCTTTGGAGCAAAAGTATAATTTTGCACCCAAATTCACATTTCTTCTCCAACCATACCACATCTTAAATTTGTCCCCACTTTATTATTTTCTTTTGTTTACTATAAATTGTACTTAAATCAATCTTAATATTTTTTTTTCACTTTAATTTTTTCATACCTGGTCATTATTAATCAAAATGATTTTTTCAATGTAATTTTTTTATTCAGACATAAAATAGTTTCCGAAAAATATGACATTTTTTTGGAACTGTTACCTTTTTTTGTCTTTTTGTGTACCATATGACCGTTTTTTTTGCACAACATAATAATCGATGATGAACAAGAAAAAACTGATGATGAGATAGAAGAAACTCTTGATTATGAAGTTATGACCAATGAACCTGCAGGCTGCAGTCGTGATCGACCGAAATAAAACTTGTTTCACATTTGAAATGTGTATATCTAGTTTGACTTGGTTCAATTTCTCAATAAAACTTGTTTCATATTTTCTTAATTAAAATATGAATGTTGGAGGAGATGAAAGTGTATAAATACACTTATAGCCATGTACTCCCTCATTTGCTCCATAGTTGGAGTTAGTCTAAGTTACCATTTTAATTTAATATATTAAGGCCACATGGCACAATTTCATTGGCTGAGAGCACCACATTAACATTCCAACGTGGTGCTCCCGGAGCACCTAAGAATTTCTCGGCTGTACAATGTGCGGAAACATAAGTTAGAAATCGATTCTGATTTCGGAGAGATAGGGCCCCTAATGGCCACGTTGAACGACGCTGATTCATAAGTCCAACTCTGTAATGGTTGAGCTTTATTGTAAAGAAATTAAAAATTGGGTAGTTATTTGTAATTGATCAAATGTATAAAACTCTTCTTTCTGCTGAAAGGAGGATACGCATAACAAATTATCATAATTTCCCCCCTCTTCTATGTTCTCTATTCTCCCCCTTCCTTCCATGTTCTTCTCCTCCTTCTACTTTCTCAATTATTCCTAGCGGCTTTTGAAGTGACACATCAGAGAATCATGACAGAGCTCAGCAACATCGGCGTCCGGGGGGGGGGGGGGGGGGGATTATAACATATCTTGTGTAAAACGATGATGCTATGTTGCTCACAAAATCACCGTGTAACGTACTAGAGGAAGATTGAATCAATTCCGACGATTTAAGAGTAGTAATTGAGAATTTGATTTAAAAGAAATGAGAAATTGGGAGGATTGGAGGAAGAATTGAGACACAAGCAGAACGAAGAAGACAAAAAGGAGAAGAAGAATAGGGCAAAAGAGAGGAGGAAAACAAAGAATAAGAGGGGGGGGGGGGGGGGGGGGGGGGGGGGATTATTCTGATGTGTTATTCGTATGCCTCATTTAATTAGAAAGAGGAGTTTTATACATGATCAATTACAAATAAATAACTGCTCAACTTTTCAAGTCTTTAAAATAAAACCCCAATCATTATAGGCTCTTTGACTGAAAGAGAAGAGATTGTCATTGTCTCGCGGCTTGAATTTGGAATTTTGCTTTCTGTTTCCTCTCGCCAAGTCTCTTCGTCAAACTACTTTGTTTTGGATGTAACTTGGACTAGGGCTAAAAATAAATAAATAGGTCGTTTTCACTCCGATAAAGTAGGAGCGGCGATCCTCTTCTTCCGCGTAAAAGTCTAGGGTTTCTACGGTTGTAATGCCGGCGGTGGCCTCACCGCTGGCGGCGGGGAGCTCTGATGTCCCCCCGTTGATGGAAAGTGCTACCGGACAAAGGAGGCCTCCAACGGAGTCCTCATCTCCAGATCCAAAGAGTGAGATGGAAGCGCAACACACCAAGAAGAGGGCGAAGGCGATGACTATGAACCCTGATGATAAGGAATCATGTGATGAGATGGTAGATGACGATCCGCTTAATACGAGCAAGCCGCCGTCTGCGGCCGGGACGATCCCAATGGCCTGGGGTTCTGGTTCGGGTGCGGCGCGTCGACTCTTCAGCGAAGTTGTTAAGACGGACGAGTGGTATTGTGCTGATTCAGACGCCGAGGATATAGCCGAGGCAATGTGCCAAGATGGTAGTGAAGAGGGTTTTGATGACTAGTTTGATCCTACCTGCCCACCGATTCACTTCACGGCAGCTGAGGAAAGATAATACTGCAGGAAGTGGCGGTCAGCGCTAGTGGTGAAAGTGTTGGGCAGATCTGTGTCCTATACTATGGTTTCAAAGAGGCTGAATATCATCTGGGCTAAAGCTGGTACGATTCAGGTCACCTTTGCGAAAAACGGTTACTTTCTGATACAGTTCACTAGTGGTATAGACTATGAGAGAGCAGTTACGGGTGGTCCTTGGAGGGTTGGGGATAACTATCTAACGGTGCACCCATGGACCAAGGATTTCGATCCCTATAGTCATGAAATTTCATCGACACTGGTATGGGCAAGGCTGTTGGACATCCCAATTCACTTCTTCCACCCAGATGCTGTCATGAGAATCGGGAGCCGGATTGGGAAGCCCATGCGCGTTGACCATGCAACTCGTACGGGAGCTCGTAGTGATTATGCGAGGGTCTGTGTTCAAGTTGATATAACAAAACCTTTGCTGTCGAAATTTACAATCCATGGCAAAAAATACTTTATACAATATGAAGGGTTAGAGAAGATCTGTCTGCAGTGCGGAAAACTGTTCGAGAGAGCACAGTGCTACTGTTCGAAACCGGTAGAAGCTAAGGACCAAACTACTACCGAGACTCCATCCCCCGAGAAACCGGAGATTACGGAACAAGTCTATGGGGAGTGGATGATTGCGAAAAAGAAACCGAGATTACGCAGGGATAACGGTGGTAACTCGAATGGACCTAATGTGGGGGGTCATATGAGGAACAATGAGCGGAACACCCAGCCTGGGGGTCACGATTTAGTGCACTGGAGGTGGAAGAGACGGAGAACAGCCAGCCTATTCCCAGTCCGAAGCAGGCAACTACCAGGCCAGAGGTGCGCACAGAGAACGCAAGGATAGCGACCACAAACAAAAATCATACGCAAGACGGGAACCAGTTAGTGAAGGAGAGTGGCAACGTCTTGCATGGGAAGGGAGTTGCTGCCAGCCATGCAGCTATCCCACGTACAACTCCTACCTCTTTTGGGAAGAGTGGACAAATGAGGGCAAGTGAGGATATGCTAATGGAGGATAACTCTCATGGGGGACATTATCAAGCATCAAAAACATGCTCTGGAGGAGAGAAAGCAGGGGAGAAGGGGAGAAATGATCATATTAGAGACACCATGGGTCATACAACCCGACCCCCGGACGTACTACACGGCGTGACGGTAGATATGGAGACTTCGGTTGAGGGTATATCCCAAAGTGGGGTGTTTGCAAAAGAGACAAGCCTGGGGAGCCCTGGTTCGGGGGTCTCTCCCCCTGCTGTGTAAGCTGGCTTTGGCCGAGGCCTACTATTTCCATGTTATCAATGATTAGCATCCTTTCATGGAATTGTAGGGGAGCAGGGAGCAACTGCTTCCTCAGAGTGTTCAAAGAGTATTGTAGACGATATCGACCGTGTGTTACTATAATTGTGGAACCAAGGATTAGTGGTGATGTTGCGGAGAAGGTGATTGAAAAGATGGGGTTTGACAAGTGGCTGGTGGTGGATGCCGTGGGCTTTGCAGGGGGCATATGGTTACTCTGGAACTCGGGTGCCGTTACAATTACAGAAAGTGATAGATCAAACCAATTTCTCCATGTCCAGGTTTGCAGTGGACATGATAGCTGGTTCCTTACGGCTGTCTATGCGAGCCCAGCTCTAATCCAGCGAAGAGCATTGTGGCAATCGGTTCGCTCGATCGCGGAGGGCATGGAAGCACCATGGATACTTGCAGGAGATTTCAACTCGATTCTACAACCCTCAGACAAAATGGGGGGTGCTCCTTTTGATGCCAGCAGAGCGAGGGATTTCCAGGATTGTGTCCTTGATTCAGGACTAACCGATTTGGGTTTTTCGGGACCACCTTTTACATGGTTTCGGGCGGGTACAAAGGAACGCCTAGATCGGGGACTAGTAAATTCATAGTGGTCTACTGTTTTCCCAGACACTACAGTGAGGCACCTTCCGAGAATTAAAAGCGACCACCGACCGCTCCTCCTGACGTTGAATCCCCATTTCCAACCGATGGGACAAAAGCCCTTTAAATTCCTAGCTGCTTAGCTGCTTCATGCGGACTTTAAGGAAATGGCAGAGACAGCTTGGGGAAAAGGTGATGACCTAATGAGTCCATAAGTGAGTTTGTGGCCGAAGCGCGCTGATGGAACTCCCAGGTTTTTGGAAACATCTTTCGGAAGAAGAATGCACTTCTAGCTAGAATAGAAAGGCTTGAAGCAAGGAGTGGGGGAGATAGCACAAATGGGACACTACAGAATGCTCGTGATGAATTGGAAGAGTTGCTTCTCCAAGAGGAACTCCTCTGGTGCCAGAAAGCAAGGCTGGATTGGATCGTTTCAGGGGACAAGAACACAAAATTTTTTCATGCAAGAACCATGAGTCGGAGACAGAAAAACATGATTTCGTCTTTGAAAAACGAGGCTCGAGAGTGGGTGGATGATCAAGAGGAATTGCTCGCAATGGCCAAGCGTTTTTTTGCTGATTTGTATACTGATGAGGGCGACCCGGTGTACACTATTCCTGCGAGATTCAATATAATCCCAGCGAGCTTATGGCTGCCTTTGACAGTCCAATTCACGGAAGATGAAATTCATGGGGCGGTCAAAGCCATGAGAGCCCTGAAGGCGCCGGGAAAGGACGGGCTCAATCCGTTATTCTATCAGAGATGTTGGAACATGGTGAGCAAGGAAGTTCTAGAGTTTGCCCAAGCTTGTTGGTTGGAGCCCGCCCGAATAAAGGCTGTGAATGAAACAGTAGTAGCACTCATCCCGAAGATATAGAGACCGATCACGATTGATCAGTTCAGGCCTATAAGCCTGTGTAATGTGGCTTACAAGATGATAACTAAATGCCTGGCAGAGCGCATCAAGCCACTCATGCCGAGCCTGGTACATGAGACGCAAACCAGTTTCGTACCAGGTCGTCATATAACTGACAACATTTGTATCTTGCAGGAAGTAGTCCATTCAATGCGATCGAAGCGTGGGAAGGAGGGCTGGATGGTGCTGAAGATCGACCTGGCCAAAGCTTATGACCGCATTAAATGGAGCTTTGTTCGGGATACTCTTTTGGCGGCCGGAGTTCCTCACGGCTTCATAGACATGACTATGAGTTGTATATCCTCAGCAGGAATGCAAATTCAGTGGAACAGAGGGCTAACAGAGGCATTTCAGCCATCCCGGGGATTGAGACAGGGCTGCCCCCTTTCTCCATACATTTTCACTTTATGTATGGAAAGGTTGGGCCACCTCGTTACTACTGCGGTTGAGAATGGAGCGTGGAAACCCATCTAGCTGGCTCGGTGTGGGCCAAACCTGTCACATCTGTTCTTCGTTGATGATTTGATCTTATTTGGTGTGGCCTCTTTGGAACAGGTACAAGTCATTACTATCTGCCTGGCGGAGTTTGGTGCAGCATCGGGGCAGCAAATTAGCCGTCCAAAGTCGCGAGTTTTCTTCTCAAAAAATGTTCAAGCAGCACTAAGCGGAGTGTTGAGTGGGGCGTTACAGATACCCGAAACGAAGAACCTCGGACGCTATTTGGGGGTCCCTGTGATCCACGATCGAGTGTCAAAGGCAACATACATAGAATTGATTGATAGGATTGACGCAAGACTGGCTGGATGGAAGGTGAAGTCACTCTCAATGGCGGCGAGAATAACATTAGCACAATCAGTGTTAGCGTCATTACCGGCGTACACCATGCAAACATCCTTCTTGCCTGCTGGGGTGAGGGACTACATTGACAAGAAGATTCGGTGTTTCGTTTGGGGAAGTTTGGAGCTTGGAAGGAAAATTCATTTGGTTAACTGGGAGACTTTATGCAGAACGAAGGAAGAAGGGGGGCTTGGCCTCCGGAGCGCTACCCGGCTTAATGAGGTTTTTATGCTAAAAATTGCATGGAGAATTCTTACAGAACCTGATAGCCTGTGGGTGAAGGTGATAAAGGCAAAATATATCCGGGTTATGGAAGGTGGGTGGCGGCCGAGAACAACAGGCAGTATGTCTAACCTGTGGAGAGGGGTCTTGCGAGTACTCGAGCTCCTCCCAGAGGGCACGATGTGGAATATAAAGAGCGGGAAGCAAACAGCTTTCTGGAAAGATAGATGGCTGCAGGACGGGCCACCATTGATGGAGTTCACGGAGAATCTTCCCTCGGAAGCACTCGACTTATCAGTTGCGGAAATGGTTTTGAATGGGCATTGGAATTTGGACTACATCAGGGCCTACTTACCCGAAGAAATGGTCCAGCAGGTTCAGCTACACCCAGTTCCGTGCGAGGAAGGCACCGATGTCCCAGTTTGGCGTTTATCTTCATCGGGCGCCTTTACTTTAAAAACGGCCTATGCTCTTACAGGTATGGTTGAAGAAGGAGCAGCTTACCATCCAGTGTGGAAGTTGGTGTGGAAAGTACAGGGGCCGCAACGTGTTAGGACGTTCCTGTGGTTGGCTCTTCATAACCGCCTGCTGACAAATGTTGAAAGACACCGCCGCCATCTGTCTCAAAATGATACTTGCCAGGTGTGCGGAGAGGGACAAGAAACCATGATACATGTGTTGAGAGATTGCCCGTATGCGAGAGGGGCTTGGGCGGAGGTATTGGAGGGGGAGCCGGACCGGGACTTTCGCGAAGCAGATGTTATCAAGTGGATAATGCATTACCTAGCAGGACATAGCAAATTCATCAATCCTACTCTTTTTGCTATTGTCTGCTGGAAGCTATGGAAAAACAGAAATGAATGGGTGTTTGAGGAGACTATTGCTACCCATAAAAGGTTTGTGAATGAGGTAAAACAAGTTTGCAGACAGGTTGAGCTGGCGGAGGCGCAAAGGCCATGCATTCTAGAGGAAGGTGGAACAAACAGTGTGCACTTAGTGGGCTGGCAAAAGCCCCCATCAGACTGGGTTTGCTTAAATACTGATGGTTCGGTCAGAAGGGACCCCTCTGGTACGGCGGCGGGGGGTGTGCTACGGGGAGGGGATGGACGATTTATGAAGGCCTTTGCGGTCAACCTGGGAAGCGGATCGGTCACGCACGCGGAGCTGGCAGGTATACATTATGGCCTCCAAATTGCCAGGAGTGATGGCATTCAGAAGTTGTTGGTGCAAACTGATTCGGCCACAGCGGTGAGCCTGATCAATTCGAGCCCGGATAACAGCCCCCATGGGACGTTGGTGAGTGCAATCCGAAGACTACTTCAGCTCAACTAGGAAGTGCGGATTATCCACGTTTATCGTGAGAGTAACTTTGTTGCTGATTTCTTGGCATCTGTTGGCCATTCTTTATCCTTTGGGGTTCATATTTTTGTTAGCCCGAGTCCCAGCCTTTGTTATTGGCTATTGTTTGATTCCATTGGAATCCAAACTCCAAGATTGGTTAATAATTAAGGGTTAGAGCGCCCCCTGCGCTCTGTTTTACACCAAAAAAAACTTGGACTAGGGCTGGGAAACGGTGTGGTCTGGTCCAGACCAGACCATATATACGGTCTATGGTCCAGACCGAGAGGCTAAAGTATAGACCATAGATCAGACCATAGACTATACGGTTCGGTCCAGACCACGCCTGTGCGGTCTGGTTCGGTCTGGTCTGGTTCAGATAGACCACACTCAACCAAAATAAACAATTTCTTTAGTCAACCACACAAAAAATTGAACCAATAATCAAGAAAAATAATTTTTATTTGCCTTAAAATATTAATCCTAACATGCATGAATAAATTTGATACCCTAAATCTTAGTACATAACAAAGATATCAAGTAAAAGCATCCCAACTTGCACCATAACGTTATAAGCATTAACGTAATGTCATATGGAGACACGATTATCTCTACTCTCTAGTTAAGTGTGGTTCTGAATGAAGGTGGGATGAGATTCACAAAATTAAGGTTGAGACTTGGGTGTCGTTGTGGGAGTTGGGAGAGTGGTCGAATGGGATGTTAACACGTATTGACAAGTTGGTTGGTTCCACGGTTTGGTCCGATAAACCGCGGTCTAGACCAGACCAGACCAAGATATCAAAACATAAAATAATACAGACCATGGACCATACCAGACCATACTTAACGGTCTACGGTCCAGACCAAACTGTGCGGTACGGTTTGGACCACGGTTTTTCTAACGGTCTGGTCTATTTTCCCAGCCCTAACTTGGACCAAACGAGAGATTGGGAAGCAGTGGCGGACCTAAGGCAAGGGAGGGTGTGTCGTCCTACACACCCTCGCCTGAGAATTTTGTGAAGAACCTACATATTTTCGGTACAAAATTTTTGAGTTCGGGACTTCCGACAACCCTTCGATAATTATAGGCGACACACCTTCATTAGACTGCAAGAATCTTATTATTTAAATGAATCAATCTTAAATCCTAATTAACAAAATTTATTTTTAATTTGTTTAAAATAACTCATAATCATATCAGTTGCTATTAAAAAAACCCACAGGCCACACCAATATACATGTGTGCTGGGGTTGACCCTTTCATTAATGGAGAAACAAAAAAATCACCAAAGCCCACGTGGCCACTGTCGAGACTCACCAAAATACTTGCTTTTGAAATTGGTATGACTTTATATGTTGAAATGTAAGCTGCAAAAGAGCATTTTCGCCAATTAAGATAATCAAGAACGATTTTCGAAATCGGTTGGGTGACAAATTTATGAATGATTGTTGTGTATATTTGAAAAAGATTTGCTTTGCAGCATAAGTGATGAATGTATTTTAGAGACATTTAAGTAGTTGAAAAGTCATCTTGATTCGTTGTAAACATGACATTGTGAACTTTATAAATTAATTTTTTATTTAATTTTTAATTATTATTGTGTTTTATCGGCGACATGTAAACATAGATCATAATAGCATGGATCTTAGAATTAGATGATTTCACGAATCGATAATAGATCGGGAAACCTACCTCGATCCATGACGAGAGCGGCGGCGGCGCTGGAGTAGTAATCACCGGAATTAAGTTTCTCCCTCTTGACCCCTTTAGGTTTTAGGTTTAGAGATTTCTGTGATGGCTAAGAAATTCTACGTAATGGGTTGAGAGAGGACCAATCCTAGAGCTTCTTTATATAGACCCACCATCAGGGCATATTAGGAATTTACCTTTCATTAACCTAATCAATATAGGATTTACCTTATATATTAAATCATTAAGTGATAATTACACTTGGGCCACAATTATTCCCTAGTGACCTACGGGAATTGGGCTTACACGACACACCTCTCCAAAAATCCTGGGTCCGCCACTGTTGGGAAGGTACGTGCTTTTGCTGGTTTGTGAGAAGAAGGGATGCAAGGGGTCGAGGAGAAGTGAAAGTTCACGTCAATTTTGCTGACATGTACTTCTCAGTTCCAGGCAACCGACGATTAGCATGAAAAATGCAGGAAAGGTTGGGAAGAATTTAGTATAAGGATTTGAAAAGCAAAACCACAGTCCAACAGCAGGGCATTTGGTCTAGTGGTATGATTCTCGCTTAGGGTGCGAGAGGTCCCGAGTTCAATTCTCGGAATGCCCCAAAAATTTTACCCTTTTGTATTTTAGTCAGAATGCTACTACTAAAGTGAAATGAAGATGCATCAAATGATAGTAATATGAACTTACAGTTTTATAATTCAATCTTTTTACAGTTATCATCCAAAGAATAATCTTTTCCTTTTTCCCTTTGTATGAATTATCATCAAAAGAATGTTACCCTTTCTGTTTCTTGTTCTTTTCTTTCTGGTGGGTTCCTTTAGGTTACACAGTAATATAGATTACACAAAATTTGACAAAAAATTAGTTTTAATTACAACAGCAGCAGCAACTACAATCCTTGCCTCTTCTTTTACAGAAACTGGTAATCCCCTGGCTGCGCGGAGTAGTTCTTGAGTTAAAAGCCACTCCCTTTTCTGCTGCCGCAAAGTGGAAAGGTACATTGGTTTTAACCGTGGTAAATTCATGGCACATTACACAGTCCAAGAAGGGGGGGTGTCATATGAACACTAGGTTCCCCTCATCTATGGCTACTTCTTGGCCTGCAGAAAGAAACAAAATTCAATGAGCTCTGCACAGTGTGATGACCACCGTTAAACTCAATCTGAATATAATGCAGAAGGTTGATAGCAGCAAACATGAGAAAATGTTAAGGTGAAAACGGCAACAATACACACTCCAGTAACCATGAAGAAAGTGAACAGAGGAATGAATTGATGAACTTTACAGAAAGCACCCTTGTATTTATACAGCACAAAACACTGCACCAGCAGAATATACGATTTGGGTGCATTTACTCTTTTAATCATGGGATTCCAGAATGTTCATTAAGATTTCGGGAAAAGGCTCGTGGGTTTATCAAAAGCATTATGGCTTTATCAAACTTGTGACCAGGAAAAGAAGAGGATTTACTATCCTCTAACTTGTTGATGAGAGATTTAGCTCTATGGCAAGATATGCTGGGAAGGACTCAACATCAGAATGAAAAGTGCAGACATGCTGATTCACATTGCACGATATCGGTAGCAAAATATTCATTGGGGGCTAGAATATACCTTTTTCAAATATTTCTTGTGAAGTTTCATTGCACCAGTGCAGGCCTTCTTGGCGTCTAAATTACCAGTGATGTCGTTCAATATCTGAATGGTATCAAAGAAAGGACAAGAAAGAAAGAGCGAACATCAGATAGGCAAAAACAAAAGGAAGACAGAAGGTGATAAATTTGAGGTGAAGATTTCTCGAAAGCCAAGAATAACGGAGGTAGGAAGTTGAAGACCAAACAATGATTTCATAGAACCAATGCTCTTAAGAACTAAGTGCACCTAACAGATTCTCATAATAAAAGTACCCTACACGTGGATTATCAGTCTTATGTCTTAAGAACTAGAATCCTGGAAGTCATCGTGAACGAGCAAGGATGAACCGGTTTTGGCTATTTGTTACTTTCTTTTCAACACAAATATTTCAGTATTTGTGCATAACTTATATGAGTTTTCCTGTCAGCTACAAAGTTGTAATCTAGAATATACGTTGGCATAGCAGAAGTTAGCTTTAGGAAGTTAACCTTGACAACATCATCCAGGCCTCGGGCTTCTTGTAGTAGCTTTGCACTTTTATCTTTCAAGACACTTGCAACGAGGAAAACAGAGATGGGAAGGGGAGCTTCCTCTGCTGAACCACTTTTCATGTTCTCCCTCTCATACTTCCCATAGTGACGTATAGACTTTGTTCTTCCTTTGGATCCCTCCGCTGCTTCAGGCTCTTCATACAACTCGAACAAGTCGGGGTCATATTCAAGAGCCCACATCATCTGCAGGAAGAAAGAAACAATGTCAGTAACTGGAAGGGGTTTTGTCAATGGTAGGCGAAGGCAACTGTGAATCCACACGGGAAAATGATTTGAAAAACGTAAAAGGAAACTTAGGTGCTGATAAATACAAAATGCAAGAAGGTAAGTTCAAAGCAAAGATTAAGGCAATACTCAGGGTTGAACATTGCAAGAAGGAAGTTGCATATTGACATGCTCAGAGACATACCTCCCATAGGTATAGTGAGTCACAGAAAGAGAACTCTCGCCGAAATAGAACCATAAGCATGCGGAAAGCAAATAAATAGTCACCTCCACCAAGAGCTTCTGTTTTGCAATGTCGAAAGAAAGGTATGTTATTTCTGTAATCACTTGATCAAAGACTGAAATAATAAAGACATAAATTCTTTTGTCCAGTTCTTTCTGTTTAAAGTTTTGTAAATAACACACCAGTAGTTTTATGCCATTGTTATGGACTGTGGAGTTTTAATAATACTTGAAACAGCATGAAGTTATGGCGTGATTATGATGATGTGATGTGATGCACATAATGAGAAGAAATGTCAAAACACACACCTAAGTGCTGATGAAGTTTTGGATCAATAACTTGAGTAATCGCCGCCAGATTACTGAGTTGCGACTCCACACCAACAGAGCTCTCTGTGCATCTGAAATTTCCTCGCTTTTGAAATTCGAGCAAGAACAAATCATTAGAAGGTTGATACTGGATATTAACATTTTAGTGAAGCTGGAAGAAAAGTCTTCAAGTACCCACTTGACGTTTAAAGCACAAGGGCATTGAAATGAAGCATGTGTCTTACAGAAAACAAAGGCCTGAGAAAACTGCCGCAAAACTAGGCTAGCAATATGGATAAGTGGAAATTTTTGTACAGAACTTCTAACAAAGCCAGGAGCTAGAGTGTCACTCAAAGCCACAACAAGACACTTTTCTAGTCATTGGACAAAAAGGCGTTCGCACAACAGGAGCAGTCAAATGAGCAAGAAATTAAACAAGTAGTAGATGACATTTTACATCAAAAGAACTTAACAGTATCAATAAAAGCAAAAGAAAAGGAAGGTACCAATCTTCTCATCAGACGTTCAAAGCACCAAAATGCATCAGCTTCGTCATCAAGAAGAATTATCATGGGGGAGCAAAGATCACTCATTCCTGCCAGTAGTACCAGGAAATTGAGCTTTAGACGTTAAAAAGTATGTATATCTTTTTGACGTGATAAAAGTCCAGCTAACTCTTTCCTGGCAGCACTTATCCTCCAGACACAGAGAGAAAGGTTTAATTGCATATGATAACGAATAAAAATCACATACATCACAAAAGTCCATTCACAAAAAGTTCAGCAGAGTTTAAAACTCCAAAAAAAAATTATGAACAACCGAGTTAAAATAGATGACTGTTTATGTGCCAAGAATAGTTTGAACTGGGTCCACGTTAACTTGGAATTAGTAGATGCATAATGCATTTCAGAGTCCATTTCGACGAATGTGGAAGCTATTATTGGAATTAGTAGATGCAGCATCAGTACAACATACATAAAAAGTAAAGCAGAATATCTGCCATGTGATCTATTCAGTTCTGCAATACTCATAACATTTTTGACAAACCTTGACAATATCCAACATCTGTGTCAATCCAAGCATAGACAGCTAGGATATCCCATAATTTTGACAAATTCTCTTGCTTCTCATAAAAAACCAATGTTCGGTCAGTGCGAATCACGTCCAAACCTACAAGAACCAAGCAAAGTAAAGTTCACATTGTTTTCAAGGGCAAGTGGAGATACATTGGACACGACTATAGTATTATTAAGCCATTATACAACAAGCCAAGAAATAAGGCATCAATACCCTTAACTCGGGCAGCCGAGTCCCATAAGAAAGAATAAGCAAAAATGGTTAAGGCATGAACACAGGCTACTCCCAGTCCAATAATGCACCAGCATTGTTAAGGCCAAAGTAGAGGCACTACATATTTTTATTTTGCACATGAATTACAGTACAATAGCATTGCATTCATAAACAAAGACTGGTAATCAGAGTAAAACTTGAACAAAGGAAAAAATTACTCATTCAACAATAGCTGACCTATTTGATGCAAGGTAAGAATCCACTGGATGACTTTCTTATCCAGAGGGCCATGACTGATAATCTCTTTCATCATTTGCCAACTGGAAATATTTATACTTGATTGAGTTTCACCGTTAGCAACAGTTTCACCGACTACAGCTGTACTGGCAGCTTCACCCTCTTCACCAGCTTCACCAGCTTTACCCTCTTCACCAGCTTCACCAGTATCATCAGTTTCACCGGTCTCACCAGTCTCAGCAGCATCCCTATCCTTAGGAGGTTCAGCTGCAGCATTATTACCTGCTTCTAAAAGATACAATGGCTCCTGAACAGACTGACCATCTTCGGTGATTACAGGTGCTGTAATAAACTTGCCACTGCCGACAATTGGAAACTTTTCCCGACATTCCTCCTTCCAGCTAGCATATTCAACCCTAGATTGTAGCAGAAGTGGATTAGTAAGTATCTCCTTAGGTCCACAGAAGGGAAAATTTGAACTTCTTTTGAAAAAACCAATATGGCTAGCCACAACATTCAAGTGAGAAGAAAATAGATGCAACGATATGGTAATGGAAGCTAGCAGCTTTGCATGTCATAGAACACCAGAGGAAGGTCAAAAAGCCAAAAATAAACAAAATGTAAGTGATCTTATTGCTGAGTAATAAAGTTGGAGCAGCTTTGCTTTCAACAAGAGTTGTCGAGGTGGCACGATGGAAATCTCCAGTCAACCATGACATGAATGTTATTAACATAAACGTATTTGACGCCTTAGATACAAGCACAGCAGACAGGATGTCTCTAATATCCTACATCAGTCAAATTTCCACCATGTCTAATTCCTGAAACATAATCAGAAGATGTTACCTTCTACGCTGTCGAATCTCATCTCGTTCTTCAAATGTACTCTTAGGATCATAACAACCAAGTAGAAATTCCCAAACTTCTCCTCTAATTGATGGATGAATCCCCTGAACAAGCAAGAGAGAAAACAAATCCACTCTAAGTCTCCAACCCTTAACATTCTGGACCAACTAATAAGCTCCCCTTTGAAGGAAAGATACACCTACCCCACGCTGAATTCGACCTAATGTCTTGCTTATATCCAGGTGGCCTTCTGGAGTAAATGCAGCCTGCCATTTTCTGACACTCAGAGTCTTACCAGGCTGCAGAAAGATTGAACATCAAGGTGAGCACATCATTAATCCATCACCAAAAGATAAATGATAACGCTCAAGGAAAAGAAGTGGCGTGGGGAACCAATAAACCAATCATATGCGATCTGAGAACTTTCTACAATAGTATTGCCATTGCTCATTCATGACGAATCTTGAACAAATTACACAGGTAGAAGGCTCCCTGCCATTTTCAACTTCTCTCTCATAATGCCCAAATAAACAGAAATTTCTTCGGATCATATACATCCAAGCAAAAGAGCAAAATGGGTACTTAAGGTATACCAAAACTGACACATTGCAACCGAATTGCAGAACAGTGATCCAAAATTAACGAAAGAGGATCAGCAGGATATGGGATCAAACAATGCAGAGATCAAATTGACAAAAAAGAAACGAGCTTGAACGTGAAGAACGAAAGAAGAGAACAGACCTTGATTTTGAAGCGGGTTTTAGGAACATCCGTACACTCCGGGCGGACCTCGTAGTAAGAATCCGCGGGCTCTCCAGAGCTCCACATTTACAACCCACGAAACTGTAGGAGACAAAGGAAGGTAAAGAAAAGAGGGAGGGGAAAAAGGGGAAAGGAAGGAGCTTTTCTCCTTGGCAGCAAAGTTGACGAAGAGGGATAAAAAGGGATCAAAAGAAAGAAGGAATCAAAGACCCAGCAAAGCAGAAACTATTAAGACAGCTCTTCAAGCAAAGAGATGGAGATGGAGATGGAGATGGAGCTGGAGCTAGGAATTTCCAATGCACAGAAAAATGATTCAAAAGAGAAAACCCATCATAATTCCCACAAACAAATAACACCGCCAGAATCAAAAGGAGACAAGAGGAGAGACGACCACGACAAGTTCAATGCTAGAAGATGGACGGACTGGGCGAGAACAACGACAAACCCAAAACCAACAGCCGGGAATTTCCTATTTTTGTTTTTTTCTCCCTCCCTTTTTCTACCTTTTTCTGATCGGTTTTATTCCTTTTTAGAGGGTTTTTTTTGTTTGTTAGGGTAGTTGATCGTTGTTTCTCGTCCTCTTTTACTAATTACCTCAAATCCCTATTTCCTTTTTAGAACAAGGTGACTCTGTTTCTCTCAATTATTGAAATTTTTTTCAGGTGAACTGAAATGATTCAATTCAATTTTAGTTACCCTTTTGGCAAGGAATATGTGTTGACTGACTACAGGGGGAATTGGCTGGCTGGGGGTTGGCCATTTGTCTGTTGGTGTCTTTCTTCTGTTTATATTTTCTGAAACAGCGAGGATGGCGCGTGATCGTGGCTTCTGTTTACAGTTTTGGCCATGGCGGTCAAAGTTTAGCGGGAAACAGAGGGAGAGAGAAAGACGAGGAGGATTAGGGAGATCAATATATGTGAGTTTGTGTACCTTCAATGCAAAAGTTTGCATCTTTAAGCAGAGGATTGTGAGTTTGTGACCTCTATTTCACTTCTGTAAGTCCTCAAGTAGTCAAATTTTTGTGAAAGTTAAAATCTTGCACTTTTCTGGACTTTATATTGTATAAATAAACGGAATCAACGGTTCAAGAGGAAAAATCTCATACCTAAGGGTTGAGTCTAAATTAGTAGGCGACCTTTAGCGGTATAATATGATTAAACCACGATTAAATCAAAGTTTCAACAGAATATATCTTGTGACCGAATTTTCCGGTTGTTTACTTTTAAAAATTATCTTGTACCACATAACACATAGATGATTTACAAGGACAACTTAATCATCAAAATTGATGTTATTTAAGTTGGTCTCGTGATATTAGATTTTTTAACACAAGGAGGTAACCATATGGTCGTGAGTAGACGACCATGCAACCTAGAGCCGCGCGACCATGTGGTCGTGAGAAGATAATCGCATGACTGCGTCAGGATAGGACCACGACCCCTTCGCGAGACGGCCACGACCTCATCACAAGGTTGGCATGACACAAGATAAAAAAAGGTGTGAGATTTGGAACAAAACCAGGCGAACAAGCTACACTCCAAGACTTGTGATGCATTTAGGAAAGGTACCTAGGCTGTTGAGAGAGGAACTACTACTCATCATACGTTCAAAAGACACGACAGTCACGTCCGAGAAAGAAGGGAGTGGAACTTTTTTGGGAGTTATCCAACAAAGAAATTTCTACGACGATAACCTCCCAATGTTCATAAATAGGAGGAGGGGTCAATAGGGACAAGGGTTTTCAAAACCATATAACTGTCGTATACATCAAGTTTTTATCTTTTTCCTTTACAAGTAGTCATAGTCGTAGTCTGGAGCTCTCACTTAACCTACATACAGTGGCGGAGGGAGGTGGAAGGGAGTGGGGTCCTAGGACCCCACTTGGATAAATTAAAATGGTTGAATGTATGTACATACTTGTTTAATTTGAGTAGATTTAGAATTTAGGACCCCATTTATATGAAATTTAATTGTCCTAATATTATGAAACACACAAATAAATTACACTATATTGGTCATATATTATTGAAAATCCCCAAATTTATAGTCCTTATTGTAAAAATTTCTAATTCTACTAAATAAGTGTACAAAAACCTCCAACTATATCTAAAAAGCTCTTAGTTCAACAATTTTTTTCTATTAATATACAATTTTTTTGTCATCAAATGTGTTTATAAAACGTTTGTGTGTATTAGGTTTTGCTTGGTGACTATTTATTTTAGCTAGTTATTGAAATGTCACTTTTCAATTATGAGTTACACAAAATGTAAGTTACAAATCTTATAACTAATGGTTTGATAAATGACTACTTGACTGCATATTTTTAAGAAAATTTACTTAATAATAGAATACAATGTTATAATTTTTTTTACACAAATGGGACCCCACTAAACTTCAACGCTGGCTACGCCACTGCCTACATAGGAGTAGAAGTAATCAAACAATCAACGAAAGCAGCAGGATAGAAACGATACAAAAGTATCACTACGACTAGATAGGATTATCATATAGGAAAAAATAAGATACAAGTGACATTTTTATATCGTTCGGGTGTTGTAGTGATATGAGTTTTTTTCGTTTTCTTTTTGTGAATCGTGCATATGTACACCTTATGCTTCTCTGTTTGTGATTGTACGTGAAGTGTAAAGAGATGGGCATCAAATAGATTGCGCGGGAATCCCCTCCTCCGCTGCCGGGACTCCTCATCCCCTCCTCCGCTGAGACGGCGGCCGACTCATCCTACTGCCGCCGCCGCAAGTTGTGCTGCTCTCTGCTCTCCGGCGCCCCCTCCCTGTTGAGTGTGGACAGAACGTGTAAGTTCTGCTATTCTTTCGATCTATGTCTGCTATTATCTCTGTCTCTCTCTCTCTCCTTGTCTCCGCCGACGACTGAGGTTGGCCGGCCTCTCTCCCCACCCCCTTCTCCGTCGAACAGTAGTAAAATTCATATAGCCAGCAAGTCTTCCAAGCCTAAAGTTTAAGCTGAAAATTGATAATGAAACTCCTGTATTGTCTTCCCCTCCCAAGTTGCAATCGATGATCTAATGGCGTTCTGGTCTTATTCTCGGATTGAATTAAGTTTTTCAGTTTCCTTTTAGTTTTGGTTGATTGAAGGAAGAGGAAAAGTTTAATTTGATCTTTGCTTTCGTTAAACGTTTTTCCTGTTTGGTTGGAATCCCAACAGAACTAGTAAGAGAATGAACTGACTGTATTGTGGTATGGATTTCTTTAGCTTCGTTTCTGTTTGTTTGCAAGCTTGGAATCCCGGCCAGCTGAGAAGCTCCTCCGGGGACTGGAAACACTTGCCTCCGGTGACTTTGTTGGTCCGGCGGTCCATGCAATCAATTTTCCTCCAGCGAGAAGTAAATAACCAATTAATGGCATCATTGGTCCGTTTATTTGGGTTTTAATACATCAGTTATGTTATTTGATGTTATTGGGTCTTTAATGATCCGTTACAAGTGATTAATGAGTCACTAAAGCTGTCCTTTTATGGCGCTTTACAACCTTTATGGTTGGTTTATATATCAAATTATGGGATAGAAAGAATTAATTTCTGACGTCTTTAATGATCCGTTACAAGTGATTAATGAGTCACTAAAGCTGTCCTTTTATGGCGCTTTATAACCTTTATGGTTGGTTTATATATCAAATTATGGGATAGAAAGAATTAATTTCTGACGTTCATAATTAATTTCTGACTTTCATAATTAATTAATTTATTGGGCTAGTGCAGTAAAACAAATCCAGTGTCTATTTTATGGCTGGGATTTGAAATATGGAGGAATTGGATGATTAATTAAGGAATTTAGTAACATTTCCTTCTTTGTCCATTTTTCATATTAATTGGGACCAATGGATAATTATGAAATTAATTGGTACCATATTAATTGTATTCATATTCTTTCTTCATATGGCAATGCCTCAAAGTCATACTTCCCACAGTAGTGGCCCATCAAACTCGTGGAGTAAACTGCCTTAACCGATGGCCTGTCTGCTGGAGACATCGAGAAAGCATTGAACTTTTATTATTCAGATGCCCCCTAGCCATCAGATTGTGGACTTTAGTGGGATTGAGCAACTTTATTGAGACCGCCCAGACTGTTAACTTTAGTCTATGGTGGCGACATGTCATGGTCTCCGAGACCTCCCAATTCCACATTCTCCAATGCGTCTATTTACTTTGGAGAATCTGGAAGTCTAAAAATAAAGTGACCTTTGAATTTATCCAACCTCATGTCCGTACCCTAGCCAGACAGTTCTACAACCAGGTCCTCGAAATCTCCAATCTTCTTCTTCCCCCTCCTCCCCGCCGCTCTCTACTCCGAATCCTTCCTGCCACCTCTTGGGTCTCTCCACCAGAAGGCTTTTTGAAGATCAACGTCGACGCAGCTGTTTGTGCCTCCGGGTGTTCGTATGAGCTTATTATCCGTGGGTCAGACGGGCATGTGATGTTGGCGTTCGGGTTGCAACATCAAGGGATATTGCTTGGCCCACGAGATAGTCGAAGGTGACTCCGAAGTGGTCGTCAACCAAGTCCGTCAAGGCGTCTTAGAAGACTCGATTGGTGGTCCGGTGTTACGAGAGTGTCTTTTGATCCTTAGCTCTTTGTCTGTTTGTATAGAGTTTAGGGCGGTACCTAGATCCGCCTTCAGTGCTGCCCATAGAGTGGCGCGTAAAGCACTGCTTTTGTCTCGTGTAGAGCTAGAATCTTTTGATTTTTGGGGTGGCTTCTTTAGAGTATTTTAGGGGTCCTGGGTAGAATTGTAAGCTTAACTATTATTTTCCATTGATATCACTCAGAAATAATAAAAAAATAGATTGCGCGGGAAAGGCTCTCATTGGTTGTTGAATAACAGTTTAGCTCAAACCACAAGCATCGAATGTTCTTGACAAATGGTCAAGGGCAAAGTATTAACCTGCAGCCCAAGTCATCTCCTGCACAAAAAAGTAATCCAAAACAACAAATAGGAACGAACATATGCTTTGCACCAGAAGCCAAGAAATCCATAGCTAAAGAGTGAACAGAGCGTTAAAAGCATGCAAAAGCTTCACTGCCACAGATACTGTAAAGTTGGCCTCAAATCTTAGCCTACAAAACCCCCATCATCAGCTCCATGCCATTCTCAAAATCCTCCTTCTTAGTGCTACTTACCTCCACACCAAAACACACATAACACCATACCACTTTGCCATCAATGGCAGGAACGAACCCGGGATCGAAAATCGGCCGAAACAGGGCGGTTGCCAACATGCTGGGACTGTCCTGTCTCCTGCTGCTGTCGCTCCAACAAACTACTGCATTCCAATTCACCGTCGGTGGCGCCAAAGGTTGGACGGTTCCTGACAATTCCTCCGCCTTGAACTACAATTCTTGGGCAGAACACAACCGGTTCTCCACTGGAGACTCCATCTGTAAGTTGTTTTTTACTCTCTTGTTATTCTATGGTTACGTCGAAGTTTCCTTCTTCCGCAAGCAACTGAAATCACTCCGTCGTTGTCGTTGTCGTTGGCCGATTCGATTTGTGTGCAGTGTTCATGTACAACCCTGATCGCGACTCCGTGCTGGAAGTGAGCAAGGGCGACTACGACAACTGCACCACGACTTCACCCGTCGGGACATACTCCGACGGCCACACCCTCTACACTTTCAACCACTCCGGCGCCCACTACTTCATCAGCGGGAACCGAGACAACTGCCTGAACAACGAGAAGGTCGTCGTGGTTGTTCTGGCCGACAGGAGCAAGAATGGGACGGCACCTGCTGCTTCCCCGCCATCTCCTCAGTCACCGTCGCCTGCACCGGCCATGGATCAGTCACCTCCTCCCGGGATAGTTCAGCTCACCCCTGCACAGTCTCCTGAAGGCGAGTCGCCCAACAATGGAGCTTCGTCTTCCATGGCTGCTGCAGCAGGGATCGTCGGTTCAGTCGGAGCTTTCCTGGCCTCATCCATCGTGCTCGCATTCTGATCATTGGTTCCACGGACCGAGTTCGCTTTCGTGGTTGATTAACATTTATAACTTCTTGTTTCGCTTTTTCCCCCCACATTTGTTATCCTTCTTGTATCAGAGATGTTTTTCATTGTTTGGTGCTTCGGTATTTGTTTGTCGTGGAGATGGCAATAAGGTTATGAACCAAACTGGTGTGTATTTCAAGAGCATGTTTGTAAAGAAAAGGAAAAATAACTGAAAGAGAAGAGTGTTCTAAACATACCTTCAGCATTTCAACGGCGTTTCTTCTTTAACAAGGCTCCAGCGAGAAGATCTCAGTCTCAAGTCTGAAATCGACAGTCACAATCCATAGGCTTCGTGTTTCCAACTTCGAAAATCGGAAAACGTATTACAGAGGACTTCCATTGGCAAATCAAAAGATTCTTCGACCATCTATTTTCCGGTCATTACTCCAAAACACCAATGCAGAAATGGATGACGATCACAAGCACTGTAACTAAAGCAGAGCACGATAAGGGCGCGGCACAGAGAGGATAGGCACTGAACGTGCTTCATGGTGTATATTATGGAAGTGTCCCATAAATAACTGTTCTATCCTGTTCTTGCTTGCTAATGCTAATTTAATAAACCCTGTGATTCAAAACTTAGAAATCTTTACATGAAAACTAACATAATGTTTCATGTCATCTCTTCCTTTCTATCAAAAATTCTTGCCTAGCTCCACTTTCTTCACTAGCCTGATTGTGTTGTGCAGTAACGAATCCAATATTCCAGCGACCTGAAATCAAGAGGGCTTGCATTTAAGATCGGAGATCTTGTAACGTGAGTAAGACTAGGAAAGAACTGAACCAAGAGATGCACGAGCACCAACCGTGAATATCCCACCGATTATGGCGCACACATTGGTGATAAAATGTGAAAATGACTTGGGAAGTTCAGTGATCAGAACCTGATGGCAAAAGGGATGGGTCAAGAGTCAAACCGATGAACATTTCAGGACCTATAAGAAGGATCCAGCCATTCCTCTCTTTTTTTTTTAATTGAAATTTGAAATAGGAATTAATTAAGAACTGTATGGTGGGATGGTCTGATTTCTTTTTCCCCACAAGTTCAAGACAGTAGGTTTGTCACTATACCTGCATAGGGGAGAGCTCAAAATGGAATTTCGCAACAGGTATATCCACGCTCTCCGCCAAACTGCTGTGGGCTGTATACTCATACTCTTCTATTATCGTGTGATCACGAGATCCTCTTCTTGATACCACCTCTGTTTTAACGACTTGGAGATAATGCTCTATCTGAAAATTGCAAAAGAAAACAAAAATAGCAATGGTTATGAGTTATGACACATGGAATCAACAGGAGAGTATTTGCCATGACTGATTATTGTGAAGTTATATGAGCGACAGCTTCTGCATGCGAAGAGACACTATCTAATTTGCTTGCAGGCAACGAAAGGCATACACTCTTCCACAGGAAGAGTTCTTGTGACTGATATAGCACGGCAATACAACAGAGAAACTGAGATGTACAGTGAAGGATCAATCTCATAAGAGTTGCGAGCAAGCTAACTTACAGTGACATTAGCACCTACGTCGCGCTGATTTACAAATGCCCGCCCATTCAGCCGGTCATGACTTCGACCAATATATGGCATCAATCGCTTGGCGTCAACCAGCGCCTTGGGTGCAAATTTCAAGCCAAACGAGAGATGGGAAACAACGTGTGACATGTTCATTAGAGAAGTATCAAAAGAATGGGATCCTGAACGAGCTGAAATGATGAGGTTCCCAGGAACCTGCAAAAAGATCATATGAATAAATCAACTCTATATCTCAGAGCGTATCAATAAACAAGTAATTTCTGGCATGATGAATTTATGTATCTCCGTAAATACACCACAAGTTAGACAGTTAAAGAGAACTGCATGATGATACTTCTGCAAGAAATGGTACCTTTTTAACACGCACATATCCCTCAATTCTACATCCTCCAGTTGAAGGTGCAGGTCGTTTGATGCTCTGAGTTGAATTGTCGAGCTTGTGATGTAAAGCTGGAATAGGTGCAACAAGAGTTTCCATAGTCTGTACAAAAGTAACAAGTACATATCAGGCTCAGTTAAGTTTCTACTACTAAGAAAAAAAGTACACAAATACATTAGGGACTTGGCTAAGAGCACATCTGTTCACTGTTACAGTATGAAAAAACAAAATGCCGCAATACCTGCACCAAGGTGTCGGTATCACGATCCCCATAGTAAGACTCATGCTCATGGTGTCCATGGTCATCCCTGTCACGGTGAAATGACTCACATGTGAGCTGGGTCGTAAAGAAGCATCAACATGAAGGGATGAACGCTGAAAGCTAAATCATCAAAAACTGCAATGTGCTCTGGCCCTTGCATCTTATGGAGCACACCAAGAGAACGTACGTGGATGAAAAGATACAAATGTTACCTCAAATCACTTCCCTTACGAAAAATACGAATGGAGGGATACCCTTGGATGTGATGCCTGAGATAAAAGGACAAACAGAATAAATTACTTATAAATGATAAACATGCTGCCAATACTAAATCACTGCTTCAACTGTAAGCTCAAAAGACACGGCTTCCGAAAAGATTTCATTCTTTCTTTTTATTTTTATTTTCCTTCAAGAAATAATTAGGGAGATAATGGATACACAGATTAGCGAGTACTTAATATCCCAATTAAGATCAGAAAACTTCCATTCTAGTTATGTGGAACACATTCAGTACCTCCTACATAATTCACCTTCTTCGGTGCAGTCCACTTTGGCCAAAATGATGCGTCCATCAGTTTCAGGGTCGTATCTATTAAAAATGAGAGCAATGAGTGAACATGATACCTTTATATCTCCTCAAGAAATTACGGATAAAAAAATGAAGCAATAAAATTTTAAACAATAAGTGATTGAAAACCTTTCCGCCATAATTTTAGCTGCCTTCTCCCAAGAAGGTTTCTGAAATGAGTAAGAGCTGAAGTTAGAACCCCAGAAGTGGCAGCCAACAAGAAGCACAGTATGGTTCAAGGTTAACTTAATTCTTTCACAACAAGAAGAAACGAGAATTCAAAATTGTAGTAGGAATTTATCATGAATAAAGTAGGATTCTACCAAGCGATTGCTCCAGTAGCACCAAGGAGCATAGAAATTGACAACCAATATCGGAAACCTGAAACCAAAAAAAAATTGACATGTTGGAAAAGGATTGTGTCAGTTGAACCACCAAGCATGAAATATATTCACAACAGTAACCTTAAATCAATGGACTACTTACTGATTTGAGAAAACATCAAAATTCCGAGCATTGAGTGTCACAGAACTCTCACCCTCATGTTCTCCAACATACTCATCATGCTTAATGAGATGCATAGTAGAGCCAGAGTGAAACTCAGCGCCAGTGGGCCTTAGATTGTGATCTATAGAGAATTTTCTGACAGTCTTTGTAATGTTTAACCTGTTCTGAATACAAGAGCTTGAAAGAATCAGGCAGGTCTCCTATGAGAAGAGATGACAATAACAAGCTAAAGTTTGTACAGCTCAGGCAAGGGCTAAGATCAAGAACAATGACATAAGACATATGGAGCCAACACATTCAACAAATTCCATTCAATTAGTTTGTAATAATTTAACAATCAGCGAACTGTCAAAAGAAAGGTTGCACAACTAAATTTGGATTTCATGTTAGACGAGATTTACAAACTTAGGGGGAAAACAAACATTCTTGATGCTTTAATCTTCAGACATGCATCTTTGACCAAAATTACCAGACACTATAGTGGTAATTGGAAATATTGGCATTTCTCCTCTCAGGAAATATAATACAACGATGTATCAATCATAAACTTACAGTTCCTAACACGTCGCTCACGTCAACTGCTGCAAATTCACATGAGAGGGCTGGAAAGCTACAGAAATTCGACAGTTGTTAGTCCAGAATTAAACAAAAGATAAAAAGAAGCTTCAGAGTACAAGTTATACAGAACTGAAACAGACAATCGAGATTCTATTTCTAAATAATCAAGCTTGCTCCTTGTTCATAGCCTACATTAAGGGGAAATGAGAGAAGAAAAAATAAATAAACAAACAACCAAGAGAAACTGAGGTTTTACTGATCTAAAAGGACGAAATCACATGTAAACAAGAGATCTTGCAATAGTCCTTTTATCTTATAATTCTGGTCTCACAGTAAAAATGACATTCAGTCCATCGGGGAACACATTATTTGCCGCTGATCTTTTAAAGCCTTGAGACATCACAGGAACAAGTTAGAAGTCTGAATACTAATTTAATTATTGATGAATGAACAATTAACAATGCAGTTGACAGCATTAAGCACAATCTCATGTCCTTAAATGCTAATGCACAGAACCTTGCACACAAAAAAAAACCACTAAGAGAAGACAGGCCTATTTTTAAATGATCCATTTACCTGATATTAAACTCAATGCGTAAAAATTCGCCATCACTACTATTGTCGACAATCACAGAAGTAGATGTGTTCACTGCTAGATAATTACTCAGCTCCTGTAAATGACCAACATGTTAGATCAACATACCAGCAAAACAAATCTACCAAAAAGAAGAAAAAAACAGTCCCATGACCGACTTCTGTGGGTGCTCACTCATTAAATGATATAGCTAATGATGATTTGCATGCTGACAACCTTAATGCCTGCTAAAGACGCAGGAGTAGCTTACCATTCCAAACAGGAAAACCATGGCCAGTGCAGCTACTATGGATAATCCGGCACCCGATAACGATGCTTCAGTCAAATCTCTAGGTATTTTCCTGTACACCAGAATCAAACATTAAAAGAAGAAGAAGAAGAAAAAGAGCATGAATAAACATGTAGATTCAAGAAATCGAATCGAGAAAGAACAGGAATATAAGCAGCAGGACAACAAGCAATTCTCCATCGCCCTCATTTAGCCAAGCAAAGTAAGTGATCAGCTACAGCTACGAATTCTCATTTTAGATACGATTCCTGATTCAAGTAAATTTTCCACATGAAAACTTCAGCAAGGAAGGATCGTCAAGTGATGCAACTTCAAAAGGCTACCGAGACTCTCTCAGCAATGAGCATTGCAGAATTCTAGCGGAGATGAGACGCGATTAGTCATGAAAACGGCTAATTTGATCAAACATTTGTTACTATACAACAGGATACCAACTCCACCCAGACATCTACTGTAAATTACAACTGCAGGCTGCGAGCCTAGCACAAGCTAAGAGACAAGAGTAGAATTGGAAATCATTCCCCCCAACGCCGCCCAGAGGCACCGATCAAGCACTGGAAAAGAAAGAGAAACGAAATGGGCGAGCGATTGTCGCCGGGTTCCAATGCTCTGGCCGCGGCCGGCGACGCCGCAATTCAGAATTCCAGATCCGTCGAGGACCGGAATGCCGCGGAGATAAAAACGAGGAACGGGAAGGAAATGAGGAGAGTGAGTGATTTAGAGGAAAACCTGTAGAAATCCATGGATTTCAGCCTGCTCGACGAAAGGCCCGGCATGGCTGGCTGGCTGGCTGGAGTGGGAAAGGGCGCTGTATCCAAAGCGTTTGAGCAGCAGATTGCAGCGATGGAGAAAGGGGGAAAGCAGGAAGGAGACTGACTAGGAAGAGAGTGAAGAGAGAATTGAGCGAGAAAACGGAATCCCAAGAAACAAGCGGAAAATGAAAATAGATCTGTTTAGCAATTAGAGGAGGACGAAAAAAGGAGAGCCGGAGGCGGAGTACGATGAGAAAAATGGAAATTCGTCCTTTTAATGGAAATGTGTTTTTAATAAATTATTTCCATAGAATACGAATTTTGCCATCCACTCTAACCCTCTTCGTATGTTTTTTTTTTTATATATTTTTGTCTTTTGGAGCTTGATGAATTGGTATCCTGCCTGTCAAACCGGTTAATGCTGCAGTGCCGATTTCGTAAATGGTATGGTTAGACCATGTTTTATTTAACGAAATATATATGTAGAAATGTGAAAAAGGCATTAACATTTCGGCTCTCGAGACCTTGATGAATTGATAGCCTACCCTCTAACTATTCTCCATGTAAAGGTAGAATAGGGAGAGTGTTGGATAGAAATGTTTTGTAGGTTGGTCCGGTATAGAGGTGAGAGATAGATTGGATTTATTAGATTGATGGATTCGTGGATCAAATTGATCATGGATTATTGAATTGTGGATCCATATGAAATCTAAGTATTGGACCGATATGTAAATTTTGAAAAGTCCGGGTTCTAAAATGTCATAATGAATATTTCAGGTACCAAAACGTAATTTTTCAATGATATTTTCCTTAAAAAATAAATTTTAGTTGTCAAATTGTAAATAAATAAAATGTAGGTACTGAATTGTAATTTATCAACAATCAATCTAATTGAATTTGAATCAAATGAATTACATTAGTTGGATATTTAAATGGATAGATTGGATTAGATACAAAATTCTCACATCTAGACTCTAGTCTATTCCTTTTTTTTCTTGTGTCTATATCGTCATAGCAGGTTTGTTCACGAACAACCTTTGTACCCTCGTGAAAATATTCATGAATTAGGCAGCTCTTATTCGAAAGGATGCAACTTCTTAAGTGTTGTAGGTTCTACTCCTCCTAATAACTTAGCCCACTCTCTATTGTTGCTATGAGGTAAGCACACGGAGATTTGACTCGTTGGTATTAATTAGGCGGTTCACTCACTCAACCTCTAGGTTGAGCCTTTTAATGTAGGGTTAATATATTTGTTTGACTCCAACTTTCACATATTAAACATCTTTGTCAATCTTTTTATCTATAATTTTGTGGCCTCAACCATGCATCAAAGTTATGAAATTGGCCAAATTCGAGATTTGACTTTTATATTGAACGGTCAACGCGCCACGTCACTGCGAAGTCACCACATACCACTTTAAAAATTTAGTTTTTCCACCTATTATCATTAAATTTATTTTGTTTTTTCCTTCTTTTGTTCAAAATAAAAAAAAAATGGTAATAGGTGGACAAAAACCAAAAGTTTAAACTTTAAAGTGGTCTGTGCTGGTTTTACAGCGACGTGGCGCGTTGACCATTAGTCAACGCGTATGACTGTCAGAGATAACGGTCCAATCTCGGATTTAGCCAATTTCGTAACTTTAATGGATAGTTGAAGCCACAAAATTATAGATCGAAAAAATTAGTCATAATTCAAAATGTTTAATATATGAAAAATTGGAGCATACAAATATATTAACGCTGTAATGTATCCAATGTTGTCTTCTATTATCTATTAGGCCCCTTCGTACCCTGGGTTTTCCGGCAAGGTAGTGTCGCACCTAATTCCTGATATTGTCCTTGAAGAATATGGCATCAACTTTATCCGTCCCCGACCCGACCCATTGCCATCCCTATTTTTCACTAACAATTACGAATTTTCTTTATTGATCAGCTGAAACGAGAAGTCGTAGTAACCAATTCTTATTAATAAAATTTACAGGTCCCAATATAGAAAAAAAAAAGTCTTTTTACTTGGCCGGGAGATCTTAACAGTTCAATCAAACATATAATTAATCTTCTTAACTAAGAAAAAAAGAGAAGGTAGAGACATAATTCGAAAAACAACCAGACGAATATTTATACACTTTATTACCCGTGAAAATAATAAAATTATTGTTTCATAGTCTCATTATTGTATTCCTCAACCAGCAAGAGACATTTTCACTTATAACTATTTTGTCTTCTTTCATGGGATGTTCCACCACCAATAGTAGTACCAGTACCACTCAGAAACCAGAGCTTTCTCATCTTCTGCAGGCACCATTCTGATATCAAACTTTAAGCTTTTCTTCTTCTCTTCTGCTTGAGATCTGATGTGGTACATTGGTCAGGTTGTGTGTGTTCATATATATAGTGGTAATCGATACGATACCGCGCGCGCGACGAATTGAAGACAAGGCCATTGAAACTGTGGTTACCAGTTCTGGTGAGCTGATGGACTATGTAACTGGTGGAAGAGGCGTTGTTGTTGTTGATAATTAATCTCATAGATTGGATTAATCCTTTAAAAAGGAAACTGAAATCGTGTTGTAATTCGGTTATGGTCACTAATGTTATGATTCTAGAAACAATGTTTCGACAGTATCATGGTTTCTGATGGCATCTCTGAACCTTGAAAATTGGTGCATCTGAGTCTTTGTTCAATGGCACCTGATACCCCAAAAACCAAGTATAGCTCCGGGGCAACCAATGGCGAGTCGCTGCATCGAGCTTTACTTCGATCGTCGACAATACTAGCTACCCCGATCTAGAACAAACACACCTTAGATCGAAGAAGAAGTAGTATAGTGGTGTTGTACCACCTACTAGTCTACAACAAAATGAAAGATGAAGTAGTACTAGTTTGACTAGCAGGTTGGATGAATTCCACCAAAAATGCATCATCATCTTCATTGTTCAACCACCTGTATAATGCGACTTGTAGTTATGAAGGTCAGGTCAGGTCAGCATTTCTATATATTTTGGCCGCCGGCAAGTTCTTCAATTCATCCACCACCACCAGACCAAAAAATGCATAACCATCGACGTTCTTCCCCGCCGCCACCGGCTCCACATCATGGACAGCCTCCTCCTCCTCCACCGCGGCCAGAATTCCATGATCATCTCGCACCACCACCGCCGCCGCCAGTACTACCGCCTCCTAATCAACCAGCTCCACATCCTCTTCCTCCTCCTCCTCCTCCTCATAGAGCTCCCGGCGGACCTCCGCCACCGCATTTGCCGTGAACCTTTCCTTTCAAGCTTCAACGTAGCATCATCAGACACCTTCGAGCTTTTGGCTGGATTATATCTACGTATATGACCACCTAGCATATAATCATATATCTGCTACGTAGTTCTTGTTACATGTAGTAGAAAATACAAGATCGACGTATATATGCTTCAATATTTTTCTTTCTTCTTATCTCATTTTACACAATATTACTCTCCCTATACCGATATCTCCGAAACTAGCTTGTATCGTGCATGATCCTTCATCAATTCGATCGTTGTGATTGTTCCACATGTGAGGTTAACAACATCCAATACCAGAATGAATCGATCTTTATACGCGTCCCCCTCTCACTATGCCTCTCGTCATGTTTAATCTCGGAGAGCAGTAGATGAAACTATCGGTGTCAACACTTTCGCTACACGGGAAAACCCAGATCACATCGACTCGCAATCTGAAACTAACAAGTTTCGAACAACAGAGACGCCATCGAAAATGCTTCTCTTTCTTCAACAAGCTGAGGCAGCAGAATCATCATGTTCTTGGGAAGATATCTGAAAAAGAGAAGTCGTGGAAGGGGGAACCTGCAAGTAAAAAGTTCATCCATCACAAACGGTTGCTTTGTTGAGCCACATATTATACCAGGACTAAATCAGAAGTAAGCAAGATAACACTGATCAATGAACTCCAGGTGACAATCCAGAGGTTGGTAGTGGTTAGGAATGTGCACCTTCCTGTTCTCCGAGAAGGTAGAAGGGGATATGTGCAATCATCTTGGTACCGCCATCACTCCAATTCACAGTTCCAGGTTTTTGCACGCGCCCCTGGGAAGGCCCCAAGACGGACAAGGATATCGTAGGATCATCGATCAAACCCAGGTAATCCCGTGCACGCCTCCAAACCCTCACATCTGAGATGCGAGATCTAGCGACCTGCAAGCATATGTTGCTTCGGATTACGATAATTATTTGGATGATAAGCTGTCAAATGCTGGAAATTCAGCTGGAACATGCCTTGCCTAAGGACACACGGGCTCTTGGTAACAACTCATGGTGATGTGTGGCCAGCTTTGCGATAGCTGTTATAACGAAACACAGAAGCCTGGACTGTGATGACTTTCTGAAGTTTTCGCTGTCTGATCCAAGTGCGGATTCCCTTAAGCCAAGCCGGCTTTTGAGTGCAGCAACTAATTGAGTCAGCAATGGCCATATATATATATAAAAAAAAAAGTAAGAGATAACATAGAATCTTCAATGGAACGCACCTAGATGACAAGTTTTCATAGAGAAGTAGCTCTAGATTCTCAAAAAGCTCGCGTGCAGCATCTCTGTGAGATGCACCACCACCACCATGTTCACCAATTGCCCAACACAATTGTAATGCTAGTTCTGTCTGTAAAAGCAAACAAAATTGCTGTAGGTGAAAAGTGAAGGCAGAAGAGGGGAAAAAGGTTGCAACTTTAAACTGTGTGATAGGCAATATTAGCCAATGACTTCATAATGATCACTACATTCTCACCTTTGCAGAACTGTCATAGGCTTGTCCAAGCCTGTCCATAATAGGTTTCTGCAAGAAGATCAGGAGAAACAATGCTGAAGCCAGTATACAAAGCATTTCTCAATTGATTCCAGATCCATGAACTTCCAAATAGGATAAACATCCTGCATGAATCATTGCATTGCACCACATTTTGTTGCACAAACCCCAAAATGATCCATAGTCAACAAAAAATACTAGCTAAACCAAGAGCTATGTTCCATTAACTTATTCTTACATCGGAAATGCAATTGGAGCCCACAGGTGTTCGAAGAAGTGGAAGCAAAATACCTTCAGAAGAGCAATAAAATTTGGAGAACGCTGAAACGATGCGAGCATAAACTCTAAAAGCCTTTTACGAACCTGTCAGAAATGGAAACATAGACAATAAGAAGTCATTCTTGATGTATATGAAACACACTATGCAAATCTTGCCTGATAACTACATGACCAAGCATGAAAAGATAAAAACACCATCGAAAAGTGAAGAACCAGCCACTTAGTATTTACACAGTTAGAAGGCATGATCTGTAATACTGCCAAATTGTTGAGAAGGCAGAATAAGCAAACCACACCCTGATCAAATAATAACTAGGAGAAGGAATAAGCAGCCCCACGCTGGTTGGAGGCTCGTCTTAAGTACAATTATACCTGGTATGAGTAATTTTTGTCAGGAAATAGTACATCATTTCTCGCCATAAGCAACGGGATAAGTGAACAGATCAAAGCTGCAAAGGTGGTGAAAATTTACATAAAACTGAGAACTGATAGTTTATATATCACATAAAAACTTCTCACAAAAAAAAAAAAAAAAAACAGCTCAAAGTAAAAAATGGACACGGTAAGCATACATACAGTCATTGACATCACGTATTGCTATAGCACAGTAAACATCAAGAAGGCCAGGTGCTATTTTGAGCGATTGTTTCAGCCTATCCGATTGAGGAGCATTAACTGCAGCCTGCAACGCTGCAGCCATACTGGGATATGTTCTATGCCGCTCCTGCAATATAAATTTAGGTTTTGTTGAACAGCATGAAGAAACTTTACAGTTTTTGTTAAATATTGGCTACACTGGTTCTGAAGGCATAAATTTCAACTTCTCAACTAATAGATTTAAAATGTCTTCAATTGAAGAATAGACGTTAAAAATCTGAAAAGCAAGGAAATTAACCAAGCATTTTCAAAATATACGAAGAGGCAGAGATATAGCCTAAACAACATGTGCTTCACTGATTAAAGCAGATAATATGATGCAATTCAGGAATGAACATCTGAAAAGCGATCAGAAGCACGTGATTTCCAGCAGTCCTCAAAATGGAAGACATATTCACCTACTCTGCTGCTTACACATTCTAGAAATTTCTAAATTCGATAAGACTGAGAATAAAAGTGATCATACAGCTAATCCGTCATTCTCATCCTTCAGAAGTTCTAGAAACAAAGGATCAGCAGCATCAATCGCATTGGTATCCTCTGATTCACTGTCAGCCCCGCCATCTCCTATAGTTGAACCAGTATAAGCTTCATCCATCAGAGCTAGTAACATCTACACCAAGAAAAAATTAAGCTGATAGTAGTACAACGAAGTCTTGGCAAAGCAAGAAAATAAAAAGATGTTCAAAAAATAACCTCAGGAGCCGTGCTGTTCTGGATTGAGGCAATACTGCTCCCAATAAGGGAACCTGAACTTCGCTCAACCCTTTCCATTGCCACTACCAACACTGGTACAGAGAAAGGCAGACATGATTGTAATTGAGTCAAGGTGAAGAGGGAATGAACAGAGACAAACCACTGTTTAGAGCACAATCGAAACCTACGAACCCCTTTTTCTAGAAAAGAGCTATGCATGCAGATGACAGTTTGACAAATGTTCCTTCTAGTGATCATCACAATATTTCAGAGTGACATTGTCTCCATCTATTACATGTCACAATGGATAATTCGACACATACAATCTGGAACCCAGAAAACCTTTATTCAACCGGAATAATACCATAAAACCTTCAGCAAAATGGCTGAATCCCATTAAAAAGAAAAACCGTAAAATTTAGAAGATCATGAAACAGCGACAGACTGGCAACAAAGCATTTACAGCAATTGAATCTGTCACCGTGGAGAAAATTGTTAAAGTGGCAACAGCAGGACAATGAACTTACTTGGAAGATCCACTAAGGAAGGAAATAGAGGAAGAAATGAAGCAGGCGATATCAATTCCGGAAAGACCTTTAAGAATGATTTCAGTAACCTGGAAAAAAGAGCTAACAGCAGTTAGCCAGACACTCTGAATAACTTGATCAATCAACTTAACTCCCAAGTAAAAGCACATGTAAAAATTAAGTTCAGCAGACTCTATCTCTACAAGACAGAGGCCACCCCCAAAACATTTAAAAGGACTAACAAACCTTAAGGATCAACTATATAGCTCATGGTGACATCAGAATGCACATATATCAACAAAGGATCTAACTTTACAACTAAGTTGAGAAAATGATTTGCTATGACTATAACAAGCAATCCTGAGCACTAGCATATCCGCCCAGATGTATGGCAAGTGATAACAGATTAAGAAAAGGTTACCAGCTTAAGAAGAAATGCAACAAAAAGGAAAAAGGACTTACTTTTCTCCATTCCAGGCTATCAGCTTAAGTAACAGTGGAAAAAACTGCAACCAAATTCATATCCCATTCAACATTAACTATTTTGGACACAAAGAATCCATGAATAGCTGGATAAGCCACAATATACCATGGGCAAACTAGTCTTTCACAGCATACTCTAGAATCAGAAATTAGATCCAGCTTATCTCTAAAGTACAACCCCCTGATCTTCAGAGGAAAGTTAGCGAATTGGCCCTCAATAAAATGTTTTCTCTCCGTTTGTACCCTGTTTCAGTGGTAAAGCTCAAAAATTGCAGATTTTTGGTGACCTCAGACTTTGGAACCCTTTGATGTTATTCCATCTCTCAGGATTTGCTCAGCGAAAAATGCTAGTTGTGGAGTTAAAGAAGGACCACATCTAAGTGGTGAAAGTATGCGTTATCTCAGGAAGTGATACATGGAACCAGGAAGTGGAAACACAATTCACAATTGGTTTCTTTTTCAACATATTATTTTCCTCTCAAGTTCCTGTTGAACCTTCATGCTAAAAATAAAGCTATCATGCAATTATTGGAATATACTGAACACAGTGTTTTGCCATGTATAATTCATACTTGAGGTAGTAAGGCAGGATAAGAAGCCAGAAGCTTTCTCTTGTTGACATTCAGAAAATTAAGGGTTGCCTCTGCCACAGTCAGATCTGCAAATTCACTGCAATTAACATTAGAATAAGGACGGCTCGTGGTCGAAACCAAATTTATCAAACATAGCATATCCATCACTCAGGATAATAAAAAAAACACAAGATTCTGAGCTCCACCAATCTTGGTCAGCGACAAAAAGGAAAACAAGGCATTTTGTGGATCTAACAAAGACGATCACCATGATCAGGAGGAGAATGAAGACTCAGCGAATGCAACCAATCTAGAGGCTGCTGCCTACACAAATCATTTTCAACAATCTTTTCATTCTCTCTTTTTGGTGGTTCGAACTAATCAAGTCCTGATACACACACTAGTTAACTACATATTTCATTGAATATTACTTGTTCTTTTAGTTTATAAGTTGATGCCAAGGACCTGTAACCTTACCGACTCAAACACGAGCGAAAAAATGATCTTAGACTGGGATCAGCATCATGAAGAACAATCTCTCCAAAGTCGAGGAAAAACTGGATAATTGCCTGAATCAAAGAAGAAAAATCAACATCAGCCCATTCCAGTTTAGATTTTAATTTTAATCTCTGAGAACGAAGGTAAGAACGAAGAAAATCCAAATCAAAGCAAGCAGAGATCCACTAAAAGCCATAGCAGTTCAGAGTACAGGAAACCATAATGCAGTATGAAGTGTTGGACGTCTTCAAATTCTTCTCTGAAAACCATAATTACAAAATACCAATTACCCGCTAATCCATTGTCAGCAAAATCCGGCTCGTAGATAAACTGACCAGCAAGAGAAGTCCATAAGAGGAGCGAGATTGAGGGAGAGACGCCACGGAGCGCTGAAAGAGCTTGTTAAAGTGCGGATAAACCCTAGCAACCAAATCCTCCGAATTCTCTTCTTTACACAACTGGCAAAGCTTCCTCACCTGCAGGAGGCAAGCAAGCATCAGAAATCACTTGTTCTCTCTTATTTAACTCAAGACCGACGAAGAAGCGACAAGGGAGAAGATGATTACGGCATTGAAGAGAGCCGGATCGGATGCGGGGTCGCCTGCCAAATTGGAGTCTCTCGCACTGCTGGATAATGTCCGAAGATAAAAATCCCATTTCTTGTCCGGATCTCCCATTTTATCTCCTCAGCCGATCGCAAATGGAATTCAGTCCGACCTCTCGCCGGCGGATTCTTGACAAATTACAGAGCTCTGGAGTGGAGAGGCTCGCCGGGAAGAGAGGCCAGGCCGGCGGTGGATATTTTGGTTGCTGAAAGACGATTGCCAAACGACGGCGTTTTGCTGAACTGACAGATACTCGTTTAAACGATGTCGTTCGATGAATCTCACTGTCCAATCAGATCAAGCCCATAGTGTTGTGGATCACGGGTCGATTGGGCTTAAAATACGCCACTGGACTTGTAGATGGGCCGCCCATTAAACCCAAAAAAAATCCCCTAACCGCCGATGATACACCCGCGAAATTTGGTCGGCGATGATCCGTTTGCGTCACTCCAGTTCTTCAGACAGAACAACAAGCGCCGCACCGCAGGGATGGGAGGAGGAAACGAGAGCAGAAGAAGCCAAAGTAAGGAACAATTTGATGCGGGCGGGCGTCATTTCCCCGGCCGGCCCGCCGATCGATTAGCCCTAAGAAGAAGAATCACAAAGCTTGCTCCTTTTCCAAGGATTGTGATTTTAATGGCGAAAGGGAGAGCGGGATAGCCGCTGCTGCTGACGCTCGCCCGAATTAACTTTTTTCCATACCCTGTACTTGTCGTGGCCTTTTGAAATTATGCCGAAAAAACCCAACACTGAAGTTGCTCCGATGGTTGTTGTTGCCAGCGGCGGGTTCAACTTATCCATCTACTACTTCAGTGGGGCCCTTGCACGGCAAAGTGAAGCTTTCTTTCTCTGTCTCACCTACTTCCACCATTAACTCCCCACTCCCCTTTTTGCTACTACTGCTTCTTATAATCACATCTCAGCTTCACTGGTTTTCTCACTCGGGCGGTTTCCTGGTTTTCTACTAGTCCCAGAGAAGGAGCGCAGACTTGATTCGGCAAGAAGAAGTAGACCAGGAAGAAGAAGGGGAGACGTCTGCATTTCTCCTCCCCTCTGCCGAGGTTTGCTAAAAATTGCTGCTTTTTTTATTTGCATGGACAATTGCTTGCTCTGGGTTTTCCTGGCCTTTATAGAACAGTGCTTGAGGAGTCTCCTTTGATCTTGTTTGGGAAGTTGTGTCCTTTACTGAATATGTATGCTTTGTTGTCTCTAAAGAATGTTTGTTCATGTTGCATGTTATTCTGTTCTTAGTCTGTACAGCTTTTAAAGTCACCTATCCCCACCAACAGACCAGTTAAGTGGAAATTTGGTTGCAGCCGCTTTCAGCTGTTAGAATTTTGGAGTGATTTGCTCTTCCTTTTCCTTACTTACCATTCAGTTTCCGGGGTATCCTCTGATGAACCCTTTGCGACTTTAATGAGGGTAGAGTAATTTGCTGGCATGATTCTGCTAAGAAGTAGTGCATGTGTGTCCATCAGTATGAGTTAAATCTCTCTGGTCTGGCTTATGGTTCTGATATGCTTTGCGATCTCAGTCTTATGGTCATGGAGTGTTTTATATAATATTATTTTATATCTATTGTGCTAGATTTTGATTCTGGGCTCTGCTTTGTTGTTGGTAACTCACTGAGAGAATTATGTAGTTCAATTGAAATATTCCCTTTGCCCTGAACTTCTCTACGTCCTGTTTGTAGATGGTGGATCAGCATGGAGGTTACAACGTGGATGAAGCTCTCCTCTCCGTGGGGTTTGGAAAGTTCCAAATCTTTGTCTGCCTTTATGCGGGTTTGGGTTGGATTTCAGAAGCGATGGAAGTGATGATTCTCTCATTTATTGGTCCATCGGTGAAGTCTCAGTGGGATCTAAGCGCCAATCAAGAGACCTTACTATCCGTAGTGGTATTTTCCGGCATGTTACTCGGTGCATACATGTGGGGTGTGATTTCAGACAAATTGGGAAGAAGGTAAGTGCTTTGTGATTCTTTCCTTTTGGCAGGAGTTATATATTATTAAGGAAACAAAGGGCTACAGTTCTTAGTTAGTGCCAACATGAAGTGGTAATTGCATCTTTGTTCCTATCAAGTGTCTTACGTTGTTTGATAGTGATCAAGTGTCTTATCAATTATTATATATATATGTATCATGTTCACAAATTACGTGATGCGACTTTGGTGCCCCTTTCCTATTTCATTTCGGCGCCTTACTGGATAATGCTTTTGTTCTTTACTGCTTTCCAATATCTGTTCAGGAATGGATTTGTGGTCACAGCATTCGTTACGTCTCTAGCTGGTCTACTTAGTGCCTTTGCCTGGAACTATGTTGTGTTGCTCATTGCTCGTTGTTTGGTTGGTGTTGGCCTTGGGGGAGGGCCTGTACTCTTCGCCTGGTTCTTGGAGTTCGTCCCTGCAACAAATAGAGGCATGTGGATGATTATTTTTTATTCATTTTGGACGGTTGGAACTATTTTCGAAGTCGGTTTAGCATGGGTAGGTTCACGAAACCTCATAGCTCCGTACTTTTAGTTTATCATTGCAAATTCAGTTTTTGTACTTAGTTCTCTTTTAACGGCTGCTAACACCGTATATGGTAATATACAGATCATTATGCCAAGATTGGGTTGGAGGTGGCTGGTTGGTCTTTCTGCTCTCCCTTCATTTGGTCTCCTTGTATTTTATCCTCTCACACCTGAGTCCCCGAGGTACCTCTGCCTAAAAGGTAGAAAAGACGATGCCCTTAAGATTATGGAAAACATAGCAAAATTGAATAAGAAGGAACTGCCTCCTGGCGTCCTTCTTACCGATCGTGAAATTGAGCTACAAAGACAAGTCTCGAAGCCAGAGGCATCTGCCACTGATTCGCCTTCTTCTGCCCCTAGATGGAAAGATTCTGACTTGGGTGTCATCGAGACTCTACGGGTGTTGCTTTCTCCAAGATTAATTCGCTCAACCATACTCTTGTGGTTCATATTCTTTGGGAATGCATTTTCATACTATGGTCTTGTTTTGCTCACTACTGAATTAAACCGTAAATCTCATTGCAATTCGAACGGAACACAATCCAACGACAAGTCAGATGCTGGTGTTGACTATAAAAATGTTTTCATTACTACTTTAGCAGGTTTGCATATTACTAACTACACCCCTTCTCTATTGTTTTGCATCAACTTATCTTTTCAAGAAAACAGTGCTGACTGGTGAGTGTGCTACTGTTTTTCATTGCCAGAATGCCCAGGCCTCTTAATATCAGCTCTCCTTGTCGATAGGATTGGTCGCAAAATTTCAATGGCAGCTCTGTTCTTCATTTGTATCGTGTTCGTTCTGCCACTGGTCGTCCATCGATCTCCACTAGTGACCACCATTCTCCTATTTGGGGCAAGAATCTGCATCACGGGAACTTTTTCAGTTGCCTCTCTAATGGCTCCGGAGGTAAATGTTTACTTGTGTTCCTTATGAAAATGGCTTATTGTGGCAGGATTTATTTTTACGGGCCAATAACTGAAGAACGCCCATGAATTTTATCAAATGTACAATATTATCAAACGCATAAAATGAATCTGTAGTTCCACCAACTGCTCTACTTGAGCGGCCATCTGTCAGGATTATTGAGATGTCCTTTGTTGATCTCTTCATATGACTTTTCCATTCTGACATTTGCCATTACTAGTTGCTCGGCCCTGAGTCTTTAGTGGGTCATATGCTATATCTGAACTTGGCATGTGCTCGTTGAAGCTGCGGAACTCAGACACTATATCTTATTCTTGCACAGACTATATGTTTTTCAGCTTGGAAGGGCATCTTGCCTTCTAGGTTAATTTACTTACCATGCTTAATTCAGTTTGCTGGATAGCAATTGAATGTTCTCTTGTTTTCCTTCCACAACTGCATTTTAATAAAACATGAACTAGCTGGATTCACCTGAAGGTTTCAGGTTCCAGTCCTCTGGTCTCTTGTGATCTTTCCTCCCAGGCATTTTTCTGCCTCCCCCTTTTATCATAAAAAAGAAGACAAAAACATGAACTGAGTAAAGAAACAAACACTTTTTCTGCAGTAAAATTATGGTATTGCTTCTAATATAGGGTGAGGAGGGTATGTCCATTTGCGGCAATCTTTATTTACGCTGCTTTATTTTTGTTGTTGATGAAGCTGTACCCTACGTCAGTCAGATCAACCGGTTATGGAATTGCAAACTGCGTGGGCAGAATTGGTGGGATGGTATGTCCATTTGCGGCAGTGAAGTTGATGGAATCATGTCATCAACGTGAAGCGCTTCTGCTGTTTGTTGGCGTGATTGTTGTGGGGCTGTTTTCAGTACTGTTGATTCCTTATGATACCAAGGGCCGGGAATTGACAGAGAGCATATCGAGCACAAAACATGACAAGCATCGCCAAGCAGTCTGAAACTAGGTACGTATATGACTCTACCATTCCTCTCTGGTGCTTGTTGATTGGTTTCTTCAGGACTGGCTTTTTTTAAGTCTGACCAGATGCCATGTTGGATTCTTGTTGGACCTTAAGGCTTGATTCCAGTAACTCTTGTTTTGCTGATTCTTTCAGTTGAGAGGTTGAATGGTGAAGACGGCGGCGTGGCAATGGCCGGCGACACAATGTACATTGCCTTTCAGTGTCCTGTATAAGTGTTTGTGTGGTATATAAGTGTGTGTGTGTGTGTTGTGTGGAGTTAGTTTCAAGATGGGTGGGGACTAGTTGTGGCTTGTGGGTTTCATTTTCAAATGATGTATGTATGGACTGCAAGGTTATTAGTTCTTATTAACTTCTTACTGAAGCTTTTTTGGGGGCTACCATCATCAGATAAACCTTGTGTCACACGGCTGCGTTAGTGCGAGAGATGTATCATAGTTGCAAGTTGTGATGATGGAGGGGTGCTACTTTAGTTTATCTTTTCGGAGTGATGGCAATCCGGTTATAATGCTCACAACACAATCGGTAAGAACATGCTTATAGAGGTTGTGAGTAGTTGGTGGGGGCCGATAAATTTGGACCGAGGCAATGTAAATTTTAGAAATGAAAATGTAATCCCGTTCATCCAATGGGCGTAGAGCGTCCTGATTCGACGGCTCCTAGTCCTATGAACACGTTCTTGTAGAAGGGTTGCGGGCACCATAGTCGGATGAATATTGAGTTGTTTACCAATAACGTTCGAAGTTGCTCTTCACTCGCTAGGATTCCCACTTCAGCTTGAACGTGGAGAAGAATTTGATCCTTTTCCCCGTTACTAGTGAACTCCATATTAACTTGCCAATGCGAGCATATTCAGTTTGTCCTGAGTTTCTGGATAACTTGAACAAAACGATAAAAATAAAATGGTGCAAACTACCTCCTGACCTGATATGTGCAATAGTTGACACAATTTTTTTTAGTTTGCATAATTTTTGAGGAGGTAAAGATTTCATTTGAGGAATTTTTTTCATAAATTATGCTAAAAATTGAAAAAATATATTAGAAGTGTGCTCAAAACTCAATACCGTCATAATAAAAATAAAAATGCCTTCTTTTAAAAATTGCAATTTAAAGTTTAGCAAAATCAAAAAAAGACCCGTATGAGGCAACAAATGAACTTATATAGAGACAAAGTGGACTAAATAGCCTTCAGTTTTTTTGTCTGCGTAGATCTCAAAAACTTATGCGAAAGAAAATTGCTTCGATCATATATCGAGCGCAAAATTATGGTTGTTTAAGTTCTAATATATCATAACAAAGCATTTTTTTTGTATTTTAGCAACTTTGAGTAGGCTTGTAGAGTTTTTCAAACTTTTGACATACATTCTGAAAATTATTCTCTAATAAAGTTATAGTTTTTGAAAAACTATGCGAAATTAAAAGAAAGTGTGTATCAATCGGATAACCAAGTGTAAAATTACGGTTGTCTGAAGTTTATTAGTAGCATATCACGACAGAATTGAGCAATCCACCTGCATATCGCTCTATGTCTATAGAGACATGCTTCCTAAATCGTTGAACAATGCATCAAATCACACCAAACTTTTATATTTTGAAAATTTTCTATATACGTATGGGATTGTGATAAATTTTTTTAACAGACATATATTTTGGGAAAAATCCACATAGGGGACATCTAAGAATCCATTGTCAATGAAATTGGGTTGGAGAATTAAAATTTGAAAGTGACGTTTCTTTTAGTTTGCCAAACGTAATATTGTCAGTTTAAGGCTTTTTTTTCTTACAATGCTACCTTGTGAAACCAACACGGTAAATTACTGCAATTAACCTTTGATAAAGATGATTATTCGCATAATTAGTGGGTCTTAAATTTCAATGCGAATATATCATGGAAAAGTTGAATTGAAAAGTGAAAACGTTTTCCTCTCTCTCCTTTCCTTCTTTTAATAGGTTCCAAACCAACCAACCCAATTTCTCAGCTGCCTTTTCCTCAAGCTTCTCCCCTCTTAAAACCCACCAAACACAGGCTCATTTATTTTCATCGGCAATTGTTCTCCATTTCTGTTGATTTGGTCCTGTATGCCAGTATAAGATCTACAAAAGCTTCCCATCTTTTTCATCTGGTTATCGTTTGGTAACTGATCGGGCGTAGCTTTTTCTCCTCTGATCTGGTCTTCGGAGAGAGCAGAGCTACTTTACTTTCCTTTTTTCCTTCTTGTGCGGCTTTTGGATCCAATTCAGAGCCAGATTTGGGAGGTAGTCGATCATTTCCAATCACTATGATCTGCTCTCTCAAACACTCTGCTCTATCTCCCACGATCAATGGATCTGATCCGGTTGTCCGCCGGAATACGCAGTTGGCGGCGGGGAAAGCCTTCTTCTTGTCACCCCTTGGTGCGCCCAAGGGTTTGAAAGGCTCTCTTTTGGTGTCCACGAAGCCTTTGCATCTCACCTCAATTGAGGCTTTTTCATCACCCAAGGAGAGGAATGCGCCGCCGCCGCGGTCAATCGTGTGCAAGGCTTATGAAGCGGAGCCGGTTGACGCTGGGGAAGCGAAACCGGAGGCTGCGAGGAAGGCGAAGATCGGAGTTTATTTTGCGACCTGGTGGGCTTTGAATGTCGTTTTCAATATCTACAACAAGAAAGTGTTGAATGCGTTTCCCTACCCGTGGCTGACGTCCACGCTGTCGCTTGCTTGTGGGTCTCTTATGATGTTGATTTCCTGGGCTACGAGGATTACACCGGCTCCCAAGACTGATTTCGAATTCTGGAAGACTCTGCTCCCTGTAAGTTTCACTTTGTGGGCTTTTGTTTGATTTGAGTTTTGATTTGAATGTGGGCAAATTGGATTGGAAAGTGATGTTTTTGTTTCCATCTCGGTGATTTATTTTTGTTTTCCTCTTCACATATTCGTTGAATTTGTTCCTTTCCAGCCATTTCATTTCTGGTAATTTTGACTAGCTACCCATTTTGTATTTGTCCCTTTGCAACATCAATTTTGGATTTTTACTCCTCCACGAACCTTATGGAGTCGATTATGGTCATTACGGTGTCTCAAATTATTTGTTCCTTCACAGGTTGCAGTGGCACATACAATTGGGCACGTTGCTGCAACAGTGAGTATGTCTAAGGTTGCCGTTTCATTCACTCACATCATCAAGAGTGGTGAGCCAGCATTCAGTGTCTTGGTCTCTAGATTCATCCTGGGGGAGTCTTTCCCTGCCGGAGTTTACTTGTCCCTCCTCCCAATTATTGGTGGTTGTGCTCTTGCTGCTGTCACCGAGCTCAACTTTAACATGACAGGTAATTTTTGATTCATTGTGTGCTTTTCATTTTGATACATCTATACAACCAAGCTCGACTTCAAAATGTGAATCTTCTGAAATGAGTTCTCTCATTTGACAAATGAATAGTAGTTCTGAACTCTGTTTACCATAATCCAAGCGTAAATGCAGTTTAATTATGATTGTTTACTTCTGTAGTTTTGCTTTCTGGCCTTCTGACAAGCCATGTGACATTGATTTGGTCTTAGTCTTCTACTCCTCGGATATATCTCTTGCTAGAGGAGATTATATGTTGCATAGGTTGGAGTTTTGTGGGTTCTCTTCTGACTTGCTTATTGTTTGTGGGGTTTTTGTTGTCCATTTCAGGTTTTATGGGGGCCATGATCTCCAACTTGGCGTTTGTATTTAGGAACATATTTTCGAAGAAGGGTATGAAGGGAAAGTCGGTCAGTGGAATGAACTACTACGCTTGTCTCTCTATGTTGTCCTTGTTGATCCTCACACCTTTCGCCATTGCTGTTGAGGGGCCACAGATGTGGGCTGCTGGGTGGCAAAACGCCCTTTCTCAGATTGGACCCAACTTCGTCTGGTAATTTTCTTGTCAATATGGAAACACCACTGGGGTTGATTCTTTGTTTTGATATTTACCAATTATCTACCTTTATCTCTAGTCCATTCAGTACATTTCTGTAATTGATTAAATGACAGAGAAGTTGTTCATAACGTTGTAGGCGATGACTCCCACTTGTCTGACAGCTGCCTAGGATTTCTTGTATTACAAATTTGTCATTTATGGTGTTACATTCTATGCCATATGATTGGTCATGTTTGCGGTGAAACCCATGAATGGTGTGTAGTATGCCACCTCGTCTGTTCTCAATAATTTCCATTATATGGCTGTTAACAAGTAGTCTACATATGGTTCTGTAGCTGAACACACAAACAAAACTGGATTGAAAACTGGTAATGATAAACAACCCATAGATTATTATTAAAAATTACTACGGATAAGGTTGTAAGAGAGTTCAGCGGGTGATGTTGTCTTTGTCTTTCAACGCATGCTCCAGACATTGCTGGTTGACACATGATTTCTCAAATTTCTTTCTCCCCTGCTTGGGTTCTTCGATTTGGTATCTGGATGTGTTGAATGTTGTTTTCCCTTCCGCTTTGTAGGTGGGTAGCCGCACAAAGTGTGTTCTATCATCTTTACAACCAGGTTTCGTACATGTCGTTGGATGAGATCTCTCCCTTGACGTTTAGCATTGGGAACACCATGAAACGGATATCCGTCATCGTTTCCTCGATCATCATCTTCCGCACACCTGTCCAGCCCGTCAATGCTTTGGGAGCTGCCATCGCCGTCCTTGGAACCTTCTTGTATTCCCAGGTAGCCCCCCCCCCCCCCCCCCCCCCCCCCCCCCTCCCTCCCTCACCTCTCTTCTCAAATAGTTCCTAAATATTTCTAGTTGTTCCAATCGAAATTAACATATTGAACCTGTACGATTGAGAATAAATATGTGCCGTAATCTTCATTCTCATTTTGTTTGCTCTTGTTATGAGGAAGATTGGGTAGTGTTGGAAGTTGGAACATAAACATTGAGCTAGGTTCTGAATAGCAGGGTAAAAAACAATTTGCCAGAGACCTAAGGCCTCAAACCTCCACGTACTCTGTTGGTGTTTATAGAAATTAATTATGATTACTTAATTTGAATTGTATCGAGTTGGCTTGTCATGGATTAAACAATCCCAAGTGTGGCCCCTCGCATTGTGCATTACCTCCTAATGGAAAACATTTTAAAAATGGTTTCTTCAAGTGTATGTATTTTTAAAATTTCCATTATCTACAATTCCATACCAAACAAAGTCTAGTCTAAATGTTAGGTGAGATCTAAGATCCTTAAGCAAATTGCTGGAGGTAGGATTTTTAGGAGTGGGTTATCAGCGTCATGTGATGTGAGGAACCATGTTATTTACTTGCCTTATTAATCTTGTGCTGAAGGTGGGATGTTTCTTTCTTGGCTTGTTATTATCATTATTATTCAAATTCTCATATTAGCTCTCAACTCACCCAACTGAAGGGTTGGTGTGATGATGAGATAGGCGACTTTTAGTGTGCTTCAGGGGTCAAAATCACAGGTAAAGCAATAGATTGATGCTCAACTAACTTTGTTCTAAGAATATGCTATCTTATTCTCTTTCCCTTAATCTGAAGTCAAAAGATTGACTTGGTATAAGCAAAAATCTAAAGCATCATGTGGGAATATGCTCTTTGTTTGCTAAAACAACCTATTTTAAAGCTATGATGGTTGGGCTTATGGGAAGTTTGGTTTTGTTTGTGGATGCAGGCTAAGCAATGATCTAGAAGTGGGGAAAAATAAGAAAGGAAGAGGTGTCTAAAAGCAATTCTTGTTGGTTTTGTTAGGGTTTGGTTAAGCAAAGGTGGAATGTGGATGATGATATAAATGAAAAAAAATGGTTTAGTGTCAAAGAGGATGGTCTGTGAAATGCAGACAACAGAGACGATGAGTACTGGTTCTTTTTGTTTTTGCTATACATTTGTTGTTTTGTAGATAATAAGGTGAAATAGTTAAGAGTGGGAGAAAAGAAAAGACGTAGGAATGATGATAATAATGTTGTGCCTCATTAACAATAGCAGCAACAAGAAGCTGCCTGCGGGAGGGCGAGTAATCTTCTTCAAATTTTTTCCATAGCTTGTTTTGCTGAACGGAGTTTGAGTTGCTTTGTGTTCTAATTTAACTTCTTCAATTTTTTTCCATAGCTTGCTTTGCTAAACGGAGTTTGAGTTGCTTTGTGTTCTAATTTTACATTTTTTGACGGAATAAAACCGGGAGAGCCACGAAATCCCGAAGTCCGCATTGCGTTTCAACTACTGCTTGCTTTAATCAACACAAATATATCGAACGGTTCACTTTTTACGTAACATAAATATAGAAATATCAAAACTTTCAATATTAGTCGTTTCATATTATTTAGTCCACTTACAATTGCCTTTGCAATTTGTTTTTGTTCGCGCAAGATGATGTTTAAAACTAAATATGTAAGCAACGAACATTTTGGAGTAAAAATTGCATTAGAACTTCTTTTCCAGCCTACATAAGTGGCATACAACAAACCCTGAACACTCCTACCCCTGTTTACTTATTAGTTGTAAACTTTTATGTTGGAAGTGGAAGTAGTAGCACCACTAAACATAATTACTATACCTAAATATATAATTAATAAAGTCCAATGCGATCTTAAAAACAAAATCCAATTGGGTGACCAAAACTCAAATTGTTTTTTTTTTTTTTTTAAAGAACCAAACCTCATATTGAAAACCATAAAAGAAGGTTGTGATCAATGTAAGAAAGTTTTATTATTCTTGTTCAAAATTACAATTAATCTGAAGAGTAGAATGACCATGAAAATCTATTGCCCATTTTGTTATAAGAGAAGAGTTCATTAAACCTAGAAACTAAGCGTTGGATGACTCTTTCGAGTGGAAACGACCAAGTACAAGTTCATATAATTCAAACTAAACGCTAAAATTGAACAAAACACAGTGATTTTACTGAATTTAAGATTTTAAAACCAAATTTCATGGGGTTTTAAGGTTCATAAATGTAAGAGATAAATCAGAATTGGAACTTACATATCTAATCGTAAAATCGTCTTCATCACCTCTCTTCTAGCTCTCCTTCACCTCTCTCCCAGCCCACAAAACTTGTATTCAAAATGATTACACACAATATTTTCTTTTGAATCTCATCTAAAAAGACAGGAAAGAAATCACTGAAATTTTAGAATACTCATCTAATAAGCGTTGAGTTATCATTAGTAAGGGTTTAGGGAATGATTATCCAAACGTTCGAAGAAAAAATAACAAATACCTCACAATTGCCTATAATTAGAAATTCATAAGTCAAAAACATATCATCGACCTCTCATTTCTAAACTTTGATCAACAACATATGATAAAGTATAAATACATAGTGAAGGAAGAAGCAGGGATGAATTGGATATAGAGAAGAAGCACAATAGAAGGAAGAAGTTGCTCTAAAATGTGTCTTCTCTAACTCTTACCTAGCGGCCAATAACGCTCGAGAACGGAACAAGGAAATTGATTTTTTGTTTGGTTTTGAGTTTTGATGGGAAAGAGAGTAAAAAGTGATGTTTTTCTTTCCATCAGATTGATCATTTTTGTTTCCTTTGCACATATTTGTTGATTTGTTCCTTTCCTAAGTTTTGATTTTTTAGAATTTTGAGATCTGTAGCTACCCCTTGTGTATTTGTCCCACTGCAACATCAAGTTTGGATTTTTCCACCCCACGAAGCTTATGGAGTCAATTAAGGTGTTTAGTGTCTCTAATTATTTGTTCCCTTCACAGGATGCAGTAGCACATACAATTGGGCATGTCGCTGCAACAGTGAGCTATGTCTAAGGTTGCAGTTTCATTCACTCACATTATCAAGAGTGACGAGCCAGCATTCAGTGTCTTGGTCTCTAGATTTATCTTGGGAGAGTCTTTCCCTGCCGGAGTCTGCTTGTCCCTCCTGCCAATTATTGGTGATTGTGCTCTTGTTGTTGTCACTGAGCTCAACTTTAACATGACTAGTAATTTTTGATTCATTGCGTGCCTTTTCATTTTGATCCATCTAGATAACCCAGCTCGAATTCAACCTTTGCATCTTCTGAAATGAATTCTCATTTAATCCAAGCACAAATGCAATTTAATTTTGATTGTTTTCTTCTGTAATTTTGTTTTTTGGCCTTCTGACAAGCTATGTGACATTTATTTGGTCTTAGTCCTCTACTCCTCGGATATATCTTATTGATGATATATTTACAATTCCAATCAAACAAAGTCGAGTCTAATTGTTAGATGGAATTTAAGATCCTTCGACACTTAGCAGGAGGTAGGAATTGTTAGGAGTGACTTATGAGCATCATGTGATGTGAGGAAAAATGTTTTTTACTTGCCTACCTAATCTTATGTGGCAGGTGTGATGTTTCTTTCTTGGCCTTATTGTGAATCAGGGGTCACAATCTAAAGCAATAATGGATGGATGCCCACCTATACTTTGTTCTAAGAATAGCTTGACTTGGTATAAGCAAAAATCCAAGCATGGGAATATGCTCTATGTTTAATGAAAGCCTGAAACCAACATTTTTTTAAGCTTTGATGTATGGGCTTATTAGAAGTGTTGTGTTTTTTTTGGATGCAGGCTAAGTAGTGATCCATAAGTGGGGAAAAAGAAGAAAGGAAGAGATGTCTAAAAACAATTATTGTTGATTAGTAGGATTTGGATAAGCAAAGGTAAAATGTGCATGATGAAGTCAATGAAGAAATTGTTTTGTCGAAGAGGATGGTCAGTGAAATGCCGGCAACAGAGATAATGAGGACTAGTTTTCCAGTAGATTTTTCTTGTTTCAGCCTTTTTTAGATAAATAAGATGAAATAGCTGAGAGGAATAGAAACGAAAAGATGGTAGGAATGATAATAATAATAATGCTAATAATGTTGTGTCCCATTAACAGCGCCAACAATAGCTGGAAGCTGTCGGGGGAGTGTGAGTACTGAGGGAGAGAAGGAAACCCTCCTTACAGAGTTTCTTCTGTGATTTCTTGCACCATTTGTGACTTAAGTTTGATTTTGTTTCATAGTTTATTATATTGCAACTAAATCATGTGAGTTTCATTTTTATTTCATTGTTATTTTGTCGTGTCTCAAAACTTGGAGCAGGAGGAACATTCACATTAATGCAATGGGAAAACCAATTACATACGTTGTTCATGTTACCACTAAGTCATTTATACAATTCAACACATGTTAATATCATTGTATAATATCAATACACGTTAATATCATTGTATATGCATCAATGCAATTCACATGCAATAGCATATGTAGAGGGTTTAAGTTATTTTCTAATAAAATAAATAAATGATTGATTTATCCTATGTGACATGCATAATTAATTTCAACAAATGCAAACTTGCATATTTTGCACGTGTCCATTACATTGGTGCAACTCATTTTGAAGTTGCATATTGAGTGTTATGAGGACTAGTTCTCATTGCCCGCGCTCCGCGCCGGGATGTAGGTTATTGAGGCATACTTATTTGGGAATCAAAATATATATTAGAAGATGAAAGTGTTCTATATGAAAATAAGCAGCATAATGACTATATCAATATACACATCAAACACCCGCTAATATCATAGATAAAATATGAACCGTCTAAGCATCACAATGTTGATTTTCAATATATAATGGCAAGGTTATTTGTCCAGCTTGATAGAATAAGTACAAATTTACCTGATAACTAAAGAAAATTGGATATTGATGGCATATAAGTAGCATACCTACAATATGAGAAGTCAAGCAGAACCATAACTGCGATTTGATTTAGTATTCATGCATAAGATTTCAATTATCTTCAGCTGTACAAACGCTGAACTTCCCATAGTAAATGAAACTTCCAAATGATATTTCATGATGAAATCCTAGGACGACTGAATCATCATCCAAAATTACCCAAGGCTAAACATGTTACACAAAAGAGAAACTGTGCAACAGCTTTTTGTATCTTTGCCTAAAGAATACGAAACACAATAACCAATCTAATTTCTAATTCAGTGGTGTTTGGTAATAAGTGAGGTCTGGAGGGAGCGTTGCCGAAGACTATATGGCCAGAGAAGGCTCACAGTAGAAGAATTGGTCCGGAAAATGCAGATGGTGGTGGAAGCAAAGGTACAAGGTGATCTGGTTTTTGCAAGCTCCCCAGCTATTCAGAAGCTCTGGTATATGGAGGGACGTTTCGGTGGTGGTTGATAGTGAGTGAGAACCCAATTACTTGTATATTTTAGTTGGTTAAGAGCTATAAGGGCTTTTTGTTGATTGTTTGTAGACTTTTGGATCGTATTTGATGAATAAAATCCACCCATTCATCGAAGAAGGAAAAAAAAAATTCTAATTCAGTGCTGCACAATATCAAAATCTGCAGCATTTGGAAACCACGAGCATATCATAGATGGAAGGAGACAGCCTGATGACATTGACTGAAGGGGGAGCAATGGTGGTACAGTACAACACCAAAGAATGAATCTGGATTTCCCTTTCGCACAGCAGACATTTAACTTCACTGAATCACTTTCCGGATTCTTTCCTCTGCAGATCGCCACAGTTTCAAGTCGGTAAAGAAGAAAACAGGCAGATGGATGGGTGGGATGGATTTGGTGGACTACCTTTTATTGGTTCCCTTCTAAAACATCAATTGCAATCAACCATTACCTATGAAATAAAAAAAATAGTCATAACATGATAATCCTCGCCGCAGAAAGGGAAAAGTTTAGTTCAAGAAATAGGGAAGAAGATTAGTCACTATAATATTATACCTTGAATTAGAGGTCCATGATCACCCACCCTCCCTGCCCTGGCGGCTAGATCTGAAAGTTGCTTCACTTTGACAGTCCTTACCTACATTTAACCACAATCCCACTATCAATATAACCCGTACTAAGAAAAATGATTGATTTGGGTTTTCTGACTCACACATGCCGCAACGACCACCAGCACCAGCGAAAACATTTCTATTAGAAACCTCGCAGATCTTAGAATGAAATATTGAAGCTAATAGAAAGTTCTAATAACGCAAACAACAGACAATTCTCCGTACTTGCATCTTCTGCAAACCCTGATCTGCTTGTCGCCAGAAGTACAATTTCAGCTGCAAAATTAAAGAAACAGAGGAATAAATCAAGTACCGTAACTACTATGAGCACAACATACCCATTAAAGAAACAACGACATCAGATCAAGATCCGCTTACCCTCGTCGATCGATCCAAAGTTCAAGCTGATTGTCAACTCCAAAACACAGGGCCGCACTCAAAAGCATCAAACAAAAGATATAGACATCAGAAGAGAAAACTGGTATAGATAACAGAGGATCGAGGGAGGGGAAGAAAATAGATGGACAGAATCATCGGGGAAAGAGAATATCTTGGTCCATGTCTGTGGTCACGATAATCGTGCGGAGCCTTGATCAATCAGGCTCAGAAGCAAATCTGCAAGTGGAAGGGGAAAGAGAAGGGGAATCATCGCTTTGGAGTGAACGTTTTGGAAGTCACAAAAACCGGTTACTCCCAGTCAGCTATTGACTGGGCATCCTCTTAGTTTGTTGATTCGAAACTGTGGGTGAGAAAGTGAGATCTCAAAAAAGGAAAGGATGAGGGAATATCGGATTGGAAGGGAAAAGAGACAGAATCGTAAGAAAGGAAAGATGGAGGAAAGAGGCAAGTGGAGGGTAAAATCCCCCGTCATCTCAACCTTTTATCTCCTATTAAGAGACTGCATCTCTGGTGAGAGCCGAGAAGTGAGTGGTGACGGAAACCAATGAGAGAGAAAGGAGGTATAGAGAACTGAGCCGGTTAGGTAAAATGAGTGGGTGAAAATTGTAGAGCTACGTGGCTCCTAATCCGCCATGTATCCCACAAAAATATCTCATCTCTCCTTCCCACTATCTCCCATTCCCTCTCAAGTCTCAAGTACCAATTGCGAAAACCAAGAGACAACGCGCTGATCAAAGCGGCCTCATCATTGCCACACAAAAGGACTCAGACCCACATATTACCAGCCGATCAGAGGTTCCATCACGGTCCAAAGAGAACTAGAGTATTGGAAACCAACCAGAGACCACCGTACGCTCGCCCACACCAAAGTACAATCCAAGTTGTAACAGTGTAACTGAGTCTGTATGTGCAGTAAAAGGAGTCAGGAACTCAGGATGCACAGTAATCGACCCCTAGTGGGTTTTCTTTTTTCAATTTGCAATTGACCAAACACTATTTATGTAAATCCTCTAAGGGGTCGTTTGGATGGGTTAATTGGTAATGTGGTATTTGTAGAGTCAAAAAAACTCATTTATTGTTCATGTGGTATTTCAGTGTTATTTAAGTGGTAATTGAAATAAAGTATCTCGTTTGGTTGAACCATGCAAATGTGGTATTTGACATGTGGTAGTTGGTAAAAGCAGAGTGATAAAATGAGTTGTTTCGAAATAACACATGGGTATAAGTTATTTCAAATAACTCGTTTTGAGTTATTTGTAAATAACTCACTGTCCAAATAACTCATTTCAGTAAAACGCTGCCAAACGAGTTATTTGCGTCCAAATAACTCATTGTGAGTTATTTGCGTCCAAATAACTCATTGTGAGTTATTTGAACCCAAATAACTCATACAAATACTCCATCCAAATGACCCCTAAATGATGAGGCCAGTTTTGCTGGTTAAAAAGATACTTGTTACTCTTAATGCAGTCAAAAGTAAAATTCTATGTAGAGAATTGAAATCGATTCTAAAATGACATCGTAAGATTTTGATACACATGTAGAAACTAACACTTAGAATGGTTGATAATACCCAAAAAAATAAAAAAAAATTCAAGGAAAAGTTATCCAAAAAAGCATGTCATCAATAATACATAACATCAAATAGTGTAACTTTTCAACTCAAACTTTAATCGACACAAGTATCGAACAAATTCGAATTTTTACTTTAACATAAACGCAAAAATAAGCAACCTAATATCTTATCATAATCACTTGTTCTAGTTGAGCAAGAGCTCCAAACCTCCCATGTTCGTCATTTAGTATAGCTACATTTGTTGGCAATACCTTACTGTCCTGATTTTGAGTATTTTATGTCTGAACCGAGATATGCATTGGAATGTTACTCTGCCACTGGACTTTTGTTCTGCAATTCCACTTTTGCTGCATCATCCTTTAAGTTTTTTTTTTAAAGTGGAGTGGTCGTTTCATTAATACGAATCATCCTTTAAGCAGTGTTGACGGAGGGAACTATTTTTTTTTTCTACGATGAGTCTCCTACTCCCTGTTGGAAGTTGATTGACTAAGCTAAAGTTCAAGTGTTAATGAAAAAATATAAAAAATATTTAGAACTGAAAACATCTATACTAATACAGAGAGCAAGAGGAGGACTCTGGAAGGTCGGTGTTCAAAGCTCGCAGCCACGGCCGGCACCGGCTATCACTCCTCACTCGAGTCGTCGAGTCAAAACTCAGTCCCTAGAATTTCTAATTCGATTTCATAATGGAAAATCGTCGGTAAGATACTGTTTGTTATGAATGAATTACATAAATTTTGAGTAATTCATTTTGAAATGAATTTTTTTTGTTTGGTATTTGAAAAAATTCATTTTCAATTCTAAATTTTGAATTCTACGAAATTGCAACTAGTTATAGCAATTTCAAGGAATTGAGATGGAATTTCCAAATGAATTTCACCTGTATTTACTAATTATAATAAGATGACATAATTATCCTCATTTATTGACTAAATTACTTCTACATATGTTATTTGGGGCCAACTCATGCAATATGAGAAATCGTTGACAAGAATTTGATTGCAATGCTAGTAGCATATGTTGGTTATTCACTTATTTGATATTTCCGCTTCAATTGTATCCGTATGTTGAGATGGCACAACTAAAGTGTATGGTTCATTGACAAAATATTAGAAGATGAATTTTAATGAATATTGTTTCTGTCGGACATAATTGAATATGACATACCAAATCCAGGAATTCATTTGAAAATGAATTCTACACGGTAATTCATTTTAAGATGAAATGCGCCGGTACCTAACTCATTCGTTTTTTCGTCTGCTCAATTGCTTATCCGCAAATGGTGGCAGGCGACTTCAACCATGGTTTGGGAGGAGCGATCCTGGGGATGTACTTAGCTATTCAATTTCACTTTATATTGTTTTTGCTTCTCGTTGCTTCATTAGAGTTGCCTATCTTGCGACACAAAAAGACTCTCACCGATAATTCGACTACTAATCAACTACCGCGCTTATCTTATTTCTCCTCTATGACTGATTTTATTAACCCTATCTATGCAAACGACCAATTCTCCTAACACTAACCGTTTTAATAACCGCAATCCACGCAAGCATCGACCCAAGCTCACTGAAATTGCTTTTGCGGTTCGCGGTCGACAAAAATTGGCTTTTCTGCGTTTAGGGTTTAGGGTCGACAAAAATTGGTCTCACACTCAGATTGATCATGGCGTCGGAGGACAAACTGAAGAAACAGAAGACTGCGGATACTCATGCTGACAGATTGAGTGCTTTGGGCGATGATTTGCTGCTTCATTTACTCGGCCTCTTGGAGCTTAAAGGCGCCGTGGGAACGAGCGCACTGTCAAGACGATGGAGGTACCTTTGGACTCGTCTCACTCGCCTCGATCTGGACGACAGCAGCTTCGTACATCCCACCGGCGATCGGGAAATCGCAGAAATCCGCAACGCAGAGTTCGCAAACCTCGTGCAGAGCGTGTTGAGACAATGTGAACACCACCGGCCGTTTCTGAAGAACTTCCGGCTCAGCTGCAATGCGCCCGAGGGTCCTTTCTTGTCGAAATCGTGGATGGAGGCGGCCGCCGGTCCTCAAATCGAGACGTTTGAAGTCGATTTCGGCTGCTGCACGGACAGTCTCTACGATCTCAGCGAGAGGGTTTTTGCTTTAGAGAAGCTTCGAGTTTTGAAGCTCCGCAAGGGTTTCCGGCTTGGTGTTGATGCTGCACGCATTTGGCTCCCATGTCTCAAGGTATTAGAACTTGGTGAAATTTCAGGGTCTAGTTCTACGTTGCGCAGTCTCATTTCTGGTTCTCCTGTTCTGGAGACACTAGGCATTGAACGCTTTAAAACATTGGATGATGCAACAACCGTTTACATAGAATCTTCGTCGCTGAAGAATGTGAAGCTGAGGGGGTTGTTCATGTTCGGTAATGTCTTGCCGAGAATCGTTGTTAATGTACCAAGCCTTGTGCATATGGATTTTCATCCATGGCACAATCCGGGGGCTGAATATGTCGTCCATGAGTTACCTTGCCTTGAATCTGGTTATATTGACCATTGTGGTCGACTTGGAATGCTTTCCCCGCTCATTTTGCTCTTGAATCGGATTTCAAATGCTAGAAAACTGCAGCTGACTGACTCAACATTCCAGGTAAATCTCCTCTGGCTTTCACTTCCTTATGTTTGAGCGACTACTTACTTCAAATGACTTGAGCAGTTGTAATGTTTTTTCCCCTTTCATATCCTTTCTGTGCAGTCGGTTAAATCGTGTTACCACTATGAGCTACCACTGCCCTGGTTTCATAACTTGACTCGTTTGACATTGGAAGTTACCGTGATTGATTGGATCACCGTGTGTAACTTACTAGATCGTGCACCGAATTTGGTAACCCTAGTCTTCGAGAAGGTTAGTTCTACCTGATATTTTCTCTGCCTTAGGTTCGACTTCTCCAACATTGGTAAATCCTGAACTTTCATTTTTCTTACACCAGTGTCCAAGCCCTGAGCCGCTGGAAGTTCTATGGGACCCATTGGAACCAAACCCTGAATGCCTTCGTTCACGAATTGAGATCATAGAAATCAAGGGTTTAGGAGTGTCTTCTTCAATCCACAGAGACTTGTTAATGCACCTGCTGGACGTTGCATCTTGCTTAAAGAAGATGATTCTTCACTGTGCCATTGACCAAGACGCCATTGGAAGGTTCTTACATTCGTCCAACGAATCAGTTTCTACCCACAGAGAACATGTTTCACTGACGAAGCTGGAAGAGTTATTAGCTTGTCCGAGATCATCAAGCACTTGTGAAGTTGAACTCTTAAGTTATGCAGACGATATCTTATGACTGAACTCCGATATGCATGGGTCGTTTTGGCCATCAGTGTTGTAGCGGGCGATAAGGACATGACTTAGTAACTGACCTTTGGCCTTTGCATGTGTACTGTATTGTGTATTTTGGCTCAGTTGAAGTGTATATGTATATGATCAGGACATGACTTAGTAACTGACTTTTGTATGTGTACTGTACTGTATGGTGTATTTTGGCTCAGATGAAGTATATGTATTGTATGTTATTCGGTGCTGGTGATATTCTTTGGACTTGTCCCTTTGCCTCTGGTTTTTGTTCTGCAATTGCACTTCTGCATCTTCTTTACAGCAGAGTTGATGCAAGGAGCTTTATTTTATTCTTCCTAAAATACATGCAATGTTGATTCTTCAACGAAGCTTCTAAGGACTAAGATTAGTGATTCAAAAATGGAAAAGGAAACGATTGCAACAAGCAAAAATGTTATTAGTTGCTATTAGTTGGACCGAGGTACTAAATATGGCTAAATTAACAAACTCATTATATGATATCCAGGGTTCCGAATATTTTTGGCATTCCTAGTATTCTATCATATTAGGTTTTTAATTTTTATCAGCCTTATTTATGTCTTTAGCTATATATATACATAAAGGTGTCTATTACGGTGTACTCATGAAAATAGCCTCAAGAGTCAAGATATCAATTTTTTATTTTAATTGGTAACATTAGTGTAATATAACATAAGATTACAACTCATCAATGCATTACTCTAAGCGCTAAACCTTCAATTTTGAACTTTAGCCCTAAACCCTAAATCATGAACCATAAATCCTTCAAATTAATGTAAAATTTAAATAATTTTTATGGTAATTCATGGGATTTCTTGTCCAATCATATCATATTTGATGATTAACATTGTTTTGACATCATATCATATTTGATGATTAACATTGTTTTGACATGAATTACTTGCTCAGAATAACAATTATGAAGCGAGTGCATGGTGCGAGAAAAAAAGTTCACCAAAAATACTTTGGGTTTTTTGTCTGAGAAATGAACTGGCCAAGTATTATTCCACTCTCTTCAATTTCTGCTTAAATTCCTCTTCTCAATCCCCAATCCCCACTTTTGTTCTTCCTATCTTTAACTCCCCAATTTTATCCCCTTTCTATCAAAATCGCTAAATATCGATCAATTCCCAATCATACAACCCGTCTGGTAGAAACCCAGAAAAACCCAGAAATAGGTTTCTAACAGATTGTCAGAAGAGCCTTCAGTTTTACAACAACAAAGTGTAACTCAACTATTAGTGCTTGGCTTCTCGTTCCCTTTTGTCAAACGAGAAGGAAAATCTAAGCTTGTGGATGGCAGTCTGTACATCCTTGTCCCCGCGGCCACTGCAGATCAGCACGACCTTAGTTCCATCAGGGAGCGTTGGGCACAGCTTTTCAAGGTAAGCCAGAGCATGGGATGTCTCCAGTGCAGGGACTATGCCTTCCAATCTTGATAATCTCTTGTATGCTGCAAGTGTGAAAAGAAGTAGTGAGATGGATTGTTTTCAGTTTTCACACAGTGAAGGTGCAAAAGGGGAGTTCTTCTGGTTTCCTAAAGGAGCAAAAGGGAAGGAAGCTGAACAAGAAGATGGTCAGTTAGTCTAGTTGTGTCCATGGGAGATTAAGCACATAAGGACCCTGAACATAAACCAGACAATATGGCTGGACGCTTGTGTCTAAGCAGTTGCCTTCCACAGGAAAAACTATGGTTCAACGCTGTTCGATGGATTTCAGCCAGGGGGTAACAGTCACTAATTCAAGTATTTTCAAAAACACAATCCCAGGCAAACTAGTACATTCTCTTAAAGCTTCAAGGCTTATGACTGTTAACCGGAATGTTACTTATCAGTTGTGTAGCTCTCAAATACCAGTGAGGTTAACCAAATGGAGAGCATGAATTCTCCAATGAACTCTTTGGTCGGGAAAGCATAGGAAAAGTACAAAGATACAAAGGGCTTGCCAATAGATACGCACGAGCCAAAGCAAGACTAATTTTCAACCATGGCAGATTCAACAGCATACAAATAGAAAGCACAACCTAGGAAGAACTTTCATACCTTCTAGTGCATCCTCCTCAGTGACAGAATAGTATTCAGCACGACCTTTATCTTTCAGAAAACTGTGCTCCGGTCCAACTCCAGGGTAATGTAACCTAATTCAAACAGCACATAGCAACTAAGTACACTACATAAAGGTATAATAATTCAAATCAAAAGCAACTGACTACGAAATCACAAATGTTACCCAGCAATGGAGTGAGGCTCAATGATTTTCCCATCATCATCTTGTAACAAATAGCTCATAGCTCCATGCAGCGTGCTTACCGCAATCCAGACCAAAACCAGCAGCCTCCACACCAATCAACCTAACATCTTTGTCCTTGACGAAATCCTCAAACAATCCCATCGCGTTCGAACCCCCACCAATGCACGCAACGAGGATGTCCGGCTTCCCACCCCATTTCTCCATTGCTTGCCTTCTGGTTTCCTCGCCAATCACCATGTGGGACTCCGTTGCCATCTTGGGATACAGATGTGGGCCGGCAACCGAACCCAGAATATAATGAGACGACTTCTCGTTGGTCACCCAATCCCTTATAGCTTCCGATGTAGCATCGTTCAGAGTGGCCATCCCAGAATGCACCCCTCTCACCTCAGCTCCCAGAAGCCGCATCCTGAACACATTAAGTGCTTGCCTTTCCATATCTTGTGCACCCATATAGATGATACATTCCAACCCAAACATCGCGCAGGCAGTCGCAACAGCAACCCCGTGCTGCCCTGCTCCAGCTTCTGCAATGATCCGCTTCTTCCCCAACCGCTTGGCGAGCAGAACCTGGCAGATGGCATTGTTGATATTTTGAGCCCTAGTGTGGTTCAGATCTTCCCTCTTGAGGTAAATGTGTGGCCCTTCACCATTCGGACGCCTGTAATGATCGGTCAGCCGCTCCGCAAAGTAAAGAGGGGTTTCCCCTCCAACAAAGTCTTTCAAAATGCGGCCCAGTTCTGTCTGCATTCAGAATTGGTTCATTACTTGCTTCATTCATCAACAAAGTTATAATCTTTCAACGAGTGCGAACGAGATACACCGATTTCCCCCCAAATTGATACTCTAGCAGTGGAAATGAAGGATTACCTGAAAATCAGGGTCGTTCCTGATTGAATTAAAGGCGGATTCGAGCTCAGTGAGAGCATACATGAGAGTCTCGGGGACGTACTTGCCGCCGAATTTGTCGAATCCACCGGAAGCATCGGGTCGACCCCACAGAGCCGGGTCGGAGTCGTCCTTCTCCGTAACGGTGACAGCCCCCGCGTCTCTGATCGTAGACATAGACATAGTGCAGGAGACTGAGATCCTGTTGTTAGGGCGAGATCGACCGGTGGAATTGGCGAGCCCGAGGTTCAGTCTTGCGGAAGTGGAGGAGAAGGAAGAAGAAATGGGGGGCGGAGGCGAGAGGGTAGCTGTGGACTGTGGTAGCGGAAGTAGCTGCTACGGCGGCGACGACGGTGAAGCAGACTTTTTTTTCTGGAGTATTGGTGCTTTAATGTACAACTTAAAGTTGTACCATAACATTAAATGTATAAGTTTAGGTTGTACCATAAAACAATTTGTACCATTATGTTATGGTACAACTTTACAACTTGAAGTTGTACCATCACATAAAAGTACAAGTTCAAGTTGTACCATAAAAGAATTTATACAAAAAGTATAGGTACAATCTGAAGTTGTACCATAAAGGCAAAATCCTATAGCACCAATACTATATAGCATTGTAAAATTTCTTCTTTTTCTGGCCATTTAGCAGATGTTGTCGGAAGGTGGTTGGTGATTTCGGCTGAACGGCGGGTAGAGATGGCAACAAAACCCGAACCCACGGGTACCCACCCGACTCAATCCGGTCAACGCGGGTAAAATCCATGTTGACGGGTTTGGGGTCAGGTTCGGGTTTAAACCCGCTACACTATTCATCGGGTCGGGTTGGGTTTGGGTTTAGGTAAACCCGCCCCATGGGTACCCGCCCACACACATATAATTACTTTCCCGGTATATTTAATATTCTAAATAATATATCTTCCTTAAACAACTAATAATTTTTTATGTTTGTGGAGACATGTATAATTTGTTCTTTCTAATTGTTTAGAATGAAGTTGATATTTTGAAGTGAAGAGTAGGGCTGTCAACCGGTCGGTTAAACCGAGACCTGACCAGTGCCTACCGCCCACCGACCAACCCTGCACCTTAGTTATCCGTGAAACCGACCGGGCGGTTTCGGTTAATGCACGGTTAAACCGGCGCCAGCGAAAAAGAAGGCGACGGTTCGGTCTGCTGTCCTAACCGACCGAAGACCGCCAAAAAACCGACCGAAGACAGACCCAAACCGACTGCTTGTTATCAGAGAGAGATGAAGGAATGGTCGAATGGAGGCGCCGCCGCGCGAGGATGGCGGACTGGACTCTGGCGGGTGGCGGACTAGAGGGTGGCGGCGATTGAAGGGTGGTGGCGGCGACCGATTGGTGACTGGCGGCGCGATTGGAGGGTGGCGAATCGTGACTGGCGGCGATTGGAGGGTGGCGTCGAACACCGAGTTCCCGTTCTCGTTCACGATCTGGACTCTGGCCTGCCCTCCGGCGAAGGAAACTGTATACAGAGAGATCCCATTCCGATTCCGGGGGAGGAGAATTCGGGGACCGAAAATTGGGGAAGAAAGGTAGATTTTGTCTGGGCTAATAGGAAATTAGAAAATTGGGGATTTTCGAGAGAAATCAGCTTAGCTAGGGATTTTATTGGAGACCGCCAAAAATAATCAGCGAATTCTCATATCTACAAGCGCGAATTCAAATTCCAAGAACTCGTCCGCTTGCTGGTGACTCTGCTCGTCCTTCCTCCTCATCGAAGTCACCGCCGGAGATTGAGTAGTTTCGACAATTTCCAGTCCTCAAGCTTGAGATCGACGGAGCGGATTAGATTGGCGACGACGGCCGACGAAGAAACTGACGGAGCCGGAAGAACTCCTGTTCACAGCGGCGCCCCTCTCGGCGCTCATCTGGATCCAGCGGGGGACGGGGAGGTTGTGGCTGTTGAAAGCCTCGGCGATGAAGCTGGAGTCCATTCCGCAGAAGAGGTTGTTGCAGATCGGTCGGTTAGAGCCGGTTTGCCGGTTAACCGGCTTCGGTTACTCGGCTAACCGCCTGCCCAGACCCAATTAACGCCAACCGACCGAGACTGATTTCCTTCGGTTTTCGGTTAGCCGCTAACCGGCGGTTACCGGTTAGACTGGCCGGTTAGCCGCTAACCGGAAACCGAATTGACAGCCCTAGTGGAGAGTGAAGAAACTTAGTTGACGAGGAAGAAACTTTCAATTAATCTTATTGTTTATAAATGTTTATCTTTAATTTTGAACAATTTGCATTTGATCATTTGCGGTTTGCTCGTATGCTCTAGATTGGTTTTTTTTGTATGAATAATTTGTATGAGAAAATTGATGTTAAACTTTTATTTTGAAAGAAACTTGTTATTGTAAATTTTTTACCACAAAAACCCACGGCTACCCACAAACCCGCGGATACCCAACGGGTTGGGTTGGGTTTGAGTTTTTCAAACCCAGTGAGTTTTACCCGGGTTTTTTTGGATGATAAACCCATGGATTTGGGTTTGACAAAACCCGCCCCAACCCGCCCCATTGCCATCCCTAATGGCGGGTGCCGCTAGATTGACACTATTTATATAAAATGGGAAAGGGTTAATTGCATGGTCACTGAGATTAAAAAAGCGTTTTCGTCACTATAAATATTTAAATCCATTTGTGGTCACTAACTTTACAAAAACCGTTCATTTATGGTCACTTTTAGTTAGCTGTCGTCCATCGCTGTTAACGGCGTCCGTTAAGTGATGACGTGACTGACGGATTCGCCTAATCAACACTTTTTAACCTCAAAATTGACTGACCCGACCCGCCATGTCAGCTAAACCTAACCAAACCTCTACCCAAACCAGATCCGACCCAACCCAACCCACCCACTTCTCCATATCCAAACTAAACTTCCTGTCTTCCTAATCAATTCATCACTAAATTAGTACATGAAATTGAATCGTACAAAATCCAAAACCCTAAATACAAAACACAGCGATGCTCTCTCGTTCTCCCTCTCCAGATGCTGCCTCTCACCTCCCTCCGCGGTGAACTCATCGAGCTCCAGTTGCTCTCTTCGCGGTGTTGGCAACGGTTAAGGAATATCGTACTTCTAGGGTTGAAGATAATATAGGGGTTTGTCGATTTCGTCGGTGGAGCCAAACATAATAGATTTGGGAATTGGGATGTTGAAGGATGGTTGGGTTCGTGAAGAAGGAAGTAAAATTAGCCTCGAGCTCCGCCTACACCCACTCCGCAGCGCCGCTCGACTCTTCTTTCCCTCGCGCCGGCATCTGCAACAACCCATCTTTCAGGCAAGCTCCCGGCGGAGCCATTCCGGCTGCCGCTGAGCGTATCCCGACACAGAGGAAGAATCGGACTCGCGGGAGCATCAGCTGCAGGGGAGGAGGAGAAAATGGCCGGAAAATCCATGTGAAGGCCTTGGAGGAGGATCTATGAGAGTTCACCCTAATTTCTTCGGCATGTGTGCAATCTAAGCAAGAACATATACCAGTGATTTCGGGGAAGAAAAAGGGGATTTTTTTTTGGGGAAATCGGTGCTTGGGTTGGGTAACGGAAAAGAGAAACATAGGTTTTAATTTGGGTTGGGTCGTGATCATTGGGTTACTGGTTAGATGGTTTTTTTTTTTTTTTATCGGGATCAGATGGTTAAGTTTTAATGATGTGGCAGGGGTAGTTTTTATGTTTTTTAGGTTAAAAATATGTGACTAGGCAAGTCTGTTAGCCACATCAGCAAATAATTGACGGTGTTAACGGAGACTGACAGAAGGTAATGGAGAGTGACCAAATATGAAATGTTTTACTAAAGCTAGTGACCACTAATGAAATTAAATATTTTTAGTGACCAAACATAAACCTTTTTAGTAATTTCAAGTGACTAACCTTGTAATTTACCCAAATAGACCTCCATTCAAGTTTCCAGCGAGCATTTCTCGCAAGGCTATTTTCGGAAGACGCTTTCTAGCACGTTAGCATTGCTGAATTAAATTCCGCCCAAACAGAAAATACGGCCCAAAATACGGCCCAGACCCACTCAATTAGGAGAAGGGGAAAAAAAAGACACAATTTGCAATTCAAAGAGAAAAAATGACCCTGTGTGAGTGTGACCTCCAACTGGCAGTGGTGGACCCAGAAATTTTACATAGGGGTATTTTTTTAAAAAAAATAAATTAAATAAAAATAATTTTAAAATAACTAATAAATAATATTTAGATAAGAAATAATTTACTCATACAGTTTGAAAAAATTCACAATGTGTTTTCATATTAAAAATGATTGTAGAACACACTTGGGGTCTACACTGTTCAAAAAAAAATTGTCTCTGTATATCATATTAGACAATCATTCACGAATTGATCACATATTCAATTTCTAAACTTGTTCTTGATGTAATCCAAAGCTGAAAAGACTCTTTCAATACTTGTTGTACAACCATAAATCAATACAAATTAAGGGTAGCTTGAAATATGTTTAATTGTTATATTTTGAAAATAATTAGAGCTAGAGAATTACATTATACTATTACACAGTGTTTAAAATCGAATAACATATGAGTTGTAGTCTAATGAAAATTATGTTTATTAATAATAAAAGTATCCTAAGTTTGAATTACCCAAACTACGACCTATATTCTCATACTCAAATTAAAAGATGAGAGTAGGATAATCACTTTTTTAAATTTAGGGGTGTCCCCGACTATCAATTATAATTTTTTTATCAATACGTATATTACTACCAGGGGTTGGATAATCGTTTTCCCAAAATTTAGGGGTGTCCGGGGGCACCCCTAAACACCCGTGGGTCCGCCCCTGCCAACTGGGGAGTCTTTGTTGCGGGTCGACCCAGTGGGTGTGTGGCGCCTATTTTACTCACTGGGTCCGGATCAATGCGAGTTGACAATTTTATCAAACCTTCTATTGAAATGAAAAGAATGGAAAATCGAAATTTTAAAAGTATGCCCATCAGTATTGGGAGATATTTTTACTTCAAGAACCAACCATATCCCAAAACGTTTCCCCTCCTTCTTCTTCGTGAATCGCACCGATCGCTTTGCCTTGACCGAACAAATTTTGTTTACCGATTTGCGGAGCGGGAGATAGAGCGAGAACGGGAGCGTAAGAGGGTATATTCTTCGAGAATTATAATCTGAGAGGGTAAAAAAAAATGTGAATATTATATTATTTTAGTTGATATGTCATTTAACTTACTAACATATTTTGGTCAAAATATTACAACAATGTCGAAGAAAAATAAAAATAAGATTATTTTAGTACGATAATATTTTTAAATAATCTGATTAACCCCAACAAAGGAACATATTTCAAAAGTTACCTGAATAGAAAACCCATCAAAGTTTACGATTTTAGTTTTTTTTTTATTATTTAAAAAGAAAAGAGAAATGAATGCATCGTTTATCCGCCCCTTCTACTCACTTAGTTGTGTTGTTAATGTAGGTGCTAGATGTTGCATCTTGCTTAAAGAAGATGATTCTTCAGTGTGCCATTCTTCAGTGTGACCCACAATCTGATTTCCGGATCGGTTTCAGCAACTTATAACATTTGTTAAGGGCTAAGGATGGCGGATGTTTACAACAATCTGGATGCCCTTCCGAGCAACACATCCCAGCGTTAATATGAAAGATGCATGCCATCTTGAAGCACATTCCATGATTCTTCGATGAAGCTTCTGAGATTAATGTTTCAAACAGGGAAAAGAAAACGATTGCAACAAGCACGAATATTATTGTTGTTATTAGCTCGACTGAGGTTCTAAACAAGACTAATTAACAAATGAGCTTACGCTACCCAAGAGTCTGTCTGAAGAGCTTCAGCTTACAACACCAAATTGGAACTCACCTAGTACTTAGCTTCTCGTTCCCTTTTGTCAAACGAGAAGGAAAATCCGCAGAAGTAGCAGCAAAAGTTCATCTAAGCTTACGGTTCAGAGTTTCAAGTATTTGATGGCAGTCTGCACGTCCTTGTCCCCTCGGCCACTGCAGTTCAGCACGACCTTGGTTCCATCAGGGAGCGTTGGGCACAGCTTCTCAAGGTAAGCCAGAGCATGGGATGTCTCCAGAGCAGGGATTATGCCTTCCAGTCTTGATACTCTCTTGAATGCTGCATGTGTGAAAAGAAGTAGTGAGATGGATTGATTTTCACACTGTGACGGGTGCAAAAAGGGAGTTCTGGTTTCTGAAAGGAGCAAAAGAGCAGACCGCTGAACAAGAAGACGGTCCATTAGTCTAGTTGTGTATATGATAGATTAAGCACATAAGGACCTTGAATATAGACCAGTCGATAGGATTGGATGCTTGTCTAAGCAGTTGCCTTCCACAGAAAAACTATGGTTTTACGTTGATTATTCCATGGATTTCAGCCAGTGAGTAACAAGCACTAATTCAAGTATTTTCAAAATCACAATCCCAGGCATACTAATACATTCTCTTGCAGCTTTAAGACGATTGAATGCTAATCAGATTGTAACTTATCAATGTGGCTCCCAGATACCGGTGAGTTTAACCAAATGGAGAGCATGAATGCTCCAATAAACCATTTAGTCGGGAAAGCGTAGGAAAACTACAGAGATACAAGGGGCTTGCCTATAGATATGCACGAGCCAAATCACAAATAATTTTCAACCATGGCCGATTCAAATGCATACAAATAGAAAGCACAGCCTGGGAAGAACTTTCATACCTTCTAGAGCCTCCTCATCAGTGACACAGTAGTATTCAGCACGACCTTTATCTTTCAGAAAACTGTGCTCCGGTCCAACTCCAGGGTAATCCAACCTGATTCCAACAGCGTGTAGCAACTAAGTACAAACGACAAGGTACGGTTATCGAACCAAAAGCAGCTCACTATGATTTCACAAATGTTACCCAGCACTAATGGAGTGAGGCTCAATGATTTGTCCATCATCATCTTGTAACAAATAGCTCATAGCTCCATGCAGCACACCAACTTCCCCTTTCGTCAGAGTTGCAGCATGCTTACCGCTATCCAGACCAAAACCAGCAGCCTCCACACCAATCAACCTAACATCTTTGTCCTTGACGAAATCCTCAAACAATCCCATCGCGTTCGAACCCCCACCAACGCACGCCACAAGGATGTCCGGCTTCCCACCCCATTTCTCCATTGCTTGCCTCCTCGTTTCCTCGCCAATCACCTTGTGGAACTCCCTCACCATCATGGGATACGGATGTGGGCCGGCAACAGAACCAAGAATATAATGAGTCGACTCCACGTTCGTCACCCAATCCCTTATAGCTTCCGATGTTGCATCTTTCAGAGTGGCCGTCCCAGAATGCACCCCTCTCACCTCAGCTCCCAGTAGCCGCATCCTAAACACATTCAGGGCTTGCCTCTCCATATCTTGTGCACCCATATAGATGATACATTCCAACCCAAACCTCGCGCAGACGGTCGCAGTGGCAACCCCGTGCTGCCCAGCTCCGGTTTCTGCAATGATCCGCTTCTTCCCCAACCGCTTCGCGAGCAGCACCTGGCCGATCGCATTGTTGATCTTGTGAGCGCCAGTGTGGTTCAAATCCTCCCTCTTGAGGTAAATGTGTGGCCCTTCTCCATTCGGCCTCCTGTAATGATCCGTCAGCCGCTCAGCAAAGTAAAGAGGAGTCTCCCTTCCAACATAGTCTTTCAAAATGCCGCCCAGTTCTGCCTACATTCATTTATCAACAAAGTTGTAATCTTTTAACGAGTGCGAACGAGATACACCGATTTTCCCCCAAAAAAGATTGAAACTTTAAAAGGGGGAAATGAGGGATTACCTGAAAATCAGGGTCGTTCCTGATTGAATTGAAGGCGGATTCGAGCTCGGTGAGAGCATACATGAGAGTCTCGGGGACGTACTTGCCGCCGAATTTGCCGAATCGACCGAAAGCATCGGGCCGACTCCACAGAGCCGGGTCGGAGTCGTCCTTCTCCGTCACGGCGACCGCCGCCGCCGCATCTCTGGTCATAGTGCAGGAGATTGAGAGCCCGGCGGTGGTACGAGGTCGAGCGGTGGATTTGGCGAGCCCGAAGTTGAGCAGTGCGGAAGAGGAGGAGGAGGAGGAGGAAGAAGAAGAAATGGGCGGCGGAGGCGAGAGGGTGGCGGTGGTGCGAGCGGTGGTTGGTGAAGTAGCTGCTGCGGCGGCGATGGCCATTTAGCGGATTTTCTTGGAATCGGGAGGCGTGGTTGGGGATTTGGCTCTTCTGGGTGCCGCCTAGATTTTATGGTGATACGGCTGGCTGGCTGGCTGGCTGACGTCGTGTGGTAGACTGATTGATGGTCAGGAAACTTCAGAGTGACATGGCGGTTTCTTGGCCTTCAATATTGGTGTACTGCTCTAGGGTTGGTTGGGCAGCACTAGAGTTCTTAATGAACCAAGCCGCTCATGAACGGTTCGGTGTGCGACTCGAGAAAAACTCGTTTGACACTCGATTCGTTTTAATCGAACCGGCTCGCGAATAAGTTCGTTAATTAAACGAGCCAAACTCGAGTCATATCATGTTCAGCTCGAAAGCTCGCGGACAAGCTCATTTAATGGTTTGATATAAAAAAAAAGGATTAGAATTCATGGATTTTATGTATTGAAATTGAGATAAATATTGTGTTTTACTTTGCTAGACTTTGCTACAGGTTTGAATGTAATTTTGTGCGCAGTTTTAGGTCAATCTTGAGCTATCATGAACATTTTATGACGAGCTGAACTCGATTTTGGGCTCCTTAAGCTTATTAACGAGCCGGCTTTCATTTTCATAAACGAGCCGAGCTTGAGCTTGCATATTAAAACTCGTGACGAACACGAGCCGAACTCGAGCCTGGAAATATATTAACGAGCCGAGCCCGAACTATGGTAAAACTCGGCACGAGTCTGACTCATTAATAGCACTAGGCAGCACTGCACTGCAGAAGGCAAAACAGTTAGTTTGTTCATATGCCTAAAGGCTAAAATCTATTTCTGGCCGATTTGTTACAAAGGGATCAGGATTAATTAGTAAGTTGCCCGAAATCTCCATGAATATTAAGGATCGATCCCTAATAATATACCTGACGTAACTTCAAGCTCATTTTCGTTGCCACCTCAATGTATATTTATAAATTCATATTTCTAATACGAAGGGGAGGTGTCTTCTGGATCGTTCGTTCATCACGAGACCCTTTGCTATAAGTCTTGATATAATGAAGAATATAAATGTCCTCCATGACGAGTAATATGCCGTTCAAATATAACGGTGCTGATGACATAAATTTCCTCTATGCTACGAAATTTTCATCAACATAATCATTTATTATGTTTCACACTGAACATTCACATCTATTACGAGAACGTTATATAATTTAGGTTAAACAACTAAATATACAAAAAAAAGCTAAACGTTTTAAACTATGGACAAACAAGTTAATTTTGCTGACGTGACAGACATGGATCCTATGTGTTTTTAAATGTTACCCACATCATCGAATTTATCAGGAAAAATAAATAAAAAACGACTATAACTATCTAACGTTTTGAAACGTTTGGCTATTATAATGTATTTCATATAATTTTACTATTTCTATCCAAAACTTGATAATTTTGACTATGTTTTTACATTTACCTAAAATTTACCCTTCTAACAATTAACCGAATTTTGGACCTATAATTCATTCCCAAAGCCCTTTATTTTTCAGGGTTTATGGGCGTGGGGTTTTGTGTGAATACAGGCCGACCTCTCCCGGGTAACAGCCCGGCCCGCCGGCCCAGCTGATTTTGGCGGTCTTTTGCACCCCAAAACGCCGCGTCTCGAGATCCAGTTCGACGGCCAAATTGAATCGGAAAAACCCTCTCCGCCTGTTTTTTTTTTCTTTCTTCACCCGACTAAGGCTCTCTTCTCCAACGCGGGCTACCGGTGAAACACCGAGAAGCCAGTTGACAGTGGCGGCGACGACGACGACGAGCAGCTGCCGATTTCCTCTCTCTCGGTCGCGCGTGCTGGACACAGGCGGCGCTGAAGTTCTTCGGACATCTGAAAGGTCGAGTCGAGTCTTTTGGAAAAGCCTGGGCTGGGTTCAATTTTCTTTCTTTGTTGGGTGAAAAATTAGGACATTGCCAGATTAGGGTTTGCTTGCTTTGAAATTATAAGGGATTCCGAATTCGTCCATCTTCATTCGTCCTTACTTCTGTTAAGCTCTAGTGACTTAGCTGGAAATGGGTCGCCATTCGTCCGATCGTTCGATATCCCCAGACAGAGACCGAGGTCGCAGGAGCTCCCCGCCTGCAGAAAGGGCAGCATCACGGCACAGAAGTTCCCGTAGAGATGTGTCGCCTTCACCAGTAGCCCGGCAGAAGAAGAACTCACATCGGGATGCCTCTCCATCGCCGAAAGAGAAAAGACGTGTCCATACTAAATCCCCTAATGGTGAAAGGTCTGCTTCTCTTTCCCCTCGTTCTAAGAGATTAAGGCGAGCACAAGCGGGGAGAGAGGCGGATAAACTGGGAGATGGTAGAGACCATGGAAGGAATCGTGGCAGGGAAATGGATAGGGCTATCCGTAAGGACAGAGAGGGTTCGGATGTGCCCGAAAGAGAACGTGAAAGAACTCGTGGCAAAGGAGGTGCACATCGGGAAAGGGAAGCTCACAAGGTGATTGACACGGAAAATGACAAAGACCATGGGACTGGAGGTGATAAGGCTGCCTATAAAGGCAGAGGTACAGAAGATAGGGAAAATCGGGGCGAGAGGAAGGAGAGGAAGCACGGTCGAGATGAGAACGACCGAAAATCGTCTAGAGATAGACATGAGCGTTCTGCTTCTCCATCTGATCGGCACCACAAGAGAAGATATGGATCTCAGTCACCTCAAGCAGCTGCTCAGAAGAGAGAACGGGACGAGGTGTCTGGTGATATCTATTTCTAGTGGCTATTTCTTTCTCATAAGTTTTGTTCCTTTGCATAAAATGTTGTTATTGTGTTTGTCATTCAATGCAAGTGCATTTCCTTTATCTCTGAATTTTCTGGATGTTTATCGAAGCAAATAACATAAACACTTAATCGTGCCTAGATGACCTGTCCCATGAATCTGTTTGTGAATTTCTGTTACCTTCTTTAGTCAGTAAAGCTCTTGCTCTTGTCAGTCCTAGACTTCAGTTGCTGCGTTTTGGTTTAATTGTTCACTCATATGGAATTGCTCATTTCAGGTCACCAAGTATGGAGGAGCGGGCGGAAGGTAAGATCATACTCAAACTCTATATGTCATCTATTCCTTAGTTGATACAAATGTTTGATTAATTGCTCTTTATATTTATTCTTCTGTGTAACACTTATGGTGTATGATGATTACATATTTAATTCGATAAAGTCAGGAGTAAATATGAATTATAGGTGTCTTTTAACTCCAAGGAAATAGAATTCTCGAAGAACCATGCTGGAAAAATCTTTACCATATTACGAAAGCAATTAGATTCACCACTGACTAGGTTTACGCTTGCTTGCTTGTTATGCAATGCTTTCTCTTCAGAAGCACAAAGCATATGAAAAACCTTATGTCACCCACCTGTACTAGTGAATTTGATCCTTTCCATTTCTCCATTAAGGGCACAGTGAAAGTGTAGCATGATTATGGGCTTTGATTGACCTTCCTGCATCACAACAATATAATCTGCTCATCATGGTGTTGTTTATATTGGTTGCTTGCACAGGAATAGTGAGGATGATTCTGTAGCTAAGATGAAGGCGGCCGAAGAGGCCTTGGAAGCGAGCCAGAAAGTAAGACAGTTACTAATTTCTGGTATATAGTCTTGTGTCTGATCATTTGGCAGATGTAAGAAAGAATGCCTTGGTCCTACTTCTCTGTATCTAATTTTGTTGATGTATGACATTGGCTTGCAGCAAAAACCATCATTTGAGCTGTCTGGGAAACTTGCTGCGGAAACTAATAGGGTTCGAGGTTGGTGATGTTGCATTTTCCCTACAGTTTCCTGTTTTATTAGTTATATGTCAGATATCTAACAGACCCGGCTGCTTATGGGTGCTAGGAGTAGTATGGTTTTTTACACTTGTTTCATTGTCTTTCTCTTTCATGTTTTGGTATATATGGACAACTGGAATGTGCTGTGGGCATGCAACTGATGTAAATTATTATGCGATGTCAATACTTTCCAGCTGTAATAGGGGTTGGAACCCTTCTTTCAGTGACTTGTATTAATTGTAGCTTGGCAATGTTCAGGCATTCATTAAATGACTCTTTTATGTTTTATTTCCCTATACTCTGTTTGTCTGCTTCATGTATTGGCATATAACTTTAGTTTCTGATACTCTGTTGCTTCCTATGGATTATAAGTGATGCTAGTAACTAATTCTGATGATGTAAAACTGGTTAAACTTGCTTTGCACCAGTCGTCAAACACTCACAATTACTGGCTGTACGCTTTCTGTTTTATGCCTCTCATTTTTGCTGGTCTGCTAATTTTTTGGGGGGCAGGTGTCACTCTCCTGTTCAATGAGCCTCCAGAGGCTCGAAAACCCAATATAAGATGGAGGCTTTATGTTTTTAAGGGTGGTGAAGCGCTGAATGGTGAGTTCTGTTTTCTCAGCTCTTGTTTTGCATTCGTGATGCAGCATCAATTATTTTTTAGAGAAAACGAAGCATTGTTTTATTGATTACGGATTGTACATATTTGTTTCCTCTGCAATGCTTGTAATTGCTGCTTTTGTTAGTTGCAGTTGCACCCAACGTATTAGTTCTCGATTGCAACACATTATAATTGTTTGGTACTTGGCTCAGACCAGCGAAGAATCTTAGTTTCTTACATCGATTACTAAGTTTCGGAATTGGAACACTGTTTGGCTATCGGATTCTGTTGACACTTACATCCATTTTGTGTGGATAATGGTGGTAGCTTATTTTCTGTTTCTGTTGTGTCTCAATGAACAGAACCTCTCTATATACACAGGCAAAGTTGTTATCTTTTTGGTAGAGAGAGGAGGGTGGCAGATGTTCCTACGGACCACCCATCCTGCAGCAAGCAACATGCTGTCATTCAATTCCGGTAGATCTATAAATGGCTGTTCAAAAGTTATAATTTTTTATGTTGTTGGACATGTTTTCTGATTTTGTTTTGTTGACTTGTTAGGCAAGTAGAAAAGGAACAATCTGATGGTACTTTATCTAAGAAAGTAAGGTAAGAATCAACTGATTTTTTTATGTCTTTCTGTAACAAAGTTCATGTTAGTTTTATCTATCTATGCTGACTTCTTTGTTCTGTGTATGCGTGATAGCCCTTACCTGATGGATCTTGGAAGCACTAACAAGACTTTCATTAATGTAAGGCATATATATTTTATCAGCATATATTCAGCGTCACTTCTGTGGTTAAATTCTGGGAATCACATTTGAGCTGCTTTCCTGTGTTTGCAGGATAAACCCATTGAACCCGAGCGTTACTACGAACTTTTCGAAAAAGACACAATCAAGTTTGGTAATAGTAGGTAGGCAAACTGATCATTCTCAACTTATGCTTTCTGATAGATGGGGTGTGAAAATCTTCTCATCGTTAATTAGTGACTGACCATCCAAGATAAAGTAGCTTCCATTGCGCTTGGATTGAGTTGGCTTACTTAGCAAGTTCTGTTGTGCTAATTGAAAGATATTGAATAGTCTGGGAATTTTTCTCAAAGCTCTCCTACTGTGTGCTCCCAAAACATCATATGGCAACATTTTCCATTGGACGAAAAGTCCGATTGAGATGCTTGGTTTTTCAATGTTCTCAACCCAGCGTTTGGTCTTTGTAGCTTATGACTAGGAAATAGGAATGCTCCCTTTGTACTATGGGCACTTCAAGGTTATCTTGGTGTTGGCGTTTCCATCTGGAGCTTGTGACTGCATGTTTATAGATATTTGAGTGGGCTTAGTTGTGTCGACAAGTTGTTTTTAAGGCGTGAATAACATGTTTAGAGCTATGGCGCATGAAAAGTGGAAAGCTGTAGCCGATTTTGTTCAGGAACATATTTTTCTTTGATCCTGCTGTCCCTAAATGATTTGCTATCGCCTGGTTCTCTGCAGCCGAGAATACGTGTTATTGCACGAGAACTCATCAGAGGTATCACCAAGTCCTTGAGGACCTCTCTTTTATTATCAGCAAGCAACGAGGTGTATTTTGCGGATTGTTCTTCTGGAAATCGAGGAGGAACTACTCTTAAAATTGTAAATCCTTTGGGGACGGTGAGATCTGGTGTCGGATGTTCACGATCTTGCAAGAATCTACAAGCTTTGTAATAGATTTCAGTACCATGCTTGCAAGTAGATATTTAGAACTTAGAAGTGGTTTGGTGCGATTCTGGATACTCTTTTTGCGGAAAAGCCTCATGTTTGGTATTTGCAGATCAAGTCTTCTAGGACAGTGGCGTGAGTCAATTGTGGAACGAGGATTCGAGCTCGTTTTGTTACCAGTGGAACTGATTAGTGCAGAATTTGGTTGATAAGTTTGATCTATTTTTTGGCCTTGCAGACGAGGAAACCGGGGGACGGTTTATGTTGATGTTATTTGTTAGAACTTGGATGATGTACTCGACCTCGACTCTAGTCGCTTTACCCTTCATCAAGAATCTTGCGTATCTAATTATTTATGCTTTGTTCTAATTCACGACCCATGGGGGTTTCTATCACTCCTTTGGGGTAATATAATTGAAGGACATTGTGCTTTGTAATCAGTGTCATTTGTGTAATGTAAATTCCAAATATGTCCTATACTATTAGGGTCCATTGCCATTTTCGTCGGGAGCAGATCAGGTCAGTAACTGATGGGTCAGTAATCCATCAGTAATCCTCTTCTTTTGTCCCTACGTGTCAGTCACTTTTTTATTAAAATTAAATGCGATTAAAATTAAATGCGAAAGGACAGTAAGGTAAAATTACACTTATCCCTATTTATAGCTGACGCTGACTTTTGACCGGATCACATTAGCACCTCCTTCTCTCTCATCGAAAAATCTTTAATTTTTCTTCTCTTAATCTTTAACGGACGATTTGTCACTCGTTTTAAGTCGGAATTTAATTTTTTTGCACAGTTGGATCAGATTAATTGTGTTCTTCAAAATGATATCCACTTTGATGTTTTTTTGACACAATTTTTTTTTTCCCAGTTATTACCGGTCTATACCATATGGTATTGAGTGGTATTAACTAAGAGCATACCATATGGTATAATGTGGTAATATCAATATATATTTCGTTACCACCCAATACCATATGGTATAGTGTGGTAATACCAATATATATTTCGTTACCACCCAATACCATATGGTGTAGTGTGGTAATATCAATATATATTTCGTTACCACCCAATACCATATGGATATGGTATAGTGTGGTATATCAATATATATTACCTAAAAGAAAAAAAAACAGAAGGAGGGAGAAAAAAAAACCCTTCTTCTATCTCCTTTTATTTTCTCCTCTGCAATCAAGAACACCAAAATGCCAAAAAAAAAGAGGAGAAAGATCAGAATTGAGGCCAACGATTTGATGAAGAGAAGATGTGCAATGAAAGAGGGAGGCTGCAATTTTTCTTCGTCGATTGCTGAAAAGAAAATGAAGAAGAAGAGAAGGGAGCAAATCTAGATTAGGAGAAGAAGATTGGGAGAGAGAAGAAAGAGAGAAAGAGAAAGAAAAGTTGGAGAGAAAATACTATTTCTCTCTCCTTCATTGAAAAACCAACTATTAAATGCTCGATAAATTAGAAAAATTCAAAATTTTAAAAATGGACAAAGGTACCCCTCCCCTTCCCCGCGTCCAGCCAAACCGCACGATGAGCTGCAGCCCGGATTTATTACTGACAAGTTAGTAACTAGTAGTTACTGACGGTATCCCAAGCCATTTTCGTCCTAATGTGTTTTGTCGATAGTTAGAGATAACTAGAGATAGCAATTTGAACCAAATTCATATGTTCAATTCAATTCACTAGCTAAAAGGTTAAATTAATTCAATTCATTTAATTATTGAATAATTAACAATCAAGTAGTTAATTATTGAATTTCATTACAGAGCAAAAATGAATGAAGAACTATGTGGAAAAAATGAATAGAGTAATATTTATTGATATGCAAAAAATTATTAATAAGTTGATCCAAATATTTCTTCCTATTACTAGGGAATTGGCTGGAATTCATTTGTAGGATATGAGAAAGGGTAAGTAATGTCTTTAGCGGAGAAACCTTCTACTCGGATTATCTTCTGTCCATGATATTAGCAGGAAAACACTCGTGACACTTGCAAGTACTCATAAGGAATCAGAGTTTTTTCTTAGGATGATTTTGGATTGGGAAATGTGGTTTGAGTTTTGTTCTATGTCGTTAGGTTTACAGGGAAGGGAAACAGAAGAAATGAGGGACAAATTTGAGAGTAAAGCGTGTGAGGTAAGGTTCGTATTCTATAGTTTTCGAGTGGCTTGAGTGTCCTTTCGTTGGGTTTGATTGATTTGGTCCATTCATTTTTATATTGAATTTTTGTGATGTGGCGTGCTAACTAGATTAAATTAACGGATTTTTTAATGTAGATGGGCGGGATGTATGTTTTGTTCATCCAAACTTGTTTTTATGAAAACATACAAAATTAAATTTTAGTAATCATTTTGTACTAAGTGCATAAGTTTGTGATGATTTTGGATAATTACCTGTACCAAATATTTAAAAGTATTAAACCAAACGCACTATAGGGCATGGGGGAAAATGATAAAATAAGGAAATAAAAAATTACGAGTAGGGGTGTGCAATGATTCGGTTGGCAGTGGCGGATCCAGGGGATTTTAGGGGTATCCCCGGACACTCCTAAATTTAGGGAAAATGATTATTCAACCCCCGGTGATAATTTACATATAGACAAAAAAATATAATTGATAGTGAGGGACACCCCTAAAATTTGAAAAAATTATTATCCTACTGTCATTTGTGTATAAAAATATAAATGGTAGGTTGGATAATTCAAATCTAGAACACTATTATTATTAATAAACTTAATTTCTGTTGAGCTACAACTCATTTGGTGTTCGATTTTGAACATTGTGTAATAGTAAAAAGTCATTCCTTATCTCTAATTATTTCAATCTAAACTAATTTCAATCTACCCTTAATTTGTATTGATTTTATGATTGTACGACAAGTGCTGAAGAGTACATCAAGAACAAGTTTACAAATCGAATATGCGATAAGTTCCTGAATGATTGTCTAGTAGGGTATATAGAGAATTTTTATTAACACTATAAACACCAAGTGTATTCTACAATTATTTTCGAATATGAAAACACATCATGGACTTTTTTTAACCTGTACGAATAAGGTCTTTTCATATTTACGATTTTATTTTTATTAATTATTTAATTTATTTTTTAAAAGAGGACACCCCTATGGAAATTTCTGGGTCCGCCACTGTCGGTTGGTACCGTATCAAATAGATATTTAAATCGGATTGTAGTGAATCGAGTATAATACGGTCCGGTTCTTGGTTCTATGAATTTTATAATTACTGAAGAGAATATTTGACCGATGTGGTTTTTGGACCGTATCAAATCATACCGAATGAATCGAATACAGTGATGATCCGATCCTTAGTTTTAAGATGTCATTCACTAATAACCGCGATTCTCATGAGTTGGTTTTGGTCTGAACCGAACCGATCCGTTACACAGCGGGACGGCTTTGGCAGTCCCACGGGCTAAAAGCGAGCGAAGTTGTACCGGTCAACTGCCCCTAAGTCCGAAACGCCAACTCCGCCCACCTCTTTTGTTTTCTTTCTTCTTCTTCTTCTTCCCCGGCCTTCAACGTTTTTTGTTTGCTATAGTTTACAATTACAATACTCACACACACACGCACCAAAAATATTTCTGGAAATCTGTTCGCGAATGGTTAATACTTAATACCCCAAGGCCAAAGAAAGAAAGAAGACTACAAAACCCAAGAAAGAAGAACGACTGCAACAACAACAAGCAAGCTATGAAAAGCTCGCCGCTGCAGTCTAGCGACTGCTGCTTCCATGGCCGCCAGCAAGAAACATCGTAAGTGCAGATGGGTGTAATCATCCGGAAAATCTCCCGGGTTGACCTCAAGTGGAACGTCCTCGACCGCGTCTCTGTTTTCCGCCAGTTCTTCGAGCTCTTATGGGACAGGATTCTCGCCTGTTCGATTGGTAAGCCGCCCGCCAAGTACCGCCGTTTGACTCGCCCGGGCGCTGCAACTTCGTTTTCTACTTCTTCTTCTTCTTCTTCTTCTTCTTCTTACTCCTCTTCCCCTTCTTGCGGCGGCCCCAACGACGATTACGGTGCTGTGACTTTCGTTGAGGCGTGCACGACGAGTGGAAGCGGCGAGTTGGAATCTTCCAACTCGGATTTGGTGCCGCTGAAGATCAGCCTGTTGGGTGATTGCCAAATCGGGAAAACGAGCTTCGTGGTAAGCATTTCTCGGTATAATAAAATAGGGTGAGGGGGAGGGGGTCGTTTCTGGGTTTCTTGATTGTTTCTGAATTGGTCATGCATGAGCTGGAAAGGTTTCATTGTGATTAATCAGGGTTAGAGGATTAGAGCTGCTTATTAATGGGTATGTGATCTGATTTCTTTAATCTTCCTGCTGTTTCTTAATTTCTTCTTGTGGTGTGGGTCTCTGTACTTGCTGATGGTTGAAGGTCAAGTATGTTGGGGATGAACAAGAGAAGGAGAGCCTGGAAATGGCTGGATTGAATTTGATGCACAAGACATTGTTCGTTCAAGATGCCAGGATTTCATTCAGCATATGGGATGTTGGAGGTACGCTAGAATTTTTCCCTTTTACCCTTTCATTTCCTTGTATGGATTCCAGAATGGTATCAAGTTTCAGAACTGAGTTGAGGGAACTTCTCTGTGTTCTGGTGGATGTGCAGGGGATAGCAGGTCGTTTGATCAAGTCCCCATTGCCTGTAAAGATGCAGTTGCAATTCTTTTCATGTTTGATCTCACCAGCAGATGCACACTCGACAGGTTGGCTCATCATCATCATCATCAAACATTCCTTTAATCAGCTGTGTTGTATATGTTTTCGTATTGAAATAGTATACTGTTCATTTTTAACAGCGTTGCTGGATGGTACAGTGAAGCCAGGAAATGGAACCAGGTAATAAAAGTGGAGAACAGTTACAACCTCCATTTTCTTGGTGTAAATGTATCGTTATTGTCTGTTTGGTATCCTTAAATTCCTCCACCAAATTCTGTTGATCCGTCCTCCCGTGGGATAGAGATGAATAGTGCTGTTAGTTATCGGCCTTTAAGTTATCATTATTTCTGTACTAATGACAGTACAACCTTAATGGATATACTGAAAACTCAACCTCCGTTTGGTAAGGCATTAACTACCTTAATGGATATGCTTCTGAACTATAGTTGGGAATCTTGGGGAAGTAAGAATTATTCTACTGGTGGAATGGGAGCATGTTGAAACGAGCCATGTAATTAGCTCTAGATGATCAATCGTAATAATCGATGATCGATACATAAAAACAAAATTTGGCAGGCAACCCAGGAAGCAATTTGAGAGGGTGATGATAACGATGGCCATGATCATCATACGGCACTGAAAACCTGAATCCAGTGGCTGGAATGATTGTTATTGTGTTACCGTTTGTTTAATCAAGTCGGGTGGTTTGGTTTCTGTTGCCCCTTTTTTGTTGGAATGAAGTAGGGTCATAACCCACACATGGGGGCTCACTCAATCTTCATCATGACATTCTAACCTGTTGCATGTGTATTAAGGAAGGTAGGCTTGTGGGTTTAATCAAGCTTTTTTTCTTGCAGACGGCTATACCAATCCTGATCGGGACTAAATTTGACGATTTCGTCCGGCTACCTCCAAATCTACAGTGGACTATAGCAACCCAGGTAAAAAATACAAGAACAGTAGAGAACTTCTCTCAGTTTTGTCTTTGAATATGTTTAGGGGAACATGCTTGCCTGAGATTGTGACCTGCCCTGTGGGAGGAGTGATTGCGAAGTTTGGCAGAAGTCTGTGGCAATTTGAGATTCGTTTTCCCTCCTCTCTGCGCGTTTGATTGACAAAGCAGGCATAAGTGTGGGGTCTGGTGTGGTGACATCTGCATAGTAAAAGCTTCATTAAAGTGAGAGAATTTAAGTTTAGGGAACAAGAAAGGAACCTTCTTTAGGGGTGGTAGATCTAATTAAAGGCTTTGGCCATTTCCTTTTCAGAGTAATCTAATGCTTTCACTTCAGGAATATGCTTAAGCAAAATTTTCAAACATCGATGCTGCATTTTACTCGTTGAAAGAGAATGGGTTTCATTTACTGAGAAGGAATACCTTTACACCTTTAAATGAAATGATGTGTTGTCGGAAACTCCGAGTCAAGAGGAGAGCAAATTACGAGTTCCTTACTGCAGCTAATTTTTCCTCTGGTTGATCTGTTTATCTTTTTGGTTCTCCTGTAAACTTGTTGATCAAACTATGTTTGTGGTTGCATCATGATGAATACAACGCAGGCAAGGGCATACGCAAGAGCGATGAAGGCGACGCTGTTCTTCTCAAGTGCGCAGCACAACATAAATGTGAACAAGATCTTCAAGTTCATCGCTGCAAAGGTGTTTAACTTGCCATGGACGCTTGACAGGAACCTCACCATTGGGGAGCCCATTATTGACTTCTAATCTCTTTTTCCTGTAATGGCCGTTTACTTCTTGTTCTTTTAACCGTTCTTTCATGCACTGATGGATTTTGTATTCTCCTGTAAATAGTAGAGGAAACGGAAGAAGGGAAAGTAGAAAGGAAAATCGGAGAATGAGTGGGAGTGCAGATTGATTGATTCCACACGAAAGGGATGAGAGAGCTTTTTTCCCAAGAACGTTTTGCTGCTTTCATTTCTTCCTTCTGCTAACTTTACGACTTGAGAAGAGATCATCACAGTGAGCTTTGTGTAAATTGAAAGAAAAAGGAGTCCGATCTTAGAAATTTCCCCTTAGTCAAGTGACTATTTGAGGTATTGTGGTAACCATATTAACCGGTAGGATTTGGTTAATTTGGTTTGGTTAAACAATATGGCTTATTTGGTTTGGTTTGGTTGGTTTCAACACTGCTAACCAATGAAACCAATTAACCAGTTAATGATACACCTAATATACAAAATTATTTCTACTTCCATGCAACCAACCAAACCAAATTTCATGATTCCCTATTTTATTTCCATGTGCACAACAAACCAAAACATTTTGGGTAAAAAATTAATGGACCCGCCTATTTACCAAACCAAAACAATATGATAATCTCCACTTCCTACTAACATCAAGTGAGCCTCTCTCTACACCAAACAAAACCAAACGTTTGGTTGTCCTCTGTCCTCAATCTCCATTTCCAACTCCCACTCCTCCGGAAAATTGACCCCTAGCTAGATTGAGAGGGAGAGACAATCGAACTAACAACTTATGCTTTCATTTGAATAACTCTTCAAGTAATGTTATGTTATTTGGTTTATTCATTAACAGAATAATTATTTTCACGTAATGTTATGTTATATGGTTAATCCGATTAACCAAACCAATAAAATTTTGGTTTGGTTAATTTGGTTTTCGTGTTAATTTGGATGGTTTGGTGAAGACATTTTATTGAATGGTTAATGAAATTTAGGTTTAACTGGTTTGGTAATTACCACGATAACCATTTGAACACCCCTAATCTGAGGTAGGGGTGTACATGGGTCGGGTGGTTCGGGTTTAACCATTTTAATCAACCAATCCATACACTACGGTTTGGGAATTATCAAACCCAAACCATTCAGGCAATGAAGTTGAAGCAGAAGATCGATTGGCGTACCGGGGTTCTTAAGCTAATTTGTTCGAGCTGTGAAGAATCAATCAGCGGTTGATGAGACCAATCTGCGGAGCATCGAAAAGAACAGACGAGAAATCAGAGGGGGCGAAATATGTATTTTCGGCAAAATAGTCTCTCTTTCTTTCTCTTCTTCTCTATTGATTTTTCTTCTTCCTAATTTTTTTTTTTAATTTTCTCCTTTGTTTTTATTTTGTTTTAGTCATTTTGGGTATAAAAAAGTAAATAAAAGGTTGGAGGAAATTTCGTTTTTTTTTTCCTTCTGAAACGTGTAACCTAATAAGGCCCAAAAAATTTTAAACTCTACGGTTTGTTTCAAATTGGGTTGGGTCGGGTTGGCAATATTTTAAGTAAAAACCAACCCAACATAAAATATATAATTATTATACATCATAAAAATATTTTATAACTAATTAAAATTTCAAAAGAATAAACCGAGGTGAAAGGTATCAAAATTCACAAATGTTGTTTGAATTTTAATAAAATGAGATTTACTTCAACATATGTCTAGTTTTTTCACAATATTTGTTGAAATAGACTAAAAAGGTTATAAACAAACGCATCCATAATATGTTATTCTATTAAAATTGTACACAAGAAAAATGATTACGTGAATCATAACTTTATTCAATTTATGTCTAAACTTTAAGTCGAAGAATGCATTAGATTAGGGAGACCATGATAGAAAAACATGGCGAAATATCTTAATTTTCTCAATTGTTTTGCTATATACGACATAAATATTTTTTAGATACGAACTCATACTAATAGTTGGAACACGGGTTGGGTCGGGTTCTACGGGTTGTGTAATCCAAAATCCAAACCCAACCCAAAAGAGGCGGGTTGTACAAAAGAAAACCCTCACCCAACCCAAAACCTTCGTTCTAGCGATAAATACGGGTGGGTTGGGTCGGGTTGGACGGGTGGGTCGGTTTGCGGGTGTGTTTGTTCACCCCTAATCTGAGTTACTAGACCACAAGGAAGTGACAAAGTTCTTTTTAGGGTTGGCCACTGAGTAAGATAAGAAGTTGACTGCGCAGTACTAGATGTTTGATCGTTTGAGTCGAGTAGAGAAGACAGAAAATAGGGCTTAAGATCAACGCATAATAATGTCTTAGTTAGAGCTAGCTTGTGATGTTGCTTGATGGGTAAGGCACTAGATCAACCATCAGCAAGGCAACTATCGAAGAAAATGTCCTCTTCATTCTTGCATTTTAAAATGAGAGAGATGATCAAGGAAATTGCCTTCGGCAACCATGAACAACGGAACACGGCGGCCACCACAATCAAGTATTTGAACACGATCACCAACTTTCGAATGATTCAAATAGCTCGTGAAGATTGACATGGAGATTCACATATGAATATGAAATGTCTCGTTATGGCCTCAACCTCATGATTCGAGTTGAGTTTCGAGCCAAAAAAATTTACAATCATTTGACTTAATTGAGTTTGAATCAATTGTATATTTACCTAGGGAATAGGGGGAATTAGAGTCAAACTAACGATCAACTGAACTTCCAAGCAGTAATAGACTTAACGGGCGTACCCTTCCACCCAACGATCAAGCTCTTCCCATCCATCCACACCGTGCACGGGCTCCAACACGGCACCCTCTCGGCCACAAGCTCGGCCTGATACATCGACGACCGGCTCAGCTGCGTCTCCACCATCCCAAACCGCCGGAAGTAAGCCCTCCAGACATCCACCTTCAGGCTCCTGATCATCCACTCCCTCCCCTCCCCTCCTCCAGCTCCATCATCATCATCTGCCGCCCCCATCATCACGATCTTGCTCACCTCCCCCAACAACGTCTCCTCCCCGTACTTCCTCGTCGCCTCGTCTCCCACCATACAGTCCCCCATGCAGTCGAACAGCACGCCTGCGAAGAACAGCGACTCCACGAATCGGTTCACGAACACGGGCGAGTTTCTGCTCCCTTCCATCTCCATCACCACCATGACGCACGGCTTCACGCGCCGGATCGTCTTGATCAGCGCGTCCAGCCTCTCCGCGGGGCTGGTCAGCGTGCTGGCGACGTAGTCCGCCAGCACGACCACCGTCACGCCCGAATCGAACCGGAGGTGGTCCTGCCTCAGCTCGGCCAGGTCCCGGACCATGACCACGTCGAAGCTGCAAACCAGGCTCATGGTCTGCGCGAACATCACGAGCCTCCTCCCGGTCTGTTCGATGAGTTCCTTCCCCATCGTCGCCACGGCCGTGATCTTCAGGTGCTCCACGCGGATCCTTCTTCGCGTGGCAAGTGCCTGCATCAGGATCGTCCATTGGTGCCCGTTCCTGATCGCCAGGTCGAGCACGTGGATCCTCCTGGCGCCCTCCACGTGTTCCAAGATCGTCTGGATCCCCGCGAATTGTGCCACCTGGGAGAAAGGGAGCCTCCTCTGAAACTCGACCGACCTGACACTTGGTGTCATTATGACTTTGAAAAGGTTGGACGACTGCTCTTTCGCTTTCACTGTATCGCCCAAACCGGTTTGACCGGTTTCCCGGTCGATCCGGTTTCGCAGACTCCGGGAGTAGTAAAACACCAATCGTTGGATCGGGCTCCCCGTCGGGGAACACCGGCGGTCGCACTGTTGGAGCAGAGTCCTGGCGCCGTCGAATCGACGGTCGCCGACTCTCTCCACGGCTTCCAGGAGGAGCTCGGCGAGCTCCACGCTCGCCGATTGCTCCTCCGAGAGGGGAGAATGGACGCTGGCCGCCGCGACGTCGAACGGCATGTCTTTCGAGTGGGACTGGATGAATTTCAGCGACGCCATCCTGATGAGATCTTCGACGGACAGAGCCGCCGGCGAAGCCGGCGGCTGTAGAATTTCCACCGTCTCCTCTGTTTCGTGATTCTCGAGGAGCGTCGAGGTTTCCGATTGAGCTTCGTTGGCGGCTGGCTGGTCGGACAAGCCGTCCTGCTGCTTGGAGGGAGGGAAAGGGATGAGTTCGATCCCACCGGCCAACTCGTTCCACGGCTGCGGGCAGGGGAACTCATCTCCGTCGCCGGCCAACATGCCCTGATTCTCCATTGATCAGAATTAGATTCCTCTGTGTTGACGGGTGAAACAGGGGAGTAATTTCAGCCTTTCAGGTGGGTTGGAGCTGGTTTTGTATTATCTATATATACCCTGCTATGGAATTGGTGACAGATTGGACTGCCGGAGGAATTGTGCTGTTTTCGCTCGCCGACAATGGCTACCGGCGGAGCTGTGGATGAGTCCAACGTATGTAAAACAAGAGGAATGGGGTGAGAATTGATGGGTGGATTCAGGTAGCATCGCCGGCAGGCTTTGATCTAATCCAGTTGGTAATTGCTCTGTTCGTCAATGATCGTGACTCGAGAGATTCCGATTTTCGATCGGTAGAAACGGTGTTTACTGTTTAGCCATTGATGATTAGTGCTTTTTCAACGATGCCAAAACTCTCGATTAAGAAATGTACGACCATGACTGTGACCGAACTTACTGCACTTCTCCACAAATTACAAAACAAAAGAAGGGTGGGTATATCAATACTCATATATGACTCGTACTAAACGTGGGTCAGGTGAGGTAATATTTGTGCGGGTACGATGTGGGTTAGGTCGTCTCATACTCTTATATTTTATCGGGTAAAAAAGAGAATGTAAATGTATAACTCTTTTACAATAAGGCAAAGAGAAAACATTTCAATAGTCCATAGATGAACCAGAGATATAGTCAAACGAATAATTGAGTCTAAAATCTAAATAGTTAAAGTACGAAATCTTAACATTCCATTGAATGAAAAATATGATTTTATAAAAGTCAAAAGAGGGGAGATCATACTCGTGCGGGTCCGATGCAATGCATACCGACTCATACTCTTAGGTGTTATTGAAGAAACGAAAGTCGATATTTAACTATTTTACAAGAAGGCAAAAGAAATAATGCAATCATAAATGAATGTGAGATCGATATAATAAAATGAATAATTAAGTCTAAAAAGTTGAAATATAAAGTCGTAAATTTTTGTTTTGATGAAAAAATAATTTAAAAAAAATTAAAAGCGTAGAAATACAAGTGTATATCGATACAGATTATGATCAAACGATCCAACAGTAAAACGAGACAAACGAGAAATAGTACACACGTCATATCCTATTCTACATTAAAAAAAATTGATGATCACCTTTAAATGTAAACCAAATTCGTGTATCCCACTGATTTGGTAAGTAAATTTCGAAACCCAAATTCGACAACCAACCGTTAGTTTTTGTCATTTTACATTATTTTGTACATATAAGTCAAGACTGTACTCACCTTTCATAAGCCGTCTGTTTTGGATATCAAACCAAGTTCGTAAATGACTGAATTCCAAAAAAAAATTAAATAATTTGTCGAGGAAGAAAACTAGGCAGTGAAGAAGAAGAAGGCTTTTTTGGTGCAAACAATTAAGTTTCCCTTTCTCTAAGTCGGTATTTTCTGTCTTTTTTTGTTCAGCAAGCTGGTACATGACTTTGTTTGTATTTTATTTATATCAGAAACTCCGAATAAGAGAACCAGATGACTGATGAAAAATGGTTATTATATTACAAGAAAGCATTATTCCAAGAGTATATTGTTGGGTTAGAAAGACAGACGCTACCGAAGGAGGAAATTAAACTGAAGCAGAAAACAAGAGAGATAGATACAAACAGCAGCAGCAAACGACGATGAGAAACAGAGAAAGTAAATTACACCTTATACCGTATGTTGCCATCAATGGCGCGGACTCAGAATTGTCGTAGAATTGTGTCGCTGATAAAATACGATAATAATTAAATGAAAATTTAATAAATTTCACAATGTCAAGTTTACAACGAATCACGACGACTTTTCATATACTGAAATGTCTCCAAAATACAAGATTGTTAAACCCCCTTGTTGGACTCCCGGTTGGACCCGGTCCGACCTAAGTCGGGCTTTAAAACGGCATCCAAAACAAGAAAGGGGGGGAGAGAGGAAGAGGAACGGAGATGGTAGGTGGATACTGAAGGTTAGTTAGATTTATTTTGTGGAAAATGAGTTTTTAATAGATACATTTAAGATAAATTTCATTTCAGTAATTAAATTTTTAATTACTACTTTATTTGTATATATATTTAGAAAACTATTAAAATGGCACAAACCGGCAGGACCCTCGATTAGACCATTAAACCCCAAACCCCTTGCTTGACCGACTCAATGACTTAAACCGGTTTGACAACCTTGCTAAAATACATTCATCACTTATGCTGCAAAGCAAATCTTTTTTGAATATACAAAATGAAATAATCATTCATAGATTGGGCACTCAACCGATTTCAAAGATTGTTCTTGATTATCTTCATAGCCGAGAATGCTCTTTCGCAGCTTGCAGTTGCAACAGATAAAGTCAATACCAACTTCAAAAGCAAGTATTCTAGTGGGTCTCGGTCGTGGCCGCTTGGGCCTTAGTGATTTTTTTGTTTCTCTCTTAATTAAAGGACCAGACTCAACACACATGTACATTGATATGGCCTGTGAATTTTTTAATAGAAATTGATAGGATTATGAGTTATTTTAAACATATTAAAAGGGACTATTGTTAATTAAAATTTAAGATTGATTCATTCAAATAATAAAATCCTTATAGTCTAATGAAGGTGTGTCGACTATAATTATCGAAGGGTTGTCGGAAGTCCCGATCTATATAATTTTGTACCAAAAATATGTAGGTACTTCACAAAATTCTCGAGATTACACACCCTCCCTTGTCTTGGGTCCGCCTCTGACTGCCATTCGCCAAATCAGAAGCAGGCTTTATGGTCTCAAAACTCAAATCGTTGGGAGAGATTCAATTATATATCATATAACATATTGAAGAGATTCGAATATGTGACATCCAAATTCTAAACTAGTGGTATTATCAATACGTCAAACTCACATTCGCATATATAACACTTATTAACACACCCGCTCAAACAAAAACCAACTCGAAAAGGATTGGAGTTTGCACAGACATTAGAATACATGTGCTTTAATTTCTTTTTTTATTTTATATAAGGGTGATATAGGTTTCTTTTTTGTGATTAAGGTACTACTTAAGGGATTCGAACCTGGGACCTCCAGGTTCTAGGCTAGTAGTATTACCACTAGACCAAGCCCTTGTTCGTCTATGTGCTTTAATTTCACTTGGGATTTTCCAATGCGGGTCCGCCTGTGATACCATGTTATCAACCAACTGGTTCCATCAACTCGAACCGTTGGGATATGTTCAGTTATGTACCATATAATACTTATATAAAAATGTGTTCACTTGGGGTTCACTTATGCTCGTTATTGGGTTATTTGCAAGAAAGTGATTAATATTCATACATGGACCATGTTTCAATAACTCGAGTTACTATAACTAATTGGTTTGTAATGTGGTATCAGAGCTGGTTTACTTGTGATTTCACGTGTTTTAAGTTATCACAACACCCTCAATATCTACAGTTGTCTTTAATTTCATGGTATGTCAAGTCGGTGCAAATTTCATCCTCATAAATTTACTTTCGTTTAAAAAGACGTATACAAAAATAATTAATATCTTGAACCTCTCACGACAACTCGAATTATAAAGATACATTATAATTATTTTTTAACAGATTCTTTTTTTTTTTATAGGAAACCTGGGTTTTTTTAACAGATTCTTGGCTTGTTGGTTTGCTAGGAATTTCTATTTGCTCGATTCATTATTTTTCGTTGTTTGTTACTTTGTTATAATTCTCCTGCCCCATTAAATCAAAAGAAAGGGCTTAAAAGCCCAGAAGGCTGTCAACGAAAAGCCTGTCCAAGTCGAAGAACGTGACCTGTCCAGCCAAGCTCCACGGAGCAGATTAGTGGGCCAGTTATTGGGCCATCTAATTAATTCATCTAGGCGCTAAGGCCCAATCTTCCGGCCCGCATTGGAAACCCCCAGCTGAAATTCCTTTGTACTTCTCTTCTCCCTGAACACATCGCAAGCTTTAGCTGCCTCCGCTTCAATTTCCCGACCAGGGTCCGGCAATCCCTCTCGGCCACCGGCGATCAGCATCCATTCTTTTCTTCTTCCTCTATTCCCATATGTAAACCTCTCCACCCTCAGCTTCATCCACCCTTCTTCTCGTCTGAAAAATCCCAAAATAAAACCTCCGTTCCAGTCGCTGATATCTCTACCGCGACCCGCACCATCTTCACCGATCAATTCGGCATCAGTATTTTGTTCGGGAAAAACCCCGCCGGCTTCCGGGTTCCACTTCACCGGAGTCTCAGTTTGAACAAAACCCATAACCCCTATAACCCTCCAAGCCGTTAACTTTATAGTGAGGAGCTTCATTGTCTAATTTTGCAATAGGGAGTTGAAGGAAAAGAGAAAAAAAGAAATGGGTAGTGAAATTGAAAGTGGTCTGGAAGAGAAATTGACGTCTTTGCTGGAGCAGCTGCAGGCCGAATGCGGGATTTTTGAGAGGATTGTTTACAAGAACAAGAACCAGCACAGGAGATGCTCCTATTTCCAGTACCTGCTCAAGGTAAACAGGCTCTCTCTCTCTCTCTCTGTTTCGAGTTTTGATTCCTAAGTAAGGAAATACAGAGTAGCAAAACATGCGACTCTGACTCTGACACTGTTAGAAGTTCATAGCCAGGTGTTGTTTTTTGAATCCTTATTAAAGGATGTTAATTTTGTGTTGTTTGCTTGGCGGAGATGTTAGGTGAGAAGGGATTTGAGGCTGTTGCAATCTGCTAAACTGGAAGAGATCGTGGGTTCTTGCTTCCAAGTTATCACAGGCAGGAAACCCAAGCAAAAGATGTATCTGCTAGAGAGGTACTACTTCGTATTTCTTACAACACATCCGCATAGTTGCAGGCCCTCATCTTTAATCTTTCTGCATGACATTTGGAAATGCTGAATGTTTTAAGTACATCTAGTATTTTAGTCAGTTGCCAGTCATGTGATGAACGAACTTAATTTGGTGTTCACTTCTTTTCCTGAGAAGATTATCCAAATAGAAAGCATTGAGCTCTGGGATTTCTTCGTCTGCATATGCAGAAACTGCTCATTTTTCTTCCTCTTGTGTGGTTCGGAAGGTTATCAGTATTATCCATACATGGAATCTTAAGAGCTGATCATTATACTATTCTTATAGGATTTTGAAAATCGTCTGACCATCTGTTATACCCTTAACAATTTGGCATTCTTCTTTGTCACAAAAGGGGTAGTGTGATTAAAGCTCGGAGCTGTTTAACTACATGAATTTGTTAATGATGGTACTATTGCTTAAAATTATCACTAACTGAACCATGTCTCACAGCTTGAAGTGGAGGCAAACTGACTCTGGAGTACCCAATTTTTTGGAGAGACTTCTGGGAGCTGCACGCATACTGTCACAGGTGATTTGTTGACGTCTTCTTTTGCTGAGATGGACTATATCAAGTTCTATAAGTGCATCACATATTTTTATGTTATGAGTTCAACTCTGAATCTGATTTACGTATTTTTGTCTGTGTTACAGATGGTTGAGCCAATTTTGAAGGCAGCAACGTATCCTGTTTTGCTAGCTAGTGTATAACTAAGTTTACCATTCTTAACTTATTTTCATGGTTTGGTGAATTTACTTGGTTGTTGAAATGGATGCAGAAGCGTCTTGTTTACTGACTCTAATTGGCTGTATTGCTGCACATACCTGTCATTTCACTAATTACTTATCATTAAGCTCTATCTCAAATAGTTGTTTATTGGAGAATGAGCATCCTTTCGTCTATGGAGATATCATTAATCTTTTCTAGTATATTGGTATCCTTGACTACTCCACAGGGAGGTATCTATTTTGCTTGCACGCTCTTTCTTCATGGAGTTTTGTTTGGCAGTTTTGGCACTGCTTGCACGCCTTAGAGTTTTGGTTCAGCAGGTAAGTTCTTACTTATTCCATGTCAAGAAATATGATGAGAATCTATAACTTGTTAGGTGACCAATTGGTAAGACAAAATGCTGTTACAAATCTCCTCTATCTATTAACATATTTACTGTTGATTGGTAAAATTTATAATATGGTGCACTTGTTTTGTTTCCTTCTGCAGATATTGCTTGATGTTGTTTCACTGTCCAACACGGTATCTTCGATTGCCCAGAATAAGCAGTCTGTGAAAGTAAATCAGAAAGGAATAGAGGTTGGCTTCCCTGTCTGTGTTTCAGTTACTTCCATGGTAAAATAACAATCGAGCCACTGCCATTTTACTGAAACCTGCTTTTCTTCTCCACTTCTCCAGGTCTTTCGAGAGTATTATCCGACGAACAAGGAATTTACCACCCTAGAGTGTGTTTGGAAAGTCGATAAATTTGTGTTACTCGAAAGAGTACAGAAAACTGAGGTAAAAGAAGATGAGGAGACCATCAAAGATGCCAACAACGAAAGAAAAGCTATACGGTATCGAAGTATTAAGGCATTTCTTAGAGGTAAAGCTCCTCATGTGTTTGAGAACATCTAAAAATCACTCATGTAATGAGAAAGTAGGGTATTGGCCGCTTTACATTTAAATCGATTTAATTATGGATCTCTTATTTCAGAGATTAATGATGATGATGATGACGTTGAAAAGATGGAAGTCGAGCACCCCGTCAAAGAAGACCCTTCTCTCGTGAAGAAAGACGAGGGCTTGACAGCTGGATCCCCAATTCCGAAAGAGAGTGAGCATCAGGAGCAACGCGATGGTATTGAAATGGAGGATGACTTTCGAGCAAGTCCCGGAAAAGGAGGCGATGTGAATGCTACCTCAAGCTCTTCTCCGGCTGCAGAAACATCTACATCAAACTCCAGTAGTTCAAGACAAGTGGCATTCGTTTCAGTGAAAAGACCTGCTGCACCTCCTACATCTGCTGCTGGTGCATTCATAGCTGTTAAAAGGCCTGCAACATCGACTTCGAACGTGACCACACCAACACATTCAAGGGATAGTGGAAAGGAAGCAGATGGCAAGGAGGATTCTCTTTTCAATTTGCTTACTGATGGTGCAAACCTCAAGAATAGTCTCTTCTGATCCCAATGCCTTGGATTAACATAGTTCATGTGTGCAGAGAGGATTGTGATGTAGGCAAGCAAAATAGTTTGAATGATCTGTAACTTTGCTGGTTTCCGGTCCTCTCAAATTCTTGAGAGAAAATTCAGCTGTGAATCTCATAAGTGAGACTGACAGAAAGTGAAGTAAGGGACAACAAGTCGAGATCAAGAAGCAATTGGCCATTTGGATGATCCTTGACACCATGTCGTTTGACTCAGATATTTTGGAGCAAGTGAAGTGTAGTACATTTTTGTAGAAGGATCGGTTTTGGGTTGGTTTAGGCTCGGTTCGTTACAATCGAGCTAGTGCTCAGTTAGTTTATTAATGTACCGAGTTGATTCAATCTAAGTTAGGGTTATTTACTAAAATCTTAACTCGTGGTACATACATTGATTTTGTATGTCATGCATGATATATGTGATTTGATGTCATAATGAAAAAAAAAAATACTATTCAAATTTTCATCATTAACTAATCTCATATTATACTATTTTGATTTTTGATATCATATTATCTAGCTCATAAATTTTAATAGCCAAATCATGTTTTGTAATTGTTAAATGCTACTTAAGGAATTCGAATCAGGGACATCTAAGGTGAATACCAGTTGTAATACAACTAGACCAACACATTGTTCGCCAAAATCATGTTATTTCGTAGTATCAAAGCAATCTATGATACATATTTATTTTTTGAAATTTAAAAGAAAATAGTTTGCTCACTTACTCAATGTCTACAATGTCATACAGGGTGCGACATAATTCAGCAATCGTATGAATTATCAAAATCCAACTCATAATATATAGATCGATTCGCTCATAAGCCGATAGTCGAGTTGACTCTATAGCCACAATTTTGAGACATCCGATGAGCTCTAAACGAATTAGCTCACGAGTTAATCTTAACAAGTCACCGAGTCGAGCTACCGCCTGAGCCTCGCAAATTGAACAAGGATTAATTCAAGCTCAACACGTAACTAAATAAGTCAAGTTCGAACGAGTTTTTCTCGAATCGAGCATCGAGTGGTTCACGCGAGCAGCTCGACTCGTTTGCCGTCTTACCTGTCGGGCCGTATGAAGCTTGAGAATGACTTGGGCTTAATCAAATAGAGCTCGTTATAGATCACAAAAGCACTATGTATCACAACTGGACCAGCTCATGGCAATCTCTATGAAGCCCATAATCATAATCACATCTAGGGCTGAAAATTGGCCCGACCCACCCCTGACCCTGTACTGACCCTGTCTGACCCGCCCCTGAAGGGTCAAGATGTATAACTGACCCGCCCCGACCCTGTTTCTTTCATGACCCTGTCTGACCCTTTAGGGTCGGGGCGGGTCAGTAAGGGTCGGGTCAGTGGGTCGACCCTAATAAATAGAGTACTTTTCTAAAAATTACAATTTGGTACCCGAATTTATTTTTTCTTACATTTTAGTACCTAAATTTTATTTTTTTTACAAATAAGTCCCTAAAATTTGATGGTAAAATTACATTTTGGTACCCAAAATTTTTAATTTTTACAATTTAGTACCTAAACTTTTAAAATTTTACAAATAGGTCCAACGTGTTTGTATGATGCTTAGGGTCATAGGGTCAAAAAGTGACCCGACCCTAAATTGACCCGACTCTATCTGACCCTGACCCGACCCTAAGCTGACCCGACCCTAAATTGACCCTGTAGACAAATTGACCCAGCCCGACCCTGAGGGTCGGGGCGGGTCGGGGCGAGTCGGTGGGTTTTAAGGGTCTAACTTACACCCCTAATCACATCATTGTAGGTTCATTCTGTCTAAAAAATAAAATTAAAAGACGTAATGGTATACTTAGGGCTGATAAAGGGTCGGTAACCGGTTAAATCGGTTACCGTTTGACCGGTTACCGGTATACCGGACATCATCACAATGGCACCGTTTGCCGATACCGAACTTAACTCGGTATACCGAATCCCGAATTCATACGGTATCGGTTATTAGCCGGATACCCGTGTTGCCGCTGGCCCATTCTGCTTACGTGCTTCATTTGTCTACCCTTTCATTCCACGACAAAGGAGCTGTGACGGTGTACACTGTACAGGAATGGTGGGGAGAGGACGAATGGTGATTGCATATGGGTTGGGGTTTTTCATGTGCATCAATTGACAATTATCATAAAAATTAAAAAGTTTGAGATGACAAAAGCAACAAACAATGGAACTTGGCTGCTGCTCTCCTCTGGCACAACAAGTCAATAAACAAAGTCAACGAAATATTATGACCTGAAAAAAATGAAATCGACGGAGAGTAGAACGAACTGTGGGGCTGCTAGGTCAAGCGGGAAAGGTCCGACGGCGGCAAGGTAACGGAAACTGGCCCGACGGCGACGGGATCGACGGAAAAGGTCCTAACAGAGACTGGGTTGCTGGGTCCTGGGCTCGTGGGACGGGGGTCGAGCTTTCGCCGGCGACGAAAAGGATGAAAATTCTGTTTCTGCAGGTAGCTATCTGGCGGCAGCCAGCGTTTGTTGTCGAGGATCGATTGTGCGGCGTGCCTCGTCGTACTCGTACGGCAGATGGGAGAGAGCGATGAAAATTGGTATTGGTATTAACTAGCTTTGACCCTGCCCGTTGGGCAGGTAGCTCTATTATTATGTTACTAATTTATTACTTTAGAAGGTGACAATATTTGGCGATGTCCATAATTTTTAAGATAATAAAATGCAATCTAGGAAGGCCATTTAGTAGTTTTATAGCCTCTGATTTACGACCTTGCACAATGATATAGAGTGATAAATGGTATTTGGGCGCACTTTATTAGATTTTTTTTTTCCGAGTAATGCCAAGACAATAGTTAGAAAGAACTACTACTACCCACAATCCCTCCCTATCCCACTAACAAATCACATCACAAAATGAAAAGAAGCTAACTCTTACCGAGACAGCAACAGAGCTTTAAGTGACACTCTATGAGCAACCCAGTTGGCAGTCCAAGAAACCACACTAAATTCTATACAATGTAAAAAGGCTCAAGAAAAAAAACGACAATCTCGAAGGATGACAACTTATGCATCTGCTCGAGGATGACCAAGACAAACTTTAAGAAGCTGCAAGGAGTTCTGCAGGATACGTGTCAGAGATCCACTGTTTGGGCGCACTTTATTAGATTTTTTCATGGCGTCCAACATAATTCCATCTTAAAGTGATCATGTCTGTAACATGTCAATATGTATAAGCAATTTTAATCGATATCGGTGTCAAAATTTACTGGCATGCCCTGATATAATCAACATGATTGATTTCTGAATTTTAAATAAAATGGCATTGTTTTGGTCAATTACCGAACACAAAATTTTTTTCTTGAATTTTAAAATTAAATACAAATGTTATTTGTTAGATTTAAGTACGAATGTTTAAATGTTTATGATATTTGTTGGATTTACATACACATTTTTGGATGTTGGCATTAAATATATTGTATTTACATATGATGCTTTTTTTATTTTGTTTGGAAAGTTTAATTTAATTTAAATATAAAAGTAGATTTTAATGAGATTGTTAACTGTGCTGATAAGAGTATATTGTATTTACAAATAATGAAACACACTTGCCCACCTTCCATCTTCCTCTCCTATACGTGGCAGTGATATGGAAAGGAAATCGATGAGGTGTTAAGTGTGTATGATCTCATGTAAATGGGATGGTGAATGGTGAAATACGGGTCCATCACATCACAAACACTCCAATTATTGTACAATATATATTACAAATTTCTAAAAATAAATGAAACATCGTGCAACATTAAGTCTTCAACAATAAGTTTATAAGTCATACATTTTAACACAAAAAATTTGAACTCCACAAACCTAAACGGATTGAAACCTCTAGATTGAGGGAACAAAGTTCATCAAACGACCTAACCAGCCACAACAAATACGAAAAATGAAAATCAACATTAGAAGAACACCTTTCCTTAATTGTGTAATCAACATCAAACAATAATGGAAAGAAGTAAATAGAGATTGCATGTCGTCGACCAATCAAACAATCATACCTATTGTAATTTTGCAACAGTAACTTTTATTGAATGGAAATAAACAGAATGCATGAGAGTACCCCAACCGTAGCACCATTATCGTCTTTGCCGTAATTGCCTGGTTATGTTTTCCCACACATTGAACACGAATTCCTCCTTCCTCTGCCTCTGTGAAGTTGTAATACGACCGAGTTGCGTTCACTTTTGACCATAACCTATCCCGCCTGAGATCCGCTCATTTTTGTAAGTGCGGTCGTTTCTCAACATGGTCCTTAGCCTCTCAACAGAGCTCCAATTTCGGAGGAGAAAATCAACATATTGGTGATGACAATGTTGTTGTCCCGTGCCGTAATAGTACATCCCGTCAACGCCTCCATTGACCGTGCGTTGTTGTCCGATAAAGCAAGACTGGATGAGGGTGTCCTGCCGCCTTCTACCAGAATTTCCTTCATACTTTGCCTCTGTCGACGCACCGAGATTCGTTATATCTCTAGAATTCATTGTTGGATTACCAGCAAAATATGAGAGCGGCTTCATTGACTGATCCTCTATCGCTTCACAACCGCCATCCAATCCTTCTACATGCTGCTGATGTGCCGCCAACCGCCACGTCTATGGCGAACAATTCGGGCGCCTCTCGCCAAGACCCCTCTGAGTGAAATCGAAGGTTGAATGAGATTATAATTATTGGGGTTTTCCAAAAAATAATTAGAAGATAGAAAGGCACGGAAGAGGAAGGAAAATCTGGGATGAAACATTGCAGTTTGTGAGAATGAAACTGATGGGGTTGAGAAGTTGAGTGGAGGGGAAACGGGAGGAGTCCTGGTTTCTTCTTTTATTTTTAGGTTGATGGAGTCCTGGGTTCCTTCACGGAAGGGAAAGAGAGGAGTTTATTTTAAGTGGCTGACGTGGACAACTATCGTTTGAGTAAGGCTTACGTGGCCAAGGTGGAAATATGAAACTGCTTTAATATATTTTAAGACTAGTATCTAAATTCTAATTAATCAGGTAAGGTTGGAGTCTGAGAGAGGACGGCGGGTTGCACAGCGCCTTTGCCGTTTGCCCTTTCAATTCCGGTATCGGGATACCGAAATACCGTTGGTATTTTACCGAGTCCTTGTCGGTATACCGAAGCCAAGCAAGCCGCATCCGAATACCGTAGCTTACGGTTAACGGTTTTATCGATAACCGCAGTTATCGGTACGGTTACCGGTTAAACCGTTAGCCGCAAAACCGTTTACCACCCCTAGGTATACTCTTTAAAAAAAAATAGGATTCATTTGGTGATCTTGCCAAATATTAGGCACGTATGCGTAATTATCGAACAACGAAAAATCAGAGTAAATAACCCGAACTCTAACTAGATTAGGGTCCGGCCTCTTGGTCGGAGAGTTTGATATTCATGTGTATGTGTAGTAAACATTGAGGATTGAAGTAACAATTTAATTTGGTAAGTTCTCCATGAATAATATAGGAAAGTATTTAATGTATTTAACTAATGAAGTTTAAAAAATGACAAACAACGCCCAACTACACTAACATAAATTCATATTTCAAACAAAGTCATATCTATATAAAAATGTCTAAGAGGAACAATGATAAGAGTTGTTTCGCATCACACATACATAATCAATCTTCAGTATATGATAAATTTTTTTGCCTTTTCCATTGACTTTCGTGTATTCAATGATATAATGAAACAAACTATATGTTTAGAGTGTACTTAAAAAGAAACAAACTAACTCACACAGTCATGGTTCCATCGACTTTAGTGTATTCAATGATATAATGAAACAAAACATGCAGATCTCCAGCTGCAAGTTCAACTAAAAGAGCAACACATAAAAAGCTAAATCAAAGCGAAAAGAAGGCAAAAACTAAAAGCATCATACCTAACATTTTGGGGGAAATCCACAACAATAAAAGTCATTGTATGAACACTTGATAATGATTTGAACACTTGTGATATATGAGTGGTGAAAGTTAATAAAAGTCATTGTAGCTCTTACTCAAGTTAGAACGACTTTGATTTAATGGAAAGTAAACAATGATATGTAGTGCTTAAGAAGGAAGATGAGACCTTACATTGTTTATTAATATGCATCTTAGTTTCATAAATTTTACATCATTAAAAATTTATGTGCTGAATAGAAACCCATCCAAGTTTGGAGCCATTATAAAATGTAAGTTATGAGGCAAATGAAAAGTCTCAAAAGGTTGTCAACCCGCGGGTTGACCCGGACCCGGTGAAGCTAGTGGGTCAAGGGTTAATGGGTCTCCCGGTTTAGCCCGATTTAGCTCGAAAATATGGAAAGAGTCATTATATTATACTTATCCTGGTAAATTATATCAAATCTCATTTAACATATGAGTTATAAAATATAGGACTTTGCTACGGTGACATGCATGTCACGGTGACATGCACTTTTCGGTCGACCTCATATAGGATTAGGTCGACCTAATCTGTTGTTTCAGTGTAAAAACAGTTTCATGGTGCCTACTTTGAAGATTCATATCTTACAATTGGCTAGATGGAAATTGGAGATCAAAGGCTTGTTTTGAAGCTGAAGTATCCCTCTACACATTAAAGTACTTGGGAGCTCAATAGAAAGTCCAAAAGACCATTTTTGAACCTGACCAAAAGGCTATGCCAAAACTGGAAAACTGCCTGAAAATGTCTGGCAACGTGTTTGTCAAGCCTACTTTGGAGTTCGATTTGAGAAGCATGGATGCGAATCAAGTCCAGAGACCTCTACCACGTTAAATTACGTATTTTATTATACAAAGGCAAGGCATTGGATGAAAGATTGAATATCTTTAAGGCTTCAAACAAAAGGCTCGAAGTTGCTACGAAGGCTGTTTTTCTGGCAGCTTGCTTGTGCTCGAAGTCTGCCAGAAAAACAGCCTTCGTAGCAACTTCGACCCTTTTGTTTGAAGCCTTACAGATATCCAATCTTTCATCCAATGCCTTGAATTTGTATAAAAACATACCTAGTTTAATGTGGTAGAGGCTCCTGGACTCGACTCGCATTCATGCTTCTCGAATTGAGCTCCAAAATAGGCTTCACAAACACGTTTCCAGACTTAGCCATTTCCAGGCAGTTTCCCAGTTTTGGCATAGCCTTTTGATGAGGTTCAAAAATGGTCTTCTGGACTTCCTATCGAGCTCTCTTCCACTTCAATATGTAGAGGGACACTCCAGCTTCAAAACAAGTCATTAGTCTTCAATTTCCATCTAGCCAATTGTATGATATGAATATCCAAAGTAGGCACCATGAACTGTTTTTACACTGAAACACCAGATTAGGTCGACCTGATCCTATATGAGGTCGACCGAATCCTAAATGAGGTCGACCAGATCCTATATGAGGTCGACCGAATTCTAAATGAGGTCGACCTAATACTAACTGAGGTCGACCGGAAAGTGCAACTCACCGTGACATGCATGTCACCGTAGGCTAGGGGTGGGCATGCGGTTCGGTTTTACCAAACCGAACCGAACCGAGCAAGAACCGACCGAAACCGAATTTTGTCTTGTTAGGTTCGGAGTTCGGATGAGAAATTCCACAAATTCGGGAACCAACTTCAGTTAAACCGAACCGAAAAACCGAGAAACCGACCGAATTTCCGAAAATAAAAAGGCCCAACCCAAATACCCAATGCCCCACAGCCCACACCCCTAAGTAAAACCCAATTTGAAGCCCACAATTAAGAAAACCCTAAGTAAAACCCAATTTGAACTTTGAAGCCCACAATTGAGAAAACCCTAAGGGAGTAAGGGTCTTCTTTGATTCTCTGTCTGACTGTCTCCGCCAGTCCGCCGAGTCTGTCTGAGTAGTGAGTACGAGAGCCGAGAGCCGAAAACCCTAAGCAGCAGCCGCCGCACCGCAGCAGCCAGCCTCTCCCCGACGCACCAAGGCGGCAGCCGGCAAGGCCTCTCCCTCCCCGTCCCCGAGACCCCGACTCTTCTTTTCTTAGTCCCTCCGCCGGACCGCCACCGCCAACCTCCTCCACACGAATCTGCAGCCGCCGCAGCCAAGGCGGCAGCCGGCAAGGCCTCTCCTCCACACGAATCCGTCCCCGACGCACCAAGGCGGCAGCCGGCAAGGCCTCTCCCTCCCCGTCCCCGAGACTTCTCCCACAGTCGGCACTCCAGTCGCCGACCAGCGCCACTCCACTCGCCGGCAGCCGCCTCCCTCCCACAGAACTCAGCAGTGCAGCAACAGAATTCGGTTCAACCTGGGAAAACCGAACCGAACCGATCTATAATTCGGTTCGGTCAAACCGAACCGAATTATAGACCGGTTCGAATTCGGTTTCATTATATGGCGTTTCGGAAATTCGGCACACCCCATTTCGGTTCGGTTCAAACCGAACCGACCGAACGCCCACCCCTACCGTAGGCACACCCTAACATATAATATTACACTAAAATAACATGTCGTACTTAGATCCAACATATAGTGAAAATTCACACACAATTATATAACAACAATATTCAAATGTTCAACTTAGGATTCCAAAGATTGAGTTAGGCGAAAAGAAAATCGGAAAATAGGCGCATTTCGCCAACCAAATAAAAAAATGACACAATTTGATCTCTAACCCGGTACCTTGTAGCGGTCAACTCGGCGGGTGCGTGCAGCCCGTTTTTCTCACCGGGTCAGGGTCAAAGTGGGTCGACCCGCAGGTTGACAACCTACTCTCAAGCATCCACATGCTTGCAAATTAAATCTATATTATCAAACATAAAATCATATCTTGCATAAGAAAAAAGAACAAAAAAATTCGATAATCAATATAGGAATCAATATGGACACAATATCTAACCAAGAGAAGAGGAAGCGAAAAAACACAAATTATTGTGTATAGATTCCGCTCACGATATTTCAAAGTGAAAAATATTATAAAAATTATTAACCAATAAAAGGGAACGGTTAAGGGGAAAATGCATCAATTTAAACCTAAAATGAGAGGAATTAATATCCTACACCATCATATATAATGATATATTATATTTTTGAACATCATAAAAAAATCTATCTAAATGAAAAAGTATACTAAATTGAATCCAATGTAAAAGTAACGATGAAGATAGATATTATATCCACCTAAGGAATAATAAAGTAAGCCATGTTTCTTAGAGACATCTCTCGATAGAACCACTCTCTTATAAAACCCATTTCGTCAAACAATTGCATCATATAGAGTTTTAACTTAAATTTGAAATGCTTATAATTAGCTATTTCAGCTCATGAACGAATTAATTATATCATTTGGTAAAAGAAAATAATTTATAAACTTAAGAGTTATTTCATTTGTTGTTAAATCATTTGAACTAAAGTATGAAATTGCTTCAGAACCGTTATTTTATTCATTATTATTAAAATTGCTATTTTTATTATAATGTCTGAGCATGTCTTGGCAAGCTAGGAGATAGACAAATGCCTAATGACCGTCGTACGCCTAACGTGCTGCTGAACCTCAATAATTGTAGCAAACTTTGAGTGCATCTTATAAATTTGATCACTTCTATTTTGGAATAATTGATTACATCAATAAAGCGATCAATCAAAGAGTCTTTCTTTAAGATTTTGATAAGATGTCCCCTACTTCACAATTAGTATGACTAAATTGTATTAAGATAATCATGTATTGAATTTTGAATCGATAGCGCAAAAGATTGTACTAACTCAAGTAGAGTTTTAGCTACTCAGTACTTCATATTCGCATGTAGATAGCTATTTCGAAGAGTTCGAATATTGATTGAGTTTGTTGAACTTTACCTAAAGAAACTATGATATCAAGCTCAATATATTATGCTTTTATGAGAAATTGGGAGAATATGTTGGTGACATCAAACCTAACATGGATACCATTGAATTTAAGTGATAAGCAACATTTATTTTTAATAGATTAGACATGAAAAATATATTTAACATTCTCATAAGTTGGTATGAAGAAGTGAATAATTAGGAATTGAAAACTAGAAACAAAGTTGGTTTAATAAATAACTGCAAATGATATTGTGAAAAAGAAAACAAATGCTTAGAGCATAGCTAGACATGGGAGTGTTACATTGAACTCTTTAAGAGAAAGCAAGTAACCATTTATAGTTAGCTGTGGATATTGAAATAGTTAACTATGATGAATACTATATACTGGTGTTAATACTTGGACCTTAGCTTGAACATTGCATCATGCTGATAAAAATTATTTCATTAATTACATTATTGAAATAAGGGGTCGTATGGAAGTTTTGATTGTTTTTTTAGATTGTTAAAATAAATACATTTTTCATAATACAATACATATGTTTTTATTTTTGTTCATACACAATCGTGAATTATTTGCTTGATTTGACTAAACTATCATTCAGATTGAATGATTAAACAATTTCAAATTTTAGCATAGACAGTAGAGATAATTGGTATTGGTGTTTGTCATTTTTATTTATCTTGAAATGTATGGTACCAGTGTCCTTATTTCGTCATTGAACACTTCATTGAACACTTCAATTCAATGCGCAATATTTCAACCAATGATATATGTGTTGAGATTTTAAGATTATCCTTCACTTATAAGTTAGAAAAAATTATAGATTAATTATTAAAATATGAAAATAGAAGTATCAAACTCCACAAAATACTTACAGGAGACTTAGCGGGCTAGCTAACCGTAATAGAAAAGTACTTTGTTTTTCATAATTTTAACTTCCTCTATGTTTTGTATTAGTAAATTATAACAAATGTGTATAGTCTAATTGGTTATAATTCTTGTCTTTGGTGGAAGGGACCATGGTTCAAATCCTAGCATTGATATCTTTTTATATGAAATAAAAAAATGATTGTGTAGACGAAAATACCCTTCCTACTTTCACTCTCGTTGCAGGAAATTTGAAATGGAGCAAATCAAACTCTTTAAAACTTACTAGCTTATAACCCGGCCCGTTGGCCGGGGTAGGTTAGTCAATAATTCTTCATTGCAACTTTATTACTTAGCAAGGATAATTAGTGATGGCAATTTGAACCCATCCTGTGGGTATTACCTGAATATCAACTTCCAACTCACTTTGCTCCGCCCCGTCTCATTCTGCTCAACTTGTTACCGTATTTATATATATTTCTCCTATGAGGCTGTTTAGGAATGCCGGTTTTGGAATTAACTAAGTATTTCTGTTTTAATCCTTTGAGGCTTCCTTTCTTAAATTTCGGTCACTTAGGAAGACAAATTAAACGTAATCATTGTTAAAAATATAACTTATAAGAAGATAATAGTTGAAGACCAAAATGTCCTTCCTACTTTCACTCTCGTTGCAGGAAATTTGAAATGGGGCTCCCGTTTTTCCCTTCGGCGTATTATATTATGTGCAGATTGATTTGTTTTTCCGTCTTTTATATTGTTGTAGTTTATTAATCGAGAAGTATTTTTTATCTTAATGCATGTCATGAAACATTGATCCATTATAGGTTAATTTGTCAAATAAATTCTCAACAAAATAGTTATAAGTTCTTAATGTAAATGATATCAACTTATTTGTTCTTAATGTAGATGTTCTAAATTTCTTAGGGCGCGAGCCATTATCAAAAATATTTCTTATGCCGCGATCTTTGCCTTTGTTTCGCGGTTTGCTTTCTTGGCCGTGATCTTCCTTCTTGAGGTCATGATCATCAGCTTCCTACCATTTTGCTACCTTTATGCCCTTTTCGTATCTAATCCGCATGTATTGACTAAAACACCCTAAAATCACGTCATAATCAAATAAGAACGAAACATAGATGCAATCGACACTATTCTTCTGATTATGTGCATGAATTAGCACGAAAAAACACTAAATATGAAAGCTAAATGAAACCAATTTGAGTGTTATCAGCCTCCAAGATGATTTCTTTGAAAAATAACTATTAGTGTTTGTTTCTAATCCCAAGATGAATCTTCAAATGTATGAAAATCATCGTACACACCAAACCCACCCGCAAACCATACTAAAAGAACCCAACTTTCCAATGTTGTTTATTCGGGTGGGTGCGGGTCATGTTTAAATTCACCTAATTAGTTGTAGTTGGCTGAATTTTCACCTAAAATTCGTACAACTCAGTAATGTCCTAAGAAATTCCAAAAGAAGTCTTGCCAAACTTTCTCAAAGGCGAGAATTTTCCATAATATTTTACATCATTGGACTTCCACATTAAACCCGTCTAACTCGCCTAATGCCTATCTACACTAATTAACATGATGAGTCCTAGTAATAAAAAGAGTATCATGTTGGCTAGAGTAGCTTGTCATAATGAAGCTTTCCCCTCTCTTCTTCTTAATGTCCATAATACACATAAAAACGGTATCATGTTTGCTCATTGAAGCATTTGATGAACCACATAAGCATGAGAGCAGGCAACAAAGCTAAGATCAGAGATTCAATACAGCATATGAGCAGAATCCATTTAGCAAGAAATGGGTTAATAGAAAAAAACAAACATACCACATGTAGAAAATACTACAAAAATCAGCTTAGAGCCAGAGACAAATACAGTTTCTATACATAAAACTGCTAGCGACCATTATAAACTATACTTCTACCATAACCAAAGCATATAATCACTAATGCAAAACTCAATCGCAGGTTTGGATAGAAAAGGTTGAAAGCTTTTTGTTGTTAACCCCTAACATAAAAAAATCAAAGCAACATCAGCAAACATAAACCCCAATAGCAATCCTTAACTGAGAATCCCAATAATAAGAATACCAATTCCAACCTTCCCAATCCTATTCTACTGTGGAGCCAAGAACCACGACATACATGCTAAAAAGGCTTAGCAAGATACCACTTCTACCCTACCAGGATACCTCTTAAATACAAAGTGGCCAGTTTGTATTCTTGGTAAAAATTAATTGCTTTCAATAACATACAAAAGTGGAGAAGTCAAAGGAAATCACTGATACATGACCTTTCCTTCACTGAGATAGGACTTCACTGGAGCGAGAGGAGACTTCTCATTCATTCTACGAATCCTCCAGCAAACAGAATTGTGATCAGAATCGATACACCCAAAAGGGTACATAAACTAATTTTGAGCAAGCAAATATGAGCAACTAATTGCAATTTCTTTTACAAAGCGGTTTCATTCATCAACTAAATGCACCTACCTCGTATATGAAAAGAGAAAGCATATATCAAAAGAGCAAGCAATCACAACACTCTGAATTTAATTGCTTTTGCATACTGGTTTTCAACCCTGCGTAGTGCATGATGATTATGAGATCAGTATTATAGTCAAAGCAAGGGCGTACAGGTCTTGCTCCTAGCTCTCTTGAAACACAGTTTTCCTAAATAGTTGGTTCATAACATCCAAAATTTTCCGCTAAGGCAGCAGAGAAACAACATGGTCATGAATCAAATTCAAGTAATTTTTTTAAGGATTCTCTACAATAGCTATAGAAGTAAGATCAACTGTAACATTAACTCTTGTCAAATTTGATTTGATGTTTAGAATAACGTGAGTGTCAATTATCTCACAATCACCAACCACCAAACGCTAAACCAAAATATATGTTAATGAATGAGAAAAAGTATCACATTTGGTGTCAGGGAAGAGAAACTTACGCGATCTTCAATCAGTATCCAAACTACTCACCCAAGGTCAGGGCTTGGTGAATTAATTAGTGGCCAAATTCCTATAATATATAAAGATTTTAGAGTTAGTTGAAGAAAATTAATCACTCTGCATTTAAACATCATAATAGAAAAACAACAAAGTCCGCAGCACATTATACTTGTTGTAGGTTCCAATTTCTGCACCATGTTTCAGGTTATATTTGGTTGGTATCGAACCTCATAAGGCTTTTGTCACTTTATTTGTCTCCCCACTCCTCTTTCTATCCTTTCTCCTTTCCTATTAATTAGTTTGTAAGAGGTGATATTAACCTAGGATAGAGAAAAGACATAAGTTAAAGCAATGAATTCAAAAAAATTAGCTAATTGTATTAACGAAGAACCATAATATATCACCCTGACTTAAGGGGAACCATAATAAATAAGCAAATTTACCCAAACAAAAAAAAAGTAACAAAGCAGCAAATAAAGGACAACATCCAGGGTAAGAACCAATAAAAAGATGTTGTTCTTGAAAAATATGCACACTCTGATGACAACAACGATGATGCATGCAGAGCATCTATCTGAACTGGGGTTTCAACTTTCAAACTCTAAACACCCAAATTGGTTGAGCAATAGATAGGTATTCTCAATTCGGAGGGTGCATTCGAAAGAGCAGCTACCAAAACCAGAAAATGCAATCGAAAGAGCAAAAAAAGAAACTGCATTCAACCTTTCAATTACCTCGGATGATGAAGCGAGCAAACTGTATCAATTTTCATGAATAGGGAGCAAAAGATCAAGCATCGTGCCTCTTTGGCTATGGTACGTCTGGACTCAACACAAAAGACATCAGCTTTTTTTTCTCTCCACTTTCCACCCAGATTTGATTGAATTAAAGGAATTACCCGATCTCTGTTCTTTGTTGAATTGGGATGATGACTTCAATTCGATTGCAGATATTGGTGTGATAACTGGGGCTTCACTTGTTCATCTTCCCTCCCTTCGCGGCAGGAGCTCGAAGCATATACAAATGCGGGAATTAAAGCAATTAGCTTCGACGGCGTACCGCGGCGTGGCTGAAATTCCTTCGACAGACTCGTGGTAGAGATGATGGGAGTTAGGCGACGGGCTATTGTATCGGAATTTGGTGGAGGAGAAGAAGAGGTTTCTTGAACCCTTTGGCTGCTCCGCCCGTAACTGAACCACCAGAGAATACCTAGTCTGGCGTTGCTCGCGGTAGGATCGACGATCAGTGAAAGTGAGCGGGGAGGGATAAATTAAATGGGCCGGAATGAAGACCCAGGTGTTTGTTTTTACATTTTGCGCGCAGCCCAGGCAAGGTGCAGGCCGGCAGACAGCGGAGAAATTTTTTGCCGCTACTTCCAAAAATACCCCTCCGAGAAACGCTCTGGAAGCAGGAATTTTGAAATGGGGGTTCTGTTTTTTGCTTCGACGTATTATAGTTTGTGTTGATTATAAGTAGTCTGGATACCAATTGCTATCGGGGCCGGCGGCGGTTTCTTCTCGCATTCCTAGGGTTTGTCTTCCTCGATTTCAATCCGATCAACATGCCTTCCACTTCTACAATTCTCGTTTTTATGGTCTGGATCTAATTCGTCTTCGAAACGTTATGGTTGCAGGGTTTTTGGGATCAGACGAGCAATGGACGAACAAGGCTCCGATAACATAAAGAAGTGGATTGTGCTGTATCCGGTCTACATGAACTCCAAGAAGACCATCGCCGATGGAAGAAGAATCGGCGCTCTGAAGGCTTGCGAGAATCCCACTTGTATTGAGATTGCCGATTGCTGCAAGCACCTCAGCCTCCGCTGTGCAATTGAGGTTTGTTTGACAAAATTTGCGATCTTTTTGATTTCGGTGTCTCGTTTGGTGAGCGATTTGGGGCTCAGAAATGGTGGTGTCGTTGCAGCTTGATAAAGCGTATCCACGGGATTTCATGCAAAGAGGGAGGGTGAGAGTGTTGCTGAAAAGGGAAGATGGAACGCCCTACAATCCTTCAATTCCTACCAGTAAGTAGTACCAATGAATGGGGTTTTAGCATTTACAGCAGTGGTCATGCAAGTGTTGGATTTGTATGTTTGACTGGGAATTCTCATCTCACAAGCCCTAACAATTGTGGTTATTAGGAACATGGTTTTGACGATCTTTAAGCGCGAAGGGGGCTGCACTTAGCGAATTAGTCGTGTATAGGCTGGCTGCTGCTTCATCTCGTTACTGATAAGTCCTAACAATTGTAGTTATTAGGAACATGGTTTTGACGATCTTTAAGCGCGGGGGGCTGCACTTAGCGAATTAGTCGTGTATAGGCTGGCTGCTGCTTCATCTCGTTACTGATACCTTCCTTGGCTAGTAGTAACTGTGTGTGCCAGTGGGTGAAGCCTCATATGTGTTAGAATGTAGGAGTTTCAGTTTTGACAGCTTCTAATAATTGTGTTGCTGAGACGAGATGGTTTTTATAAACGTATATGAGCCTATTTGCTATTCGGAGATACTGTTAGGACTTGACTGGTCTCAGTTTCATTATCAGTCTATTCAGAACATAGTTTGCAGGCTACTGCTCTATCTGCTATCTACCCAGGATCATTAGCTGGGATCATGGCTACAGTTTAGTGCTCTTTCTTATGTTGGTTGTCATTGTATTGCAGGAAAAGAACTAATGCTCCGTGTAGCTGAGCTGGTTCCTCGGCATCCAGGACGAACCAGGAAGCAGGAACCTGCATCTACATCAAGTTCTGGAGCATCCAAGTCTGAAAAGGGTAGAAAGAAGAAGAGGTAGTAGCTCCTATAGACGTCATCTTTTTGACAGCGTAGGTCATGCTAGAGCGGAGCCGCTATGAAAGCGATGCCCTGCAACTGTATCTGAGAAATCAGTTCACTGACACATGTATTTATTTGTCTCTACAACCATTCAGAGTGTATTTCACAGATACTGAAAGAAACTTCTGAACCAACCTCCGGGTAGAAACTTGTTCGAGCTTAGTTTGATTGGAACATAGATGATGTTGTCTCCTGCAACAGGGTTTTCCATTTGCAGTATTACTGTCCAGTTGTGCTGATGGTTGAACTTGATTTATCACATTCTTTTTCATTGTTCGAATATTTCCTCGAGCTAAATTATGTACTGATTTAGTTATGGAGACATCCTGCATTTGATACTTTTTCCTATTGGTAGGGATGGTCACTGGGTATATGCTTCTTCTTCTGCATCTTTTCGGTTAGGCCACAATGGCTGAACCGTGTTTAATCTCGTATCCTTCCTTTCGGTTACATACTTTGACAGATCACTTGCACAAGAACTGGGAGATGTTTGGACAAAATTATCTCTGGCAAGACCAAATTTTACAAGCTCTGGAATGAGGACAATGAAGTCTCCCATGAAAATACTACAATCAAATCGATTTTAAACACAATGGAGGGAATAGCTATGAACTACACTAATCAGTAGAAAAAGCTCAGGCCTTTTGGGTTGAGAATCCCAGGATGAATTCCTTGATCTCCTCACTAGCTCTATCAAGGGCTGTCCTTCCATCTACATCCTTCACATTGTAACTTGCTCCTGCTCTTAATAGCTCTTCCAGTTTCGGCTTATCGCCCTCAGATGCAGCTAGCATCAACAATATGTCCACTGGATGAATGTTTTGGCTCAACAGTGCTTCCATCTTGTCATAGGTACCTTCAACAGCAAGCATTCCCATGTAGTTGAAGTACTGCAGATTTAGCAGCCACCATGAGTACATAGATTCATAGGTAACTTTTGCCTTATATGAGACTAACTAATAACTTGACGACGATTGAGATCAACATAGTCATTCTTCGTCACAAACTATTCACGGTACAGTTTTGAATGCCATGGCACCTAGGTTTCCAAAATGTACTCCCTCCTCAATTCTCATCCTATGACAAAGTATTGAGCATAGGGTGTAGGAAAATGCAGAGGGAACAAAGTCGCAAAAAGAACAAACTTAGGATACTTCCATTTGAGATTGCTGCAACCCTGCCATTCCTGATAGGAAGCAGCCAATCTGCTCCCTGGTATCCTCCTAGCACAATGCCTGCACTGATACTCAGAAGCTGAGACTTCGAATTCGCGCTAAGCTACACGTTATTGACCCACGTATTAATGCCCTCTCCCTCGGATTAAAGACTGTGAAACATGGTTCGTAGCCGATTCACACAAACAACCCCAAACCTAACCTAGGATTCAAGATTTCCTATCCCTCTCCCACGTCCAATTGACCTCCTAACAACCCCAACCAACTCGAAGACTTAGCGCTCTAGGCCCCAAGTTATCTCCCAAAACAGAGCTTTCTGCTGCAGTTGAGCTGTCTAACTTTTCCATGCCATACATTCACTGTTGCTCAACACCAGTGGGGAAGAGAGAAATTGGGTACACAAACGAAGTAAACACAGTAACAAACTAAGCAGACAAGCATGTAAAACAGCAATCAAGTTTCACTACAAGAGAATCACGAAAAAGGACCTGCTCGACATCGTCTCTGTCAAAGTCGTCACGGGCCTGGCTCCCATAAATCCCAGCACCTTCAGCATCAACGCCATTCTTGCCGAACTTAAACCAGCACTTCACTCTGGAGCCATTGGAGGGTCCGATACTGCAGGGTCGGACCCAGCTGCCCCGGTTTTGCAAACCCAGAAAGGAAGAAGCAAGCTTTGGAGCAGAGGACCGAGGATTGGGATGTTTGGAGGAGAATCGGTGGAGGTGGGCGATACTAGTACATGGGATTGAAGCCATTTCTCTGCGGCTCTTTCTTTTCTTGGCGTTCCCGGGGATTCACTTCTTCTCCCTCCTTATCCACTCAAAGAACTGGAAAGAATGCGTCATCGCTGGAGAGCAGAGCTGTAAGAAAGTGAAAGGATAGGATATTAGGATGTGCTTAAGGTAGATTGCATTGGAATGAATCAATCAGCTGATCCACAATCCAAATCAGCCATTTGTTGGTTGATGATGGGGAGGATCAAGTGGTTCACAATTATCCAATCAGTGGTTTCATCTCTGAGTTCACGATTTCTATAGGCAGCCACATTGGAAGCCGTTGGATATATAAGGATTAAATCACAGCATCTGATTTATATGTTATTACTTAATTAAAATTGGCTGAATCTATTATATGAGCCATTTTTTTTTTTTGGTCAAAGATATGAGCCAATTTCATTACCTAATTATAAGTTTAATTATTTATTTTTAATCAGATAAAATATAAAATAGAAGTGTATAAACTTGAAATACAAAACATACAAACCATAATAAAAAAGTGTACAAACAAATACTGGATGTCCATCGGCTCTTATGGTTCGCTAGAGCGCGGGGCCATCTACTAAGTCAGAATTCCCTTTAAAACATTTATCTTCATTAGCCGGAGGAGAACTTGCTTCGAGTAGGTGGTCTTCTATCAATCATTTCTCTCTTCCCATCGACCACTTCTGGAGCTTGACAGAGAGCGGGTTCTCGCCTTTCACTTTCTTTTCACAAACTTTTCTACAAACAGAGCTTGATTACATGAAACTAATAGAAAGATAAGGAAATGAGAATAGACTTTCTCGCTAAACAATAAAAAAAAACCCCAGATGTAGGGCGAAAGAATGGTCAACCGAAGCGCAAGGCTAGAGACAACACCTAACCCAACCTTCTCCCCGCTTTCTATTCCTTCCCGGCGCAAGTTATACAGAAGGGTGGCTTATACCAGCTAACGAAAACTTCCCCGCTAAAGAATTGCATCACACAGGTACATGGATGTCACGAGTCTATTGGCATGGAATCTTTTCGACGTAAGTTGATTGTGCAAAGTTTGTTTGTTCATACAGGCAGTGTGATTTGGGGATCTTTTGTTTGCTCCGTAAGGTAGCCAGAGCCAGCCGGATCATATCATAAAATATATAAACTAATATTACAGCGTATACAAATCATATGATACAAATATCCAAACCAATACCACAAACTATATAAATTAGATAATGAAACCGTACAAAAGAGTAATAATAAAAAGAAATTAATAGAAAGCAAAAAGTAGAAAATTGTAAAAATTGTTGTGTTTGAATTTAGACCAAAACTTCGAGTCGATAAGATTTAAAATATTTTCTATTCGTAAAAAATTAGTTATTCAAATTATGGATGCTTTGTTTAATAATATGAAGAAACTAATGAATTTTGAATAAATGGCTATAGGATCTGTGACATTCTTCTATTTCTCTTGCCACTTTCTTCAAGGCATGATAAAGTAAACACCGAGGCTGCCAGAATTGGACGAACACATACCGCCATTAATAATGTTTCTTGGCCTTGAGCTTTGCATCAAAATTTGACAGTGACTTGAAAGTTGAAAGTGAAGTTAAGCTGGTGATTGTCACCTAAAACCAGTAGAAATCGCATGAATACAAGTTGGCAAAAATTCACATGATGATTTCCATAGTTGGTGGCAAAAGTTCACATGAATACTTACTACAATGACCAGCATGTTGACAAAAACAACATCTAAAAGTATTGTTGTCTGCCTTTCTTTCAGATAAAGAACATGAGGCAAGGAATTCATTCATGTCATGTAAAGGCCTCAACAACTAGCTCTCACTGACAAGGGCCCTTCCCCACCAAGAACCAGCACCACTTCTCTCCATCCAAGAAAGAAACACCAATGAGTCCATCACTAGAGCGGCCAGAGGTGTTTTATGAAGACAAAGCTGCAAAAGATCCGGTAGAAATCGGCACCAAAGGAACTATCAGTTCCCTCATCCTGCAGGAAATCAGGTATCTAAGCCAGCTTCATTCAAGTAGCCGAGGAAGCTCGGAGAAGGCTCAGTCTAGTGGTGCTGGAACGGCTGCTGCTGGTACTAGTCCATCCAGATCCAGCTCTGGATCCGTGGTACAAACAAGAAAGAGGAAAAAGAAAGCAGGCAGCCGGCTACTACCGAGTATATGTTCCATGGTTGATGTATCTGACAAAAACCGACCTGTACGGGCTTCAGGGTTAAGCTATAAGAGCCCGGAAACCGACACCAAGAAGTTACAAGCCCTCAAGCTAGACCACGCTCTCGGATAGCTTTGAGAAACCAAGCTTCTTGAGTTTGCTTGTTAGAGGGGTGGCCCATGCTCTATCAGGGCTACCACATTTGATGTCCACAACTTCGACTATGTTAATCACCTTCTTGTTGTTCTTCTTCTCCCTGCTAGGAGTTCTGTCCATGGTGAGATTATCTGAGCCAAGCATAGGCACTCGATGGCTTCCTTTAGCCTGTTGTTTCGCTCTCCTCAATGCCTCGGGGCTTCTGCTGCCACTGGTACTTGCTTCATCCACTGGCTTTTTTGCTTGTAGCCTTCTAGGGGTTGTGGTAACAACATTACATGGAACTGAAACAGAAGCGGTTCTGATCTTAAGATCACGAGGACTTGATGTTTGCGGCGAAGATTTGGCGGACTCGAGCTCCCTTGTCATGAGGGCACTGATTGTTCCAGTAGCTCCAACTTTGACGGATCCACCACCACCCTTGATAGCTTCTAGTTTCGGAACCATTTTTTTATGCTTTTGGATCCTCACTCGGGAACGAGAATAAATCTCCCGGGCTGGAATCTAATTCAGCTGGTAATGTACAGCTATCTTCTTGAGTGATTTGAAACCCCACCTGCAACAAGTAGTAAACAATTATTTCAATTCAGTGCACATGTCCCATGCAAGAACTTATCTTCTCCCCAACATTACTCCGTCACTGAAAAAGACATACATAGTGCATTTTGAGTAACTCTGTATCAGCCATCAGGAATTTGATAAGTAAGACACCTAAACGTGGCTGCACAAGCAGCAGTAGGTGAACTACTTATGGCTATGGGGAACCCTCAAACAGCTGAACTTGCAAAAGGACCATAAGGTAGCTCCACCTACTGGTCTATCAATATCATCAGACATCAGGTACTAGGAATTAGTCAGGATTATAATAGATTTGGCAAGGAAGCGTGATTCTTTACCCATTTAATTGTAAGATGATCAGAACAAAAAATGCCCAAAATGGAAAACCCCTTTCTGCAGCAGATCTCCAAAAAATCATAATGATCAGAGAAATGAAAACACCACAAGTCAAAACCCCAAATGATTAGATCTGGAAAAAGGCCATCGGCTTCGCCAATGATCAATCATCATACACGAATTGGCAGCTCGTTCCATTAACAATGACACAATGAATGTACAGCCGACTATAAAGCAACACCATGTGCACTGCAGAAACCAAAAAGGAAAACAAGCCTGCAAAAAAATAGAGAAAAGATAAGATTTTTGTCAAGAGGAAACTTACCCACAAACCAAAATGAACGGCTCGAGCTGCAGAAGATGATCGTAGGTGAATCGGACCCCAAGCAAGCAGAGAAAAGGGAACAAAATCCCACCAAAGATCAGAAACCCCGGTTTTCTTCCACGGGAAAATCGTTGAGAAGAAAAACAGAGTTGTTGTTGTTGTTGTTGTTGGAGGTGGAGGTGGACGGTTGATAGGATAGGTAAAAAGAACTTGGGGGAACGTTCGTCACGTGTGGGCAGATAGCAGTGTCACCTTCATTGAAGATATCTGGGTAAAGTAACTGATGATAATAATGCAATGGAAGATTGTTCTGTTCATTCACGCTTTCACTCAAACAAAAAGCTGATTACTTTGTAAAGCTAAACCACCCTATAAAAGAGTGCACTTTTCCGGGCTAGAATACAAGAAACGGATTTGTCTTCTTACTCTCCGAGTCCCACTGTCAATTAGACCGAGAAGAAGAAAAGGACCGGTCAAATTCACGCCTCGCTTAGAATTGTTGATTTCAATAAAAATAAAATAAAAAGACTCGCATGGTTTCTTATGATCCATAAAGAAACAACTAATCATGCAATAATTCCTCCATAGACAGAGCACTCGCAAGTCGCAACAACCAAATTGATAAATTGATCGGCTCAGATAGCAGATTCATCCAAATTTGCCAGAGAATTAAACAACAACAAATCAAGCACAACAAGCAATTAGAAGAAAGCTGGAGGAGGAGGAGGAGGGAGCTTGACGGACAAAAAGGTTACCCTAGAGGAAGAAGGCATGAAAAATGGCAGGGTAGAAGCTAGGTTCTGAATTTTTATACAGGCGCTTTTCCAGAACTTCAACATTCAAGCCAATAGCAGCAGTTGCCAATGATGATGATGCTGCCAAAGAGAATCTCATAACTGCAAGCCCGACGAGATGATTCCACGTGGTGTACACGAAACACACCGTGCTGCTCGACAGGCGGTCACCATCCTTCTCTTGCAGTTCAATCACTTGGTAAGTAGAGACAGGAAGACGAACATCGTACGCTTCAGGTACTCTCTGCTTGTGCAACAAAGACACCCAACTCACTCACAAACTCCGACGAGACATCAGCAAACACGACGAAGAAACAGTCGTTTGGTGGCAGCAGCGGGCTGCCAACGTTCAACACAGACGACAAGGTTTCAGCGCCTCTTGGAAATCCAGACCACCCCAGTTCCCACTCTTCAGTGTCAGCATCAAAGGAATATTCGTCCCGGCCTACAGACACATAAAGCTTGTGGCCAATGACACCCAGCTTGAACTTACAGAACCCACCAAAGCAATATATATGATAGTCTTTCTGGTAGAAGGGAGGTGTAGGAAGTGACCTCCAACGACACTGATCAATAGGCCTGCTGCCATCATCCTTTTTGGTCCAAAACCACGAAGCAGTTGCTGGGATCGCTCGGCAATGCCGGCTTCATGTAGCAATGATCTCCGTGGAGGAGGTATACTCTGCCATTGATCTTTGCAACTATCGGAGACCGCATAGGGCTGGGCAAACGAAGAGAATCAGGGAGCTTATCGAGGGTTCCATTCGGAGGATTGGGGAATTCATAGACTCTGTCACTGGGTTCTTCTACCCCATTCTCCCAAGTAACCCAATTTTCAGAAAGGAAATCATGATCTAATCCCCCTGTAGTCTCTCCGCCGACCATGTACGCTTTGCCGGCAAAGTTGAAGACACCCATTTCTGAGTGGGAAGTCTTGCTTGAGGTAATCCCAATTGCAAACAACAGTTGGCGACAGAAATTCGAACTCGCCGTACTCATCGACCAATTTTTCGAAGACCTGGTTTTCATCGAGAACCCTAAAAGCCTGAATCCCCCAAATCCGACAACTGTCCACACACCTCAGGTAAAGGTTCTTACCTCTCCAATTCTGATCGTCAATTTTCTTTTTTGGGGGGAAACGATTCTGATCTTCAACAACCCTCGGCTCGGTGAAACAATTCTGATCTTCCCTCGGCGGCGCCACCGGCAAATTCTTCCTGTCGGCCGCCCGATTCTTCTTTCGACCTCGGCCGCCCATCGTCAGCACAATGTTACGTACGAGGAATCCAATATTCTCCTTTTTATAGGGTTTAATGTAGTGCAGGAATCACTTGTTGGTCCCTTTGGCGGACCAGGAATGACCACGTCTTCGCAGGCAAGGTCGTTTCAGCTGAAGTCTTTCTGCATCGCGTCCAGGTATGGGTTAATGTAGTGCAGAATGCAATGGACAGGGACAAGGCAGTTCACCATCCGAGTCCACCTGCTAGAACGGAGGAGATGATCTCTTGGATGCCGCCTCCTTCCGAGTAGGTTACTCTCAACTCTGACGGTTCCGTCACTTCTGAGTCAGGTCACGCGGCTGCTGGTGTCCTGATTAGATATCACACTTGGCGCTGCCATGCGGCGTTCGCTATGAACCTCGGGATTTGCTCTGTTACCCGAGCTGAGTTGAGAGGCGTTGTAGAGGGACTTCAGCTGGCCTGGGATCTCGGCTTCCGCCGGGTCAAAGTTCAACTTGACTCAAGGTGTGCCCTTCAGATTCTCCAGAGCCCCCATCGCGAGGATCATAGGCACTCAGCAGTAGTTGCCCGATTCCAGGCGCTTATTGGAAGAAATTGGGAGGTTTCCATCTCCCATGCCTACAGAAAGAACAACAAGTGTGCCGATTATTTAGCTAGTCGAGGTCATCATTTGTCGTTGGGCTTCAGTTCTTTTCCTATTGATGACCCCACTCTTGTTTACTGGCTTTTGTATGATATTCAGGGGCTTTCCGAACCCCGTCTGGTTTTGAATGAAGGTTGAGATGCTCTGCATCTATTTATAAAAAAGTTTAAACTTTAACACTCTGTTCTAGAAAGAGAGAAAAGAAAGGAAAGGGAAAGTTAGGCTGGAAAATGAGGGAACCAATAAACTTTCCTCTGTTGGGGAAGGAAGGGAAAGAGTGAAAAGAAAAATTACTGTGCAACCCTACCCTTGGTTTCGGAGAGAAAAGGGAGAGAAAGCCTCTCATCATCTGTCCCATCATCTGCATCCAATTTATGGGGGTTTAATACCCTTTTATGTAATTGATTAAATAAGTTGGCAATTATTTATTTTTTTAAGGTAAGGGTGGAAGGATTTTTAGAAGATAATTATGACTAAGTGTAAATAACTAAATATAATCATGAGTTGTAATTAAATCCAATTTCTTTACCGTCCCATAAAAAGAACCCAACCTCTTTACCTATGTAAACTATCAAAAAAAATTTAGAAATTGTGAAAGCTTATCGAATGTTGTATCGAAAAAGTTTGCGGTAGAATATTTTATAGTGAAACCGCGGTGAAAATATATCGAACATACCTCTGAACCAAACACAACATTGATTTACATCACGAATAATGTTATTTACGTGATATATAAAATTATTACGCGAGACATAAAAGTGTGGTACGTTTCTAGTAAAACAACATTAGAGTGTGATATTTATAGAACGGATGTTATCTTGTACAACAAATGTAATCCAACTTTTATGGGGAAAATATTAATCAAGTTAAAATGAACGAGACATGTTCCGCTAAAAATAATGAAAATGGTTATGATCAAAGTCATGGAGAAATTGGTCTTCATTATATCCACTTCTACATAATTTTTAATACAAAATATATTTTAAACATAGTTACTCTTACATTACTAATAAAATAACATATTGATCACACTTTTCAATATTTTTTTCTCTTTTAAGCTAGTCTCTATTAATGGAGATGGAAATGAGTATTTAATTCCTTTTTCCATTTTCGTTTTCTTGTGAAAATTTTGTTCTTATTTTAACGTGGGAATTATGGATTTAGGAAATAACTATGTATTTTAAAAAAATAATATTGTGTTAGTTTTTTTTTAATTTGAATGCATGAATTGCAACATAGCTTCACAAAAAAATAGATTAAGCTCTTTTCACGTTTACTTTTGATTTTTAACAATAAATTAACAAAAAAAATTCAAATAATCTACTTTATTTTACTATTACATAACCAATAAAATAAAATATTCCTCACACTTCTCAATACACACTTTCCTTCCCACTTTCCTCCATAAAACAACATTTTCCTCCCAATTCTCTTCACTTCCAAATCTCCCCTCCCCTCCCAATTTTCTTTCACCTCCCCTCCATTTCCTCCCTTCCTTCGGAAACATACACTATGTTTCCGAAGGAAGGAAAGAAAATGGAGGGAAAGGAAAATTTGGAGGTGAAGGAAAAGGAGGGGAGAGAAATTTGAAAAGGATAGAAAATGTTGTTTTATGGAGGAAAGTGAAAGAGAAAGTGAGAGGGAAAATGTATATTGGGAAGTGTGATATATATGTTAGTTTATTGGGTATGTAATAGTAAAATAATTAAAATTATGTGTTGATGTTATTTCTATTACTTATAAACAAGGTTGTCAAACAGGTTTATGCCAGTGTGCCGGTTTAGCAAGTGGAATGGTTCAACCGGTGGCACATACCGGTTTGTGCCGGTTCATGTCGGTCAATATCATAAATAAAATTATAAATACTCATATTTAAACATGACATTTAACGTCAACACCTAAGCATTTATACTTGAATCCAACAAATAACATCAATATTTAACTTTTATACTCATAAAATAAATAATAAAATAATTTTTATCAATTAAATTATCTAAAATAAATTCATTTTATTTAGAGATTCGTATATCGATCATGCCGTTCATACCGGTGGTGTCACGCCGGTATTATGACCGGTACCGGTTGAACCCGGTACAACCGGTGGCACGCCGGCCGACGTGACAACCATGCTTATAAATAATGGATAAAATTTATTCTTTTTACTAATTTGATTCACCATTAAAAATCTCGTTCATTTTTTTTAAAAGTGCTATTATTGAAAAAATCCCTTTTATATATTGCGTACGTTATACATGACATAAATCACTCATTTGGTCGGGTCCAAATATCAAACTGATCCATTTTCTTTAACAATTATAAAATTCATGATCGAATCACATTATACTCGCTTTGGTGTCATATGGTCCAAAACAATATTTTTTGGTAATATTTACTATTTCCATTAATAATTCGTGAATAATTAACAAGGCAAGATTAAGAATGATTTTATAGTAATACTAATATCACTTTGCTAATTCCATTTTTTTTCGTGACTAATTTATGCAAACACTATCAAGAAACGAAACCAAATTATTTAAGAGACAAAATAGGATTAAAAAGTGGACAAAATATTACCACCGCCAGAGAAGGAAAGGAAACCAAATTGAAAACAAAAAGAATAAAAAGAGAAAAGGAAAGGAAAGGAAAGTTGGACTTTCCGCCCAAATCGGAGGGACTAGTGGAACAGTTCCATTTTCGTCGCTTTTCCCTCCCCTCTGTCCTGTTGAAACGTTCGGAAACGGGGGAAACCTTCTCGGGAATGTAATTTTCCGCTCAGTCTTTCCCTTCCCTTCCTTTTCTCTCCTAAATGAACATAGTGACACTATGTTTCCGAAGGAAGGAAAGAAAATGGAGGGAAAGGAAAATTTGGAGGTGAAGGAAAAGGAGGGGAGAGAAATTTGAAAAGGATAGAAAATGTTGTTTTATGAAGGAAAGTGAAAGAGAAAGTGAGAGAGAAAAGGTATATTGGGAAGTGTGATATATATGTTAGTTTATTGGGTATGTAATAGTAAAATAATTAAAATTATGTGTTGATGTTATTTCTATTACTTATAAACAAGGTTGTCAAACCGGTTTATGCGAGTGTGCCGGTTTAGCAAGTGGAATGGTTCAACCGGTGGCACATACCGGTTTGTGCCGGTTCATGCCGGTCAATATCATAAATAAAATTATAAATACTCATATTTAAACATGACATTTAACGTCAACACCTAAGCATTTATACTTGAATCCAACAAATAACATCAATATTTAAATTTTATACTCATAAAATAAATAATAAAATAATTTTTATCAATTAAATTATCTAAAATAAATTCATTTTATTTAGAGATTCGTATATCGATAATGCCGGTCATACCGGTGGTGTCACGCCGGTATTATGACCGGTACCGGTTGAACCCGGTACAACCGGTGGCACGCCGGCCGACGTGACAACCATGCTTATAAATAATGGATAAAATTTATTCTTTTTACTAATTTGATTCACCATTAAAAATCTCGTTCATTTTTTTTAAAAGTGCTATTATTGGAAAAATCCCTTTTATATATTGCGTACGTTATACATGACATAAATCACTCATTTGGTCGGGTCCAAATATCAAACCGATCCATTTTCTTTAACAATTATAAAATTCACGATCGAATCGCATTATACTCGCTTTGGTGTCATATGGTCCAAAACAATATTTTTTGGTAATATTTACTATTTCCATTAATAATTCGTGAATAATTAACAAGGCAAGATTAAGAATGATTTTATGGTAATACTAATATCACTTTGCTAATTCCATTTTTTTTCATGACTAATTTATGCAAACACTATCAAGAAACGAAACCAAATTATTTAAGAGACAAAATAGGATTAAAAAGTGGACAAAATATTACCACCGCCAGAGAAGGAAAGGAAACCAAATTGAAAACAAAAAGAATAAAAAGAGAAAAGGAAAGGAAAGTCGGACTTTCCGCCCAAATCGGAGGGACTAGTGGAACAGTTCCATTTTCATCGCTTTTCCCTCCCCTCTGTACTGTTGAAACGTTCGGAAACGGGGGAAACCTTCTCGGGAATGTAATTTTCCGCTCAGTCTTTTCCTTCCCTTCCTTTTCTCTCCTAAATGAACATAGTGATAGTGTAAACCAAATACCTTTCTTGTGCACATTAGGCTTTAGCCCCTCTCCTTTCCCTTTCCGTGTCAGAATTCCATTTCTTTCCATAATTCCATACAAGACACAATAATTAAATAATTTAGTGACCAAATGGCCTGTGGGCAATTGGCGGGTTGGATGGATCTTTGTCTAAAATTGACACACCCGCTTACTAGCATATTAGAATGCATGTGACCCGCAATCCACCCACATACTTATGTGGGTCGGGTTGGGTAGGTGACGGATGAGTGCGGTTGGGTCGCGGATTAACCCACAAAAGCAATTCTCCAACTACCCAATAAGAAAGTTGACTAACATTTATAATAAATTCATAGCAAATTAGTAAGATTGTTTCAATAATTTGTGATTTTGATACAATTAATAATTTATAATTTGTATCCCAATATTTAATGGATATTACCAACAATTTGCATACCAATATCCAATATCCAATGGATATTGCACAACACAATAAGTCAATAACAAATAATAGTAGTCAAAACTATTTTTTATTCTCCACCTTTTGAAGTATATGGTCAGGCTGTAGTGCAGTTCGAAAACATGATGAATATTCGATACTATAAGAAATAACATTTTTCCATATAAAAATAGGATGTGGGTCATGTGGGTAACCCACAATCCACCCACCATCCACCCACATAAGTGCGGGTGGGAGATTTAACAATCCGCAATCCACCCACATCAATCACCCACTGTGTGCGGGTCGGGTTATTTGCGGGTGGATCAATATCAATCCACGGATTAACCACCCACGTGCCCACCCCTACCCGTTAGAAAAGTCTTTTTCAACCAAAATTTTGGCTGGTCACAATATATGAGGATTGTGACGAAACCAAAAATGTAACAAAATAAGGTTATGTGACCGAAGTAATTGGTCATTTAAAAAAAAACTGACAAAATAGTTACGAAAAATATCCAATTGGTCATAAATAAAATAAAGGGTTAATTGCAAGGATGGTCACTGTGTTTACTAAAACCGTTCATGTTTGGTCACTGCAAATATTTAATTCCATTCATGGTCATTAAGATTAGTTCAATAGTTCAAGTTTGGTCACTCTTCGTTAGTCTCCGTTAGTTTTTACTGATATGGCAGTCAACTATTATAGTTGACCGTTAAATGAGTGACATGACCAATGAAAAAATAAAAAAATTTAAATATTTACAATTTCCACCTCATTTTACAACTATTGAAAAAGAAAAATAAAACTTACCTCCCCCTACTTCACCACCGTCACCTTCATCCCTCACCGTTATAATTGGCAGAGCTTCTCTGGCGAACTCCCTCTCCTGATCAAACAGAGACTCCAGCTTCCCTCTCCTGTCCACCTTCGGTTTCGACTGCACCGGAGCCGCCGGCGGGGCAACTTTCCGGCGAAGAGGACTCCGAGGCAGGTGCAGGATTCGTGGAGTCGGCGGTGGTTGTGCGTATTTCCACTTCGACCTTCTAGTCGTCAACATGGTTGTCGTCGAAGGTCTCTCCATTCTTTTCAGCTCAAACTTAAAAACAGAGTCTCTGGAGGAGAGAAGAAGAGCAGTGAAGAACAGAGCACATGTGGGGATAAGAAGAACAAGTAGCGGGTATCTAATTTCTTTCTGGGTTTGAAATC